AATAATTAATACCAAATAGATGTACATTCAAGAAATCTTGCCCTGCTGGTGTAGATCAGTGGTTGAGAGTTGACCCATGCACCAAGAAGTTGCCGGTTCCATTTCCAGTCAGGGAACATGCCCAAATTATGGGCCAGATCCTCTGTGGGGACATGTAGGAGGCAGCCAGTCGATGTTCTTTCTCATTGATGTTTCTCTCTCTCTCTCCCTTTCTCTTCCTCTCTCTCTAAAAGCAATAAAGAAGAGACAAATTTTTTTAAAAATCTTAAAACACTAAGAAAAATATATTTAAGAATAAATTAAAAGAATAATAAATCAAAAGGAGAAACATCCGTAACAAAAATAAATAAATAAAAAAGAAGAAGAAGAAGAAGAAGAAATCATAACTAAATTGGCTTCCACTAGGCATGGAAGACTTGTCCATTCTTAGGAGATTATTAATGCCATGCTATTTTAAGACATCAAAGAAAGAAAACTTTGATCATCTCATTAAATGCCAAGATGGTATACGTTTATTAACAAGATATGTTTATTATTAATTTGTTTTTTAAAAAAACTTAGTAAATAGGAATAGATGAATAGGCTTTTGAGGGTAGTGGGGTGAAGATGTATTTCAAACCAAACCATCATGCTTTTTTTTGACACTCTTCAAGCATTCTTATTTACACTCAGTGGTACAAAACAAAGATGCCAGCTATCATTGCTATCTTTTAACATTTCTTAAAAGTATTAGCCGAGGCAGTTTGTCAAGAGAAGTAAAATATATATTGGCAGATATAGGCACAATTATTATGCAGTTGAAGTAATTATATACTTAGAAAAACTAACAGAAACAGTATGAAAATGAAGTAAGGTGGCTGCCATACTGAACAATAGGTTTTATGTATACAAACCATTTAAGTTTTCTCCCTGCTGAACTCGACCAAAGCTATGTCTGAAGGGATTTTTTTAAAGCATTAATCCCTAGGAGCAAGGGGACCGAGAATAGAGCACCAGTAAAACCGTGAAAGCATTATTGCAGCTGTATAAATGGTAATGTAGCCAAGAAGGGGGAGAACAGAGAATTGCCACAGTGTACAACCACAGAATCCTCAGAAGGCTCACAAACAGGAAATGTAGAGCAGTCCTCTTCAGATCCTGTCTTTGCAGTGCCTATTTACATACAATCTGCCAGATCCTCTGAGTATGGTGAGCCCAGTGTCTTCCAGGCTTTGCTCATGACCTTGCCCTTAGGTTGCACCAAAAGAGGCTCTTGTAAACCTGTAAACTGTTACCCAAAGCAAAATTTATTTTTTTCTCAGTAACTTTTTAATAGCAACATTGTTACTCTTTTGCTCATGTAGCTAGTTTTATTCTTGGTACTGAATTTTCAAAAGCCAAACTCTGTACTATTTGGGATACATATATGGGTGGTAAAACAATAAGAAGCAAGGGAATAACAGAAAAGTCAGGATAATGACTACCTGGGGGTAGGACACACTAGCTTCAGATGTATTGGTTATTGATAAAGTTCTGGTTCTTAATCTGGTTACATTTTACATATTTTTAAAAATCATAAAGAAAAGATCTGAACAACAACAACAAAAACCTCAACTGAGAATAAATTTTCTTTTTTTAAATTCTCACCCGAGGATATTTTTCTGTTTATGTTCAGTTAGAGGGGGAGGGAGAGGGAAGAAGACAGAGAGAGAGACAGAGAGACAGAGACATTGATTGGTTACCTCCAGCACAACCCAGACCAGGGCTGAGGATTGAATCACAACCAAGGTATGTGACCTTGACTGGAATTGAACTTGAGACTCCTTGGTCCTCCAGCCATTGCTCCCAGCTTCAGAGCCAAATCGGGCAGGGCTCAGCTAGGAATAAATTTAACAAGAAATATTCAGGATCAAGTAAAGAAATTATTAAAATTTTACTAAATATATAAAAGGATAATTTGAATAAATAAAAAGATATATGCTTAGATGTATATATTGCATTTTCCAGAGATACTATATATTATTTATTAATCTATTACAATTAATATTTGCATTGCAAATAGGATTTTCTCTCTGGGCAGGGAAGCTTGACCAAAATGATACTGGTATTTCATCTAGAAAAATCATTGTGCAGGAAAAGGGAAGTAGGCATTACAAAAAAAGGGATTGGTATTAGAACATATTTTGAAGCTTCAGTAATCAAAATAATTTGTACTGCAGAGGAAGCAGAACAGTGGAATTGAACAGAAAATCCAGAAATAGACCTAGACACATGTGGGATTTGTCTATGATAGCATCACATGCCAGAGACGGAAAGAGGGCAGGGCATGTTTGAATAAAATATCAACTAGGTCTCTGCTTCAGCAAAATCATTCAGAAAAATGAAGATTTAAAAAAAAAAATTCTTAACAATAAAAACAAAACTTCAGTAAGAAACCATGAATTAATTTATGTTTTTGTTGTGATACTTTCTTTTTAAACAGATATAAAACCCAGATGCCATAGAGGAAAAAAGTGGATATATGTATTTAAGATTCTGAGTGGAAAATAATAATGTAATCAAACTCTAAAGACAGATGACAAACTGAGGAAAAATATTTGCACTACAAATGGAAAATTTCCTTAATTGACAAAGACCTTTTTATAAATGAAAAGGATTAATAGTCCAGTACAGACCAGACAAAGGATTTGAACAGGCATTTTGCAGAAAAATAAATACGAAAGGCCAGTAGAAATTTAAAAAAAGGTTACTTCTCTCATAATTAAAGAATTGTAAAAACAATGGGATAGTATTTCTTATCTCAATTGGGCTAATAATTTAGAAGTTTGGTACTAACTTGAGTGAAGATGTGGGGAAGCAGGGTGGCTTTATACTAGATGGCAGTGTAAAGCGTGCAGTTGTGAAGAGCAGTTGTGCACTGTCAGCATTTTAAGTGCATGAACCTTTGGACTTAGCCATCACAGCACTGGGGAACATTGGAGGATACTCCCCAAGTTGACCAAGAACGACAGAAAACATTGTTTATCGTAGCTTTGTTTGTAATAGCAAACACACAACAAAACCCCGGTACCACGTGGAGATCGTGAGTGGAGTTGAATTCAATCCATACTCCTGGCCCAGCTCTTAGTTGAACCGCAGAGATGTGGAAGGAACGGAACACCTACCACCAGTGTGCCCACAAGTGTGGAGCAGCAGGTGGGGGTTGCACAGTCCGGCTTGATGGAGCTTTCTTCCTGGGGCCTCCGGGCTAGTAGCCTAGCTGTCTGCCCAGCCAAGAGACATTGAACTTTGGAGCTCTTTTGTTGCTGCCTTTTCTCATAAGGATTGTTTTGGTGGTAGTGAGAACAATAGAATTTATTCTGGGTTAGGTAACATCACAGATTAGCTGCAATACCACCTCACAGGCCTGGCTTTCCCAGCAAAGTTAAGCTTTGGTGATGAAGATGGACCTGTTTCCTGTGTGAGCACTAAGAGCACAAGCTGAGCATGCAGCTCAGCCATGAGCCATGACACTAGAGTGTCACTGCACTTCTGTTCTCCTCACATAGTGCGCTCTCCCTGGCCTCTCTGTTGGTGAACATGGACAGTTACTGTGCTGGATCTGACCTTGCAGAGGTTTTTAAAGCTGAACCCACATAAACTGTTTTGGGAGATACTATATACATAGTTCACAAGCACTCCCTCCTTACTCTGGAGGTTGTCAGGTTATCCACCATGCTCTGCCTACAGATCTTGCCCCACTTCCTGGTTCCAAGACTGGTAGCATATCTATGGTATTTGAGTCATTGAGTTAGTTCCTGGTGAGAAACCATTCCCTTTCCTCTCCTCCCATCAACTGTGAGAGAAGGATGGATGTTTACTTCACTAGTTGTGTGCAGTCAATTAGCATGAGTTCTGTCAGCCCAGGGGAGGCTGGATTCTGGGGTCCTATAGTCACAGAGTTATAAAACTCTTGAAAGAGGAGATTAGGTAGGTAGGTAGGTAGGTAGGTAGGTAGATAGATAGAGTTTTTGGTGAAGGGATAGAGATAAAAAGAATTAGTACCTCCCTCTCCCCCCAGTTGACAAAAGATCTCTTTATTCTTTCCACGTAGCTATGCTTGCGATATTGGCTACAGCTGGGTAGAGCATGATAAAAAGCAATTCTACCACTGGAGCTCTCAGAAAGACAGTAACTTCTCTCTCTTTAGGTCTTGGTTAATGTCCCTGATTATGGGAAATAGTCCCATTCATAAACATATAGTCTAAAACACCTTAATGTAGTGCTTCACCACAGGCCTACCCCACCCCTTACTGCTGGGTGCAGTGATACCTGTTTTCTGACCTGAAAAAAAGTGTGGCTTATGTTGTATACCTAATGATGATGCCTAATCTGTGCGGTCCCTTTGCAGACCTTCTCCTCGCCCCAAAGCAGGAGACAGGTGGGCCCCTTTCTCTGTAGGAAGTCTGAATTCTACGCAAGTGGAACATGTGAAGGCTTTAAAATCTCCAGTGCTAAATAGAATCAGAAATAGTGGTTGACAAAATATAAGTTTTTGGATTTGTGGGTCTTATTTTGGGGGAAAGAAAGAAAGTATTCCTTTTAATAGGGAACTGATTTAATGAATTATAATATATCCATGCAGTGGTATATTAATTATTTAAAAGATCTGTATCTGCTGGTAAGGAGAGATCTCCTAGTATAATTCATTGATTAAAAACTGGGTAGTTGTGTTTGTAATATAATACCCCTTTTATGTAAATATAATGGTGTATGCATGAAATATTTCAAGAATAAGGCATAAATGAGTATTTCTTATGGGGAGCATAGCATGTTTTGTTTTTTTTTGCCTTTCTGTACTATTTGATTTTTCCTATTATGGAATTGTGCATCTGCTTATTTTTCTGAGTTGGGATTGTCTCGGTTGGGATTACATCTAACCATTCTTTTTGTCTTCCTAATTTTCAGCACTTTGTTTTTATATTGTTTGTTTATTTTTCAAAGTTATATCTAATTCTGTCTTTGTATTCTTATATTTTTAGGTTACACAGGATGACATCAATTGAAAGAGAAGAAAAAGAGAAAGTCAAAAAAAAGGAGAAGAAACAAGAAGAGGAAGAAACAATGCAACAAGCTACGTGGGTAAAATATACATTTCCAGTTAAACATCAGGTAATTTTACTTATAATCTTTTAAAATAGTGTTAGCCATCTCTAAGACTTTATTCTGCAACTTTGAGTACTTAATAATTTGTTCTACTTTTGACACAATCTTTTAATAAATTGGAATGAAATAATCTTTCTGGCAATTTTATAAGCATAGGTTTATCTTAGTAGAATATAGGTGGGTTATTAGACCAATTTGTTGAAATTGTCATAAAACTGAAATTGTGTTACATTTTTTTTTTTTTTTTACTTTTTTTTTTTTGGTTATGTGCTCCTTGCGGAAACCGAACCCGGGACTCTCTGGTCTGCAGACCGACGCTCCAAACACTGAGCCAAACTGGCCAGGGCTGTGTTACATTTTTTATATCAGAAAGAAAATTATGTTTTTTCCCCATAAACTTTGATGTTATCGGTGAAAATGAATTGATTGACTAATTTAATTAATTTGCTTATTGATTTTGTTTGCTAAAAATGTAGAAAATCACACGTGCTTTATAAGCATTCTCATTACTGTTTAACCAGAATGTTTTTATTTACTTCAGGTTTGGAAACAAAAAGGAGAGGAATACAGAGTAACAGGATATGGTGGTTGGAGTTGGATTAGTAAAACTCATGTTTATAGGTTTGTTCCTAAATTGCCCGGCAATACTAATGTGAATTACAGAAAGTCGTTAGAAGGAAGTAAGTAATTGAAGTTATTTTTTCCTGCATAATTGTTTCTGATTTATATTATTTTTTATAGATTTATAGTATATGGACCATATTTTAGATAACACTTCTGAAATTTTAATATAATGTTCAAAATTACTAATATAGTTTATTATAAACTTTATATGTTTTGAGATTACCTATATTCAAAGGATTTTGATATCTAGGATTTAAGTTAAAGATAATAGAACTTTTAAAAAATGTTTTTATTGATTTTAGAGAGAAGAAGGGAGAGAGAGAGAAAATCATCAATATGAGAGTGTAACATAGGTCAGCTGCCTCCTGCACGTATTCTATTAGGAATCAAGCTTGAAACCCAGGCATGTGCCCCCCACTGGGGATTTGGCCCACTACCTGGGCATGTGCCCTGACCAGGATTTGAACTGGTGACTTCTTGGTGCATGGGTCAACTTGCAACCACTGAGCCACACCAGCCGGGCTCACTGTCCCCTTTTTTCCTGTTGTTTTTATCTCTGTCTTTACAGCAAATTCTAAAAATTATGTTACTTACCAAAAGTAGTTTAGTATGTATCTCTAACTAAAATGGACATTTTTTTTATAGCCATCATGCCATTATCACATTCAACAAATTAACAATAGTTAACCTATTAATCATCTGATTCTCAGCTCATATTCTCTGTGTCCCAGTTGTCTCAAAGATGCCTTTTTACTTTTGGCAGTAAATAGGTCCAAACAAGGCCACACATTGCATTAGGATATTTCTCCTTTATTCTGTGATACAAATTTAAGTATTCTTCACTTGGAGTCCAATGATAAACTTCAAGGTTATCCAGAAAATCCACTTAAATCGATTACGAAAGTTTGTGTATGTATTTATTTATTTATTTTTGCTTAGGGTATCAGAAAATTTATCCAGTTTGAATATGGTTCTGTAATGAATGTGAGAAATCATTCATGCAGACTTTCTAAAGTCAATGAACAGGATGAAGTAGTTTCATATGTGAAGGCTTCTAAGCCACATATAAATAGCAGTCATTCTGCCCTTGGCTGGTTTGGCTCAGCCATTAGAGAGTCGGGGTTTCAGGTTTGATCCCTGGCCCCTGAATTGTTGGGGAGGCAACCAATCGAAGTCTTTATCACATCGATGTGTGTGTCTCTCTCTTCCTCCCTTCTACTCTATATAAAAAAATCAGTGGATAAATATTCTCAGGTGAGGATTAACAACAAAAAAAATGCAGTCATTCATTTCATGCTTTTGGTCACCTGAACTTATCAAAAGTATATACAGGATCTTCACCTTTTAAAAAAAAACACAACATTTTGTTGAAGGATGATAAACACAGAAACTGACTCGTAGGCTTTTCACAGACTGCACATGTTCAGATAAAGACACTGAATATGATAGTACCTCAGACCATCACACTCTCTTTCCTAAATACCTCCCTAGAGTATCTGAAATCTTAATTTGGTTACTTTTTGTTCTTTTTATTTTTTTCTTCCATTTTTAAATCATTTTTATTTATTTTTTATTTTTATTTTTTTATCCTCACCCGAGGACATTTTTCCATTTTTTTAACTCAGAGCGGGAAGGAGAGAGAGGAAGAGAGAGAAACATCGATGTGAAAGGGACACATCGAGTGGCCGCCACCCACACGACCCAACCAGGACCGGGGACAAACTGCAGCCAAGGTACATGCCCTTAGCGGGAACCGAACCCGGGTCTCTGTGGACTGCAGGCTGACGCTCTAACCGCTGAGCCAAACCGGCCAGGGCTCATTTTTCTTTTTCTTTTCTTTCTTTTTTTTTTTTTAATCCTCACCAGAGGACACTTTTCCATTTTTTGTTCAGATAGAGCGGGAGGGAGAGAGAGGAACGGAGAGAGAGAGAGAAACATCAGTGTGAAGGGACACATCGAGTGGCTGCCACCCGCACGACCGACCAGGGCCGGGGACAAACTGCAACCGAGGTACGCGCTCCTAGCGGGAACCGAACCTGGGTCTCTCAGGACCGCAGGTTGACGCTCTGACCGCTGAGCCAAACCGGCCAGGGCTCATTTTTATTTTTCAATTACATTTGACACATACATTATTATATTAGTTTCAGGTATATTAGACATTACATAACTCACTAAATGATTATCTCAATAAATCTCACACCCATCTGACACCATACATAGTTATTACAGTAGTATTGACTGTATTTCCTATGCTGTACTTTATATCCCCGTGACTATTCTGTAACAACCGATCTTCCTTCCTCCCTCCTTCCCTCCCTTCCTCTCTTTCTTTCTTTCTTTTTTATTTAATTTATTTATTTTTGTTGCAGATGTTTCTTTTTTCCCTCCCCCTCCCTCCCCGCCCTGTCCCCAGCTTTGTTGTCCATGTCCATTGTTCATGCATACATGCATATAAGTTCTGTGGTTTATCTCTCCCCCCAACCCCCTCTTCTGGGGATTGTCAGTCTTTACCCCACTTCCACATCTCTGGGATTACCCCATTCCTCAGACTGTTATGTTCATTATATTTCACAAATAAGTGACATCATGTGGTATTTGCCTTTTTCTGCTTAGCTTGTTTTGCTTAGATAATACTTTCCAGGTCCCTCCATGTCGTCTCAAAGGATAACAGATCTTTCTTTCTTATAGCTGCATAGTACTCCATTGTGTATATGTACCACAGCTTTTTTATCCATTCGTCTACTGATGGATACTTGGGCTATTTCCAGATCTTAACAATTGTAAATAGTGCTGCTATGAACACGGGGGTAGATATATTCTTTCTGATTGGTGTTTCAGGCTTCTTAGAGTATATTCCTAGAAGGGAGATCACTGGGTCAAATGGCAATTCAATTTTTAATTTTTCGAGGTAACACCATATTGTTTTCCATAGTGGCTGCACCAGTCTGCATTCCCACCAGCAGTGTACTAGAGTCCCCTTTTCTCCACACCCGCGCCAACACTTGTTTGATGATTTGTTGATGGCGACCATTCTGACAGGTGTGAGGTGATACCTCATTGTTGTTTTATTTTTTTTTAATTTTATTTTTTTATCCTCACCCGAGGATATTTTTCCATTTTTTGTACAGATAGAGTGGGAGGGAGAGAGAGGAAGGGAGAGAGAAACATCGACGTGAAGGGACACATCGAGTGGCTGCCACCCGCACGACCAACCAGGGCCGGGGACAAACTGCAACCGAAGTACGTGCCCTTAGCGGGAACCGAACCCGGGTCTCTCCAGACCGCAGGCCGACCTCATTGTTGTTTTAATTTACATCTCTGCTGATTAGTGATGTTGAGCATTTTTTCATATTGTCTCTTGCCCATTTGTATGTCCTGTTTGGAGAGGTGTCTATTTAGTTCCTCTGCCCTTTTTTTTTTTTTTTCCTTTCACCCGAGGACATTCTTGCATTTATCTTCAGATAGAGTGGGAGGGAGATAGGGGAAAGAGAGAGAGAGAAACATCATTGTGAGAGAGACACATTGACTGGCCGCCACCCACACAACCCCAACCGGGCTGGGGACAAACTGCAACCGAGGTACGTGCCCTTAGCGGGAACCGAACCCGGGCCTCTCTGGTCCGCTGGCCAATGCTCTAACTGCTGAGCCAGACAGGCCAGGGCATTTTAAAATTATTTTTATGAATTTATTTTTGTTACAGATGTTTCTTCTTTTTTCTCCATTGACACCCTCCTCTCAGTACCCCCCACCCTGTCCCCAGCTTTGTTGTCTAAGTCCATTGGTTATGCATATATGCATATAAGTTCTTTGGTTTATCTCTTCCCTCCCACTCCCATCCCCCTCTTCTCAGGATTGTCAGTCTGCACCCTACCTGTGTCTCTGGGTCTATTTTGTTTATCAATTTGTTTTGTTCATTATATTCCACAAATAAATTAAATCATGTGATATTTTTCTTTCTCTACTTGGCTTGTTTTGCTTAGGATAATATTCTCCAGGTCTCTTCATGTTGTCTCAAAGGATAAGAGATCTTTCTTACTGCTGTATCCATTGTGTATATGTACCAGTTATTTTATCCAGTCATCTATTGATGAACACTTGGGCAGTTTTTAGATCTTAGCTATTGTAAATAATGCTGCTATGAACATTCAGATACATATATTCTTTCTGATTGGTGTTTCAGGCTTCTTAGGATATATTCCTAGAAGTGGGATCACTGGGTCAAATGGCAGCTTTATTTTGATTTTTAGATTCAGTTACTGATAGATATGTATTTATTACCATGTTATTGTGCATATTTGTTATCTTTTTTTACCCTCTTTTTTATTAATCCTTAGCTGACGATATTTTTCTATTGAATTTTTTTTTTTTTTAATACAGTAGGAAGGTATGAGGGAGGGAGGGGGGGAGAGAGAGAGAGAGAGAGAAACATTAATGTGAGAAAGACACATTAATTGATTGCCTCTTACAAGACCCCAACCAGGGATTGAACCCATTGACTCTCTGGTTTGACAGCTGACACTCTAACCACTGACTCAAATCGGCCAGGGCTTCTCTCTTTTTCTTTTTAAATCCTCACCCAAGAATTTTTTTTCCACCTTTGTTCAGATAGAATGGGAGGGAGAGGGAGGGAGGGAGTGAGGGAGAGAGAGAGAGAGAGAGAGAGAGAGAAACATCAATGTGAAAGGGACATATCAAGTGGCTGCCTCCCATACAACCCCAGCCAGGGCCAGGGACGAACCTGCAACTCATTGGTCCATGGACCGATGTTCTAACCGCTGAGCCAAACCGGCCAGGGCTTCTCTCTTCTTCTTAAAGAAGACCCTTCAACATTTCTATAATACTGGTTTGGTGGTGATGAGCTCTTTTAGTTTTGTCTGGGTCAACCTTTTAGAAAAAATAAATAAATAATAATAATAATAATGAAGTATATATTGCTGGAAAGTATTTGATAATTTCCACTTAATTACATATATTAAGTTGCTAATACTTGAAATATCTGGAGTTACTATATACTTGTTTTTTTTTTTTAGCCAAAACTAGTATGGATGAAAATATGGATGAATCAGATAGAAGGAAAAGCCCAAGAAGTCCAAAAAAAATTAAAGCAGACCCTGATTCTGAGAAAGATGAGGTAAAAGATTCAGATGCAGCAAAAGGAGCAGACCAAATTGAAATGGATATTTCAAAGATTACTGAGAAGAAGGACCAAGGTAAGGAGAGTCAAGTGTCAAGGGCACCCTGGGGGTGATAAGAATGCACTGGATCTAGTTCACATAGCAGGAAAGGTACTGCATTATCTTTTTTATAATAGCTTTATTGAAACATAATCCTTATGCCTTGTAATTCACTTATTTAAAGTGTACAGTTCAGTAGTTTTTAGTATTTCACTTGTTCAGCCATCACCACAATCAATTTTAGAACATTGTCATGATTCCAAAAGAAACTCATATTCATTAGCATTCCCAGTCCTCCCTAAGTCCCACTCCCCAGCTTAGAAATTTACTTTCTGTCTCTATGAATTTGCCTATCTTTACGTTCCATGTGCATGGAATCATGTAATATGTGGTATTTGTGACTGGCTTCTTTCACTTAGCACAATGTTTTCAAGGTTCATCCATGTTGTAGCATGTATCAGTATTCTTTCATTTAAAAAATATTTTGAATAATACTTGATTATATGGCTATGCCACATTTTGTTTATTCATCAGTTACTGTACATTTGGGTCTTTTCTACTTTTTGGCTATTGTGAATAATGCTGATATGAGCATTTGTATATAAGTTCTTATGTGGATGTTTGGAATTGCTTGGTCATTAGATAACTCAACATTCAACATTTTGAGAAGCTTATATTATGTTTTGTGAGAAGTCATTTTTTTTAAATCAAATAATGCATGAGCCTTAAGCTATTTTATAACTATAACATAGTCTATGCTGAATCTTATGTGAAGGTACTGGTGTATGCGATAGCTATCATATACTAAGTAATTTTACGTTGTAGTATTCCATCATTTTTAGATACTAAGAATCTGAATATTTAGATATTTGGAATATATTGATTTTTTTTAGCCTTTTATAGCATTTAGTCTGGTCTTTTTAACTTAATCAAATATTTAGAACTCTGAATCATACAGATATTTGTATTTGTTTTTGAGTGAAAATTGGTAGTTTTTAAGATAAAAATATCATGAATTCCACATTTCAGAGTGAAAATATCACTTATACAAATGTCTTTGTTTCACAGATATAAAAGAAGTTTTAGATTCTGACCCTGATAAATCCTTTAAGGAAGAACCAATGGAAATAGATGATGATGTGAAAACAGAGTCACATATAAATTGTCAGGAAAGGTCTCAAGTAGATGTTGTCAATGTCAGTGAGGGTTTTCACCTACGGACTAGTTATAAAAAGAAAATTAAGTCATCTAAACTAGATGGACTTCTTGAAAGAAGAATTAAACAGTTTACACTGGAGGAAAAACAACGGCTCGAAAAAATGAAGTTGGAGGGTGGAATTAAGGCTACAGGAAAGACTTCTACAAGTTCTTTGAAAAGTCTGTCTGAGTCACCAGTAACAACTAAAGCAAAAGACGGGTGTCAAAGTGACTTGCTTAAACAAGAACAAAGTCCTAATGCAAGTAACGATAAATCTGAAGACTTTATTCAGGGATGTTCACAAAGTGATTCCTCTGTTCTGGGAATCATTGATTCTGATCATACCACAAGTAAACTTTATCCAAAAGATCAAATGGTAGATGATGACTCTATTCAGAGCCCAGAAACAAATTGTCAGAAACAAAATTCTTTTGGAAATGACATAGATGAGAGTCTGTCAGAACCAACCAGTAAAGCCTTGCAACCTGGTAAGATTAAAACAAAAGGAAGTGATTTTCTCATTGATGACTCTAAACTAGCCAGTGCCAATGCAATTGGTACTTTGATCTCTAAGAACAAAAAACAGCTCGCACAGGAGGATAATGACAACATTGTTTCTCCTTCCCAGAGCCCTTTATTTCCATCAGTATCTAAAAGTACTGATGATAGAGATATCTCATCTCTGTCAAAAGCAATGGACTTGGAAGGAAAACTGAGATGTGACTTTGAATATAATAGCACTTTGGAAAATAGTTCTGATACTATGTCTATTCAAGACAGCAGTGAAGAAGATATGATTGTTCAGAATAGCAATGACAGTATTTCTGAGCAGTTCATAACTCAAGAACAAGGTATTGAAATCTTGGAACCACTGAAATGTGAGTTTGCTTCAGATAAGTCCTCTGGAAAATGTGATGACAGACTTCAGAGTAAGATAACTGAAGCAAATGGTAAAAAACCAAGTCAAGAACAGAAATTAGAGGAGAGACCAGTTAATAAATGTATTGATCAAATAAATGTAAAAAGTAGCACTGACAAAAAGAATACTGAAAATGGAGAGTCTGAAAAGAAAGGACAGAAAGGAAGTACCTTTCAAATAAATGGAAAAGATAATAAACCTAAAGTATATTTGAAAGGTGAATGCTTGAAAGACATCTCTGAGGATAAAGTAGTAAGTGATGTTGAATCAAAGGTTAATAATATAAATAAAATAATTCCTGAAAATGATATTAAGTCTTTGACTGTTAAAGAGTCTGCTGTAAAGTCATTCATGAATGGTGATGTCATCATGGATGATTTTAATGAAAAAAACAACCTGGAAACAAAATCATGCTCACTGAGATCTTTAGATGCTGAAGGTGACTACCAAGATGGCCTAGAGACCCTGCCATTAACCAAAGAGTCTGACAGAGCACAAATGACCACACCTCCACCATGTTGTCCAGAAAGCAGTTCAGTGGGTCAGGTAGAAGATATGGAAATTGAAACCTCAGAAATTAAGAAAGTTTCTCCATCACCTTTTACTTCTGGAGAGGAATCTAACCTCAGTAATGATTTTATTGATGAAAATTGTCTGCCTACCAACAAAGATGAAAATGTCAATGGAGACTGTAAAAGAAAAACAGTCATCACAGAAGTCACCACCATGACATCCACAGTAGCCACGGAGTCAAAAACCGTAATCAGAGTAGCACAAGGTGATAAGCAGACTGTGGTGTCTTCCACAGAAAATTGTGCCAAATCCACTGTCACGACTACTACAACAGTGACAAAGCTCTCCACACCCTCCACAGGCAGCAATGTGGACGTCATCTCTGTGAAGGAGCAGAGCAAAACTGTGGTCACCACAACAGTGACTGACTCACTGACCACTGCAGGAGGCACTCTGGTAACATCTATGACTGTGAGCAAAGAATATTCCACAAGGGACAAAGTGAAACTCATGAAATTTTCAAGACCCAAGAAGACTCGATCAGGTACAGCTCTACCATCCTATAGAAAGTTTATCACCAAGAGCAGCAAGAAGAGCATATTTGTCTTGCCTAATGATGACTTAAAAAAGTTGGCCAGAAAAGGAGGAATCCGAGAAGTTCCTTATTTTAATTATAATGCTAAACCTGCGTTGGATATATGGCCATATCCTTCTCCTAGACCAACCTTTGGTATCACTTGGAGGTATGTACTTTAAAATGTATTTGTGGAAGAAAGAAAGTTTAAAAGAAATATCTAATATCTCTTTTTTTTTTTTTTTAAGAAAATAATAAAGAAAAGACAGGCATATACTTAAAGACTGAAACTGTAAGGAAATCCTTTAAAATGAAAATCAATTTTACTTTTCATAAGACAAAAGAAACACAGTTGTTTTTGTGGTCTAACTTTCCAAATTATTGTCATGTATTTGCTCTGGGAATGAGATAATCACAGAATTGGATAATCACCAACTTTCTGGAATGTTGATACAGTTGACCCTTGAACAATGTGGGAGTTAGGGGCACCGAATACTCCTGTGGTCAAAAATCCATGTATAACTTAAGTCAGCCCTCTGCTTATATGGATTTCCAATCATAGATCAAAAATGTATTTTATTTTTGTTAGATAATTCATAAAAACATAAGACATAGGAAAATTGCCTGTAAATCACATTAGGTTCATTATAATGTGGAAATCTTCCTAATGTAATTTTTTTGTAAGATAAACATTTGTTCTGGAGTTCTGTTATTTATATGAGTAAAGGTAGTCTCTGAGATTGCTTAGGGCTTTTTTTTAAAACCCTGAAATAGTCTGAATTTAAAATTTCCCAGGCAGTAAGCTTTGGGGTCATAAGTATGTAGTGTTAGGAGTTATGAGATTATATAGGTTTATATTGGGAAAGGATCTTAACATATATATATATATATATATATATATATATATATATATATATATTTACATATAGATAGATAAAATTTGTCTCAGTCCACAGAGGGGGACCGAGTTAGGAATAGTATTTGGTTTTCCTAAATTTTAGTCTAGTACTTTATCTGCTATATCATATTTCACATATTTATCCTTGCTTTGTCCTTATCTTTTTTCCTGTTCACCCTTAGAATTGAAAATGATGGAACATAAACATAAAGAGTTCTATGAGACATGCTTAGAAATCAGGAAGGATCTCAGTTTTGCAGTTACATTTTGCTAGGATCCTGAATTTGATTACTTCTGCCAGTTACTTAGCAGGCTTCATTTCTGTGTATCTTTAATATGATCCCAATTTCTTCAAGTTAAAAATCATGCTTTTTTGGTTTTCTTTATATGACAATAAGCTAGTATCAAAAAAGACCAAAAAAAAAAAAAAAAAAATGTAAATGACTACTCTCTATAAAGGAATTAACTTATATAATCAGGTATAGTTGGTTTAACCAAGTTTTTATAACTCATCTTTTGATTTGAATAAAATCATCACTCCATTACACATTCAATAGAGACAGCTGAAAAGTACAATTTCTCTGCAGGGCCTGCAGTGAAGGATTTGCAGAATCCTGCAGGGAATCAAGGAACTCTTCATTACAGTTCATGGATTTGTAGGATTACTCTGCACTTTTCTGCTTTCTTCATTGAGAGCGGTCCCAAAGTGTATCCTTGACTGTCCTGCAGGTAACTTCTTTCCCACTGGAAAAGTTACTGTGTACAAATACTTTAATTAAAATGACCTGGCAGTGGTGGAGGCCGACCTTTCTGCTTTTTTCTATTAAGAAATGGAAGGTAGGCTCAACTGGGAAGCATTTTCTTTGGACCAGTTCTGCTCAAGTGTTGCCCAGGGCCCTTTTTTGCACGGCTGGGATCAGGAGCCTTGTATTGTTATGTTTTAATATGCACTGTCAGCACAATTTGTATCTGTTTAGTTCATTTCTCATTTTTAAATGGAAGGAAATACCTTCTTATGCATTTTAAACAGATACTGCCTTCAAATAAATGCTAACATCTTAATTTGATAAAGTTGAAAGAAACATAATCCCTTCTGTCTAACAGAGGCATGGGTGAATATGTAAATTATTTTTTACTGTAGAATGCAATTTTTGAAAATGTATACCTGTAAAAAACATGCATGTGAAATGCATTTTTATACTTACACTCAAATAAAATATTTCTGATGTTTAGAGGAGGAGATAAGAATGCCAAAGGTGCATGTTCGATCTTTATTAATGTTAAGGCTGAGCAGTATTGAATGAGTAAAACTTGTCTCATCAACATATTAGGGCTTCTTTTTCCCTCCACACTGTCTATTCCCTTACTTTCTTTTCCCCAGGCCCTGACTCCTTGTTTTTTTTTTTATCCTCTCCCGAGGACATTTTTTCTATTTTTTGTTCAGATAGAGTGTGGGAGGGAGAGAGAGAGAGAGAAACATCGACGTGAAAGGGACACGTCGAGTGGTTGCCACCCACACGACCCAACCAGGGCCGGGGACAAACTGCAACCGAGGTACATGCCCTTAGCGGGAACCGAACCCGGGTCTCTCAGGACCGCAGGCCAACGCTCTAACCGCTGAGCCAAACCGGCCAGGGCTCTGACTCCTTGTTTTATCATCACTTTGAACTAGTAGTTGTCTCCACAGTGTTGCCAGATGGATCCTCCTAAAATTCAGATCTATCCTGTGAATATTCTGACTGAACTGAGCAAGCATTTAAAAGGAACTTGTTAACTCCTGGAAGGCTGAGAGGGGAAAGTGTTAGTCACCTGTCTATCACATCTATGAGAAGTACTTCCCTTTGCAACACATCCAATTCTGGATAAATTTTAGAGGACTTAATATAGATTGCCTTTGAGGCTCTTCCTTAACCCTTCTATTTGGTACAGCACGTTCTGGCTCTGCCTTCCTTTCTCATGCCAGCTTCATCTCTTGCTGCACCTCTACACTTCTTCCTGCCAGCCATAGCTCACCGGATTTGGTTTTGGGGAAGAAGTGTGTACTCTTCACCCTTAACTCCCACACATATGTATGCCCCTTGCCTTCAGTCAGCCATTGCCACATCCTTGTCATTTGAGAGTCACAAGCAAAGCTCTCATCCACATCCCTCAGCTAAATCAAATGCCCCCCACCTTGTGCTTTTCTTTGTTACAGCTTCTGAGGACACACCACAGATTATAATTCATTAATGTGTCCCCAACTCCTTTCACTTAGTCTAATATATAGAAGGCACTCAAACATTTTTTGAATGAATAGGCTGATAACACAAGATGTGTTACCCACCTGATGTTGTTTCCATTATAAAATAGAGATGCTTTAAAGTTGTAGTTTGTAGAGAGTGATTAGAGGAATAAGAAAAAGGAGAAAACACTTCTCTTTCCAAATAGTGAATCCAAAGTTCTTATGGCATTTCTATAGGATGTGGTCTGAAATTGACACACACTTCCTTCCTCCCAGGACATCTCTACACTAGTTAACATTTGCCTGCTAATTAAAAAGTTATTCTGTGCAGGTCAGAGGATTCACAGGGTGATAACACAGTGAAGAAAATAATGGTGTCACAGGTGGAGATGGGAAGTTAAGAAGTTGCAGCAACTTTTTGGCTCGGGCTTTCCCTTTCTCACATTGTTCATTTTTCCAACTTAGCATTAAGAATAGAAGGCATTGTCTTCCAAATTGTCTAAGATTTACTGTCTACCTCGGTTAGAGGAGGAAATTATTTAAGTTTTATAAGTTTTCTCTACTCTGTAGTCTCTACTCTGTAAGTCTTGAAAGATCACTGATAGAGAATTGACATCCTAGGCCTACTTTAAAATATTTATGGTTAATTCTATTTTAGAGCATGATATTCATTACAGTTGTAAATTTGTTTTGAAATGTGTTTTTTTTAACACTGTTTTAAAAAAAATTCTAAATATTCATTAATGTCACACAATGTTTAGATAAAATCAGAGGTTACTTTGTCTCCTGATTAGTAACTAATGCAGTATTGTCCTTTTTTTATTGTTTGTTGTATCATAGGATTCTAAAACTACAGTAATGTTAAAGTGTTATTACTATAATAGTTTCATCATTCATAACTTCATGCTCTGCATAACCACCAGTTGGACACAAAGTTTTCTGTCCATTTGGAAAAGTCTATTGTATTTGCAAGGTCTTTTTGGTTATGTTTTGTTTTTTGAGAAAATGTAAACATTTCTAGTTTATTTCAGCAAAAAAAATCAATCAGTTAATATTTTATCCATCTTTCAAACTCTTATCACATTTGTAACACAATTTATTTCTCTATATTTGCTCTCATAATTTTCTAACACTTATTTTGAGATAAGGCTAAATTTATAAAATCTTCATAAATTGTTGTCGTATCTATCTTGCAGTGAAGCATGCTTGTTGCACAAATTTATGTCATTTGAAGTGACTACCGACTCCTTTTTTAAGTTGCTAGATGCATGTTATGCCTAGGAACAAAAACATTTTTCCATTAAGGGACATACAATAGCCAAAGTGCTTACAAAACCGTATTATAAGTATTGAATGAGGACAAGAAACAGTGGTTCAGTTTAATAGAGAGTGTGTGTGTGACCATTTATATATGGTACTTGTTGGGTTTTTCTTTCAGGTATAGACTTCAGACCGTAAAGTCCTTAGCAGGAGTGAGCCTTATGTTACGGTTACTGTGGGCAAGTCTGAGATGGGATGACATGGCAGCCAAGGCTCCTCCAGGAGGAGGGACTACTCGGACAGGTAAAGGGTTTTGGTTTTCTAGTTGAAGCTTAAAGAGAAAATCACTTGACTTTTGGCTTCATTTTAAGTATGTGTGTTATTTATTAAAATATAATGCTTGTGTTTCAAAAATGTAGCTTTGCTAAAGTTTGATATCACATGTTAGAATATCCTGGGGGCAGGGAAGGGGATTCAAATTATGAGGTGAGTCACTTATGTATGAACCATCTGGATTTTTTTTTTTAAATATATATGTTTTTATTGTTTTTTTTTTTAGAGAGAGAGGAAGGGAGAAAGAGAGAAACATCGATGTGAGAGAGACACATCTATTGGTTGCCTCCTCCATGCCACCTACTGGGGATCAAGCCCGCAACCCAGGCATGTGCCCTGACCAGGAATGGAACAGGGCTCAATCCACTGAGCCACACCGGCTGGACAACCATCTGAATTTTTTTTTTTTTTTTTATCATCCTCACCTGAGGACATTTTTCCATTCTTTGTTCAGATAGAGTGGGAGGGAGAGAGAGGAACAGAGAGAGAAACATCCATGTGAAAGGGACACATCGAGTGGTCGCCACCCGCACAACCAACCAGGGCCGGGGACAAACTGCAACCGAGGTACATGCCCTTAGTGGGAACCGAACCCGGGTCTATCCGGACCGCAGGCCGATGCTCTAACCGCTGAGCCAAACCGGCCAGGGCACCATCTGAATTTTTTAAAGATAGTTGTTGTTATTATACAGCAGCGATTTTTCAGCTGATGTGCTGAGGCGCACCGATATGCCACAAGATATCTTAAAATATGCGATACCTGACTAATTAGTCAGGGGCACTGACTTCTTTTCCTTTAGACTGTCAAATTAAAAAATGACAACAGTCAACACAGCAATAGCTGTCAGTGTGAATGATACCATTTTTGTTGTTAGATTGGCAAAAAATATATTTTTAATGTGCTGTAGAATTTTTTTTGTTTGTTTTGTTTAGTTAATCCTTACCCAAAGATATTTCTCCATTGATTTTTTTTTGTTTTGTTTTGTTTTTTAGGTAAAGTGAAAGGGAGGGTGGGGGGAGAGAGAGAAAGAGAGCAAACCATCTATATGAGAGACATACATTGATTGGCTGCCTCCTGTATGACTCTGACCAGGGCTAGGAATTGAACCTTCAACTGAGATATGTGCCCTTCACCAGGACTCAAACCCCCAACCCTTTAATCCCTAGGCCAAAGCTCTGCCCGCTGAGCCAAACCAGCCAGGGCATGAATTTTTTTTTTATCCTTACCCAAGGACATATATATATATATATTTGCATTTATCTTCAGACAGAGTGGGGAGGGGGAGAAACATCGATGTGAGAGAGGCACACCGAGTGGTTGCCACCCACGTGTCCCCAACCAGAGCCAGCGGAAACCGAACCCGGGACTCTGATCTGTAGGCCGACACTCTAACCACTGAGCCAAACTGGCCAGGGCAGGGGCGTGAATTTTTTAAATTAGTTTATATGTGCCATGAGATGAAAAAGGTTGAAAATTGTTGTTATAAAATATAAATCATTAAAAAATATTTTTTTATTGATTTAAAAAATATATATATATATTTTTTTTTATTTTAGAGGGAGAAGGAGAGAGAGATAGAAACATAAATGAGAGAGAACATCAATTGGCTGCCTCTTGTATGCCCCTGACTAGGAACTAAACTAGCTACCTGTTGGTGCATGGGTCGCCACTCAACCACTGAGCCACACTGGCTGAGCTATTAAATTTTTTAGAGAGAGAGGAAGGGAGAGGGAGAGAGAAATATTGACGTGAGCGAGAAACATCAATCAGCTGCCTCCTGCATGCCCCTCACCGGAGATCGAGCCTGAAACCTAAGCATGTGTCCTGACCAGGAATCAAACCGGACCTCTCAGTCCATGGTACAATGCTCAATCCCCTAAGCCATACAGGCAGGGCAAGAATATATATAATTATATATATTTTTTTATCCTCACCCGAGGACATTTTTGCATTTATATTCAGAGAGAGGGGAAGACAGAGAGAGAAACATCGATGTGAGAAAGACACATCGACTAGTTGCCACCCACACGACCCCAACCAGGGCTGAGGACAAAACTGCAACTGAGACACATGCAGGAACCGAACCTGAGGCACTCTGGTTCATGGGCCGACTCTCTAACCGCTGAGTCAAACCAGCCAGGGCAAGAATATATATCATTTATACTGGGATATCTTAAACTCTGTGTTTGCTGCTTCTCTCCTAGGGTTATTATTATTTTGGATGCATTTTGCCACCAGGAACTAAGCTGCTACAAATAGAATTTTGCTCAGTGGAAATTTTCAGTGAGGAAGAAACTCAGTATTACTGCATTGTAACAGTGATCATGTGACTGTTAATCAACTGCTTCCAAAAGTTTATTTCACGTGTGTCTCTTTTGTAAAGCAGCATATGTTGTACCTTTTTAGTCTCTGAATATTTTAGTTGGTTATTAATACTTTGTGAATTAAATCACTATAGAAACATCTGAAACTGAAATCACAACAACTGAAATAATTAAGAGGCGAGATGTTGGTCCTTATGGCATTCGGTCTGAATATTGTATTAGGAAAATCATTTGCCCCATTGGAGTTCCAGAAGCACCAAAAGGTAAAGAATAGAAAGAATTCTGTTCTTTTATTATTGACCTGTTAGCCACATTTTTTTAATTAATTAAAATTTTATTATAATTGTTTTTTTCAACTATTCAACTTTTGAAAAATACTATTTATCATATAAACTGTTAAATTTTTTAAATGATATTTAAGTAGTAAACAGCAAGATTCCATTCCACTAGTCACACATTGATGTCCATAAGTAGTGTGCCAAGAACAGGGAAGGTACAAAGAGCTATAATAATACCTGTTAAAATTAAGATGTGGAGCAGTCATTGACACTAAACCATCAGCTCCAAGAGGGTAGCTACTAAGTCTGCCTGGTTTGCTGTAGTCCCAACACCTGCTGCAGCAACTAACCTTTACGTGTTGAATGAAGATTTGTTGACTCAAGGATTAAAGCTACTGTAAAATACTTCATTGTTTGGGGTAGAAATAATCTCAGAGGTTAACAAGTTACTCAGGAAACATTTATAGAGCATCTACATACATGATAGGCACTGGGTAGCAAATACATAGAAGAATGCGATCCAGAACCTATTCTCAAGGAAGCAAAGAAAAGTTAAGTTATTCTTTTCTTTTTAATTTTTTTTTTCTTTTTTGATATTAGAGAATGAGGAGGAGGGAGAGGGAGAGAGAGAGAGAAACATTGATGAGAGAGAACATCAATTGGCTGCCTTTTGCATGCCCCCCACTGGGGATCAGGCCCTCAACCTGGGCATGTGTCCTGACCAGGAATTGAACACGTGACCTATTGGTGCATGGGTCCATGCTCAACCACTGAGCCACACCAGCCGGGCTATATTATTCTAATAATACACTTGAGAATCAAAACTGTTAACACTAAGAAGAGAGTTCAGTAAGATGTCTAGATACCAGATAGACAAAAATCAATTATTTTATATGTGCAATAAAAAAATGTATAAAAATCTGTTCAGAAATGAGTAAAAGGAAATTCTGTTCTTAGATAGAAATATAACTATTTTCTAGAAGTTAATTGTCCCCAAATGTGTAAATTTATTTATTTTTTTTAATCCTCACCCGAGGATATTTTTCCCTTTATTTCCAGATAGAGTGGAAGGGGAGGAGGGAGGGAGGGAGGGAAAGAGAGAGAGAGAGAGAGAGAATCAAATATCGACTGGTTGCCTCCCGCAGGACCCCCACCAGGGCTGGAGATGATCCGCAACCCAGGTACGTGCCCTTGACCTGAATAGAACCCAAGACTCTGATTCATGGGCCGATGGTCTAATTGCTGAGCCAAACTTGCCAGGGCCCAGATGTATAAATTTAATTTTTGACTCTTGATTGAGTTAACTCAGAAGTTTATCCTGGAGAATAAATGACTGAGAATGGCCTTTCTGAAAAGAACACTGATAAGAAGAGTTACCTGTCCTAGTAGATTATGAAATATTAGTTTAATTAAAACTGTTGTCCTGGAACAGTATTGGACAATGCAATAGATAGGCAGAGACAGATGGAAGAGGGTATTCCTGACCAGTCTTCAGTCTTGACCCCACAGCCTTCAATGCAAACCACTGCAATCTCCTTAAATCACTTTTCTTTGGCTTGTATCATCTTAGTACAACCCAGGTCCTACTGCTATTTCAGTTTCCTTCTTTAGGTTTCCTTTTATTCTACTGTTTCCTGTTTCCTAAACATGGGAAGGTTCAATACTTACCTCCCTGTTTCTTATTTTGAAAATATTTTACCTATTTTTAAGAGTTTCACATCTCTCTGTTGTGTTGGTAACTCTCAAGTCCCCCTTTTCAGTGCCTTGATAGGGAAATACAGATTGCCAGAGTTGTACATAGCAAGGACACTCAGCCCAACCATGGGAAGAATGAACTATGCTTCTTTTTTGTTGTTAATCCTCACCAGAGAATATTTTTACACTGATTTTTACACAGAGTAGAAGTGAGGGAGGGAGGGAGAGAACAAGACACAACAATTAATTGCCTCCTGCACGACCCGGACCAGGGCTGGGGATCAAACCTGCAACCCAGTTACACGTGCCCTTGACTGGGAATCAAACCCTTAGGTCCGCAGGCTGTCCCTCTAACCACTGAGCCATACTGGCTAGGGCTGAGCTATACTTTAAGTAAGTTGTATCCATGTTGGGGTCTGAAGGATAAGTAGGCATTGATAAGTGAGGAGTGGGAGGCTAGGAATAGTGTTCAAGGCAGAGGAACAAGGCTGTGGAAAGGTTCATAGACCTCTGTGTCAGAGGCCAACAGACAGTGGTCCATGAGCCTTGACCCACTGCCTGCTTTTGTTAATAAAATTGGACGAGAACACAGCCACACTCACTTATGTATTGTCTTTGGCTCCTTTGGCTCCTTTTGGGATACAAAGGCAAAGTTAAGCAGTTGTAACAGAGACCATCTGGCCCACATGGTATTTACCATCTGGTTTTTTAAGAAAAAGTTTGCCAATCCCTGCTTTTCATGATATATAAGAGGAGAGGCCAGACGTACTGTAATTTTAGGAACTCTTTTGCTTAAAATACTCTGGTTTATTTTCCAAAGAAACACCTACACCTCAGAGGAAAGGCCTTCGATCAAGTGCATTACGGCCAAAGAGATCAGAAACACCCAAGCAAACTGGCCCTGTTATCATTGAAACCTGGGTAGCAGAGGAAGAGTTGGAATTATGGGAGATCAGGGCGTTTGCTGAGAGGTAAGGAAATGGTTAACACGTTATTATATATTTGAAGATTTTATCATTTCAGAATTAAAGAAGTACCCCTTAATAGTTTATTCAATGTGTCCTAATACTACTATACCTTTTGATTTTAAGCTGGTTGTATATCATTTATTAAGATCCTGGTTCTAATTTTATCCATTTGTCAGTTTCTAATTATCCTACTTTAAGTGTTTTATTTCTAAATTTAAAATAATTTGATACCTCTTCATAATGTGTAAGTCAACCAGATTTCACTTAATATTAGATGCCAGGTGCCAAAAAGGTAGTTTCTGATAAATTCCTCCTTTTTTCCCCCTGCAGAGTGGAGAAAGAAAAGGCACAAGCAGTTGAGCAACAGGCTAAGGTTAGTGAACAGAAGAAGGCAGAGGACTTCAAGGCCCAAATGGAGGCACACCTCAAACAGCAGCGGTTGGCTGCCCAGCAGGTGGGGGAGTTGGTACCAGTCCCACCTGGCAATGAATTGACAGTTTTAGCCAACTTCATGCACAGTGAAAGCACAGTAATGATATATTCATGCAGTTTTATTTTTAAGGGTAACTCACACATAATCTAAATTTCGTTACTAGAAAGTAGCTCTGTGGATACACCAAACTATAGTTTTGCAAACAGTATACATATTTGGAGAACAATGTTAGAAATAAGGTTTATTTATTATCTTTATAATTTAGTGGATAGTTTATAAAGGTAATTTTTTTGCTGAAGAATTCCAATCTTTAAAATCCCTGTAGTCTATAAAAAGCAAATTGTACTAAAATTCTATGAGTTTTTTTTAATTGATGATCATAAAGCTCTACCAATGGTTTCTTAGCATTTCCATACTATAAATGATGTACCATATGTGTGCCTGAATATCAAGGATCTATGTAAAAGATGATTACCCTTTTTTATATTGAGATGCTATTAAAGCTTTTAGCTAACTTGAATATATAAACTTTAAACATTATAGATGGCCCTGGCCGGTTTGGCTCAGTGGTTAGAGCGTCCGCCTGCGGTCTGGAGAGACCCGGGTTCGGTTCCCGCTAAGGGCATGTACCTCGGTTGCAGTTTGTCCCCGGCCCTGGATGGTCGTGCGGGTGGCAGCCACTCGATGTGTCCCTTTCGCATCGATGTTTCCCTCTCTCTCTCTCTCTCTCTCTCTCTCTCTCTCCCCCCCCCCCCCCCCCACTCTGTCTGTACAAAAGATGGAAAAGTGTCCTCGGATGAGGATTAAAAAAAAAACAAAAACAGCCCTGGCCGGTTTGGCTCAGCGGTTAGAGCGTCGGCCTGTGGTACAGAGACCCGGGTTCGGTTCCCGCTAAGGGTACCTACCTCAGTTGCAGTTTGTCCCCGGCCCTGGTTGGTCGTGCGGGTGGCAGCCACTCGATGTGTCCCTTCACATCGATGTTTCTCTCTCTCTCTCTCTCTTCCTCTCTCTCCCTCCCGCTCTGTCTGAGCAAAGGGTGCAAAAATGTCCTTGGGTGAGGATTAAAAAAAAACAAAAACAAAAACATTATAGATGAAATAGATATATATCTATTTATAATATCATTAACTTACACATAACTTTAAAAATTGTAATTTATATAAATTAGGTCTTCATTCCAAATTGCCTCTTTCCTCTCACATTTTATAAAACATTTTTTAAAGTTCTTAGGTATCTTTTACATTGGTTTACAGTAGGTCATCATCTTTACTTATATCAAAGTTTGAGATAACAGCACTTCTGAATCTGTTCATAGAAAAACTGATTGTTTTTCATTTTATGCATATTTCTTGTCATTTCTACAATGTAAACTAATGGTTTACTTTTTTAATTTTCTTTAACATACTTATTTACAAAGATAGTCAACATATCCAATTTTGAAGACTTAGCCCCAGGAAATAATTTCCAGATATGTGTTCAGTTTTTTTTTTTTTATTGATTCAATCAGATGGTATGTCTAAGTATCCAAACTAAACTCCTTTCCTTCTGAGGAAATTATGTGAACATTTCACCTTGTATTCAGCCATAGAGGACGTGTACAAAAGTAGTCCTAAGAAGAGTGGGTGTGATGTCATTGGTGAGTAGTTTCCAATGGCAGGAGAGAGTTCAGAATTGGAATTGGATCTTGGCTCCACCATTAAACTAGCTCTGTCCTTGGGCCAGTTTTACAACCTCTCTGAGTCTCAGTTTCCTCATCTTTAAATCACAATACCAGCAACTTTATTGGGTTGATCTGAGCATTAAATAAGATAATGAAGGTAAAGTATCTGCCACCAGGTTTGTAATCCATACCACCTATTATTTCATATGTGTAAGCTTACACCAACATGTTTGTGAGCTGTCAGGAAATGTCAGCAGTCTATGATAAAAGATACACAAGTTGTCTTTAATAATTGTAATGTCTGAAAGATCAGATTATACCACTTTGTACAAAATAGTCTAAAGTATTTTTCTGTAAAAATGTTTGAACTCAAAAATATAAAACTAGAAAAATTGCTTTGTAAATTTTAGTTTGCTTGATGGTAGGTTTGCCATTTTGAATAGTCATGTTTAGACATTGACATGTTTTTTATGATTGGATAAATTAATAGTATGGTAAACCAGAAACTTTTTTCAGTTAGTATTATTTATTATCCTCCATAAGTAACCATGCTGAGCAGAAACGTGTTTCTGTGTCTAGTGAGATTACTGATGTCTCTTATTTTCAGTCTGAAAGCCTGAACATTTGTACAGACTGAAAAAACGTGAGTTGTTTTTTTTTCTTACTGATTTTTATACAGAGAGGGAGGGGGAGGGAGAGAGATAGCAACAACGATGAGAGGGACCAACTAGCCACTTCCTGTATGCCCCCCACTGGGGATCGGGCCCACAACCTGGGCATCTGGGCATGTGCCCTGACAGGGAATTGAAACAGCGACCTCTTGGTGCATGGGTCAACGCTCAACCACTCAGCAACACTGGCCGGACAAAACTTGATATGAAAAACTTTTGTTATGAAAAACTTATTACTTTTAATAAAATGTATGTGACAGTGTCATAAAAATATTTTCATCAAGAAACTAAATTCAGCCCAGCTGGTGTGGCTCAGTGGTTGAGCATTGACCCACACACCAAGAGGTCGCTCGTTTGATTCCTGGTCAGGGCACATGCCCAGGTTGTGGATTTAATCCCCAATGGGGGGCATGCAGGAGGCGGCCAGTCAATGTTCTCTCTCATCGATCTTTCTATATCTCTCTCCCTTACCCTTTCTCTCTCTCTCTAAAATCAATAAAGAAAAAAAAATTTTTTTTTTAGAAGAAACTAAATTCAAGGTAAATTTCTATGGGCATATTTTCAAAATTAAATAATTTGAAATATGGTACAGTTCTTAAGAGAAATTGTAGCTAGACTTCTTGCAGAATGGTATTGTTTTTATTTAGAACAATTTTTGTTCATGTTTTTTCTCCCTACTTTTTAGAAACGGTTGGAACAGCAAAAGCCTACAGTAATTTCAGCTTCCACGACTTCCCCAACAAACAGTACGACTAGTACCATTTCTCCAGCACAGAAAGTTATGGTGGCCCCCATAAGTGGCTCAGTTGCAACTGGAACTAAAATGGTACTAACTACTAAAGTTGGATCTCCAGCTACAGTAACATTCCAGCAGAACAAGAACTTCCATCAGACCTTTGCCACTTGGGTTAAGCAAGGCCAGTCAAATTCAGGTACATAACTGTGATTAAAGAAAAGATTGCTTTTATTCAAGAAAAAGAATTGCAATCAATTACCTGCTGAAATAAAACATTTCTTTAGAAATTGTTTTTCTTCTACAGCAGATTGAGAAAACAAGCTGTAACGGTTTGTTACAGATAATATTCATAATATTACATTAGCAAAACTCCTCTCACCTTATTTCACTTTCAACATTTACATAGTTCACTTTGAGTGGAGAGGAATTTTTTTAAAATACAAAATGAATCACATTTCATTCATTGGTGCCCTTCCTAGAAGTCACTACGTTGCTGGTTATTTTAAATCTAAAGCTTATTAAATGTCTTATACCCTATTAGCTACCAGCACAGCTGCCACATCTGCTACAACCATTGCCAGCACAGGTCAGACGTTCCAAATTACAGGCAATCCAGTCACTATGGCAGGAAAAGTAATTACCAAACTGCCACTTCCTGCAAACAGCAAGATTGTCGCTGTAAATGTGCCAGCAACACAAGGAGGTAAGGGAAATGTGAAGAGTTTTGATTCACATTTGCCAGATCATACCGTTGCCATCATTTTTCATTTTCTTTTCACTGATTTCAGTCCTTGGATCTCACATTCTGTGTAGCCCACTGTAAAACCCTGCCACACGTAGTTTCTCCCCAGAAACTGGGCAATACCTGATGTTTTTTATTAAAGGAGCAGTTGTTAATTACTTCTTTATCTTTTTTTAAGGCGTTGTTCAAGTACAGCAAAAAGTCCTGGGTATCATTCCATCAAGTACAGGTACAAGTCAGCAAACCTTTACTTCATTCCAGCCCAGGACAGCAACAGTCACAATTAGGCCCAACACCTCAGGCTCTGGAGGAACCACAAGCACTTCACAAGTAAGAATTCTTTTCAGGCTTATTTTCCCTTGAAGTGTTTACCCATATCAGGTTTTTAAAATGGCCTCTTCCACAATTAATCCAGCTTCTAATTTTTCTTTGCTTTTTACTTAATTTGTGACAAAGTACTGAGTTTAAGAAAATATATTATGTAAAAATTGATACATGAACTGTTTATTTTTAACATATAAGTAATAGCACTTTTATTGTTAATTATAGATTAGAGCTTCCCTGGGTCTCATTTCTTTTAAGTCTGTAGGCTGTTCTTGGTATCAATGACAAGGAATTTTATATTTCATTTGAATTAAATTTTCTCCCATCAAAATTCCATCTTTATTCTGATGCTTAATATAATTTAAAATGTAATATCCAAGAGTCTCTGTCATTTCTGTAGACTTGTTTATCAGTATATACTATTTAAAGATCTATGTTCTAAGTCCATCATCCTTTAGTCTTTTAAAAACATTTTAATTTATTGTCTTTTGTGTCATTTATAGGTAATCACAGGGCCTCAGATCCGCCCTGGTATGACAGTGATTAGAACACCACTCCAACAGTCAACACTAGGAAAGGCAATTATTCGAACACCTGTGATGGTACAGCCAGGTATTCATCCATTTTACATCTAAACAACCAGTCTAGGAAATCTGTAATACTCTGCATTTGGCTCTCTACTTACTAGAAAATACTAATTTGAATTAATACTTGAAAGCATACTAAATTTTTAATTCATTTTAGTATGTATTCATAGATATTATTTCATTTCTGGCATTGGAAAATAGATCCAAGTATGCTTATTAAAAATATTTTTACAACGTCTAATAAATGGATTATATACATTCAAATAATTGGAGTAGAGAATGAGCAAAGAAAACACTCTGTCAAAAGACAGAGATAAAATCAAGAAAACAGCTAAGAAGCATTTAAATGGAAAGCGTAAAACAAGATTACAAAGACAGAACCAGCCTTTCATTAATGTGAATGGGCTCAAAGCTCCCGGTTTGGCTCAGTGGTTAGAGCGTCGGCCTACGGTCCAGAGAGACCTGGGTTCAGTTCCCGCTAAAGGCACGTACCTCAGTTGCAGTTTGTCCCCGGCCCTGGTTGGGTCGTGTGGGTGGCAACCATTCGATGTGTCTCTCTCTCCCCCCCCTTCTCTCTCCCTTCGCTCTATCTGAATAAAAAATGGAAAAATATCCTCGGGTGAGGATAAAGATAAATAAATAAAATTTGAAAAATGTAAAGATTGAGGGAAAAAATAAATCTAACTATACATTTTTGAGAAACATAACCAAAACCAAGATACACACAAAAGGGTAAAAATAAAAAGATAGGCAAAGAAATAATGGTGAAAGGAGCAGTGAGGAGGACAATGATAATCCTACTAATATTGGACAGAGTAGAAGAATTCACTTTTTTATCCTCACCCAAGGACATTTTTCCATTTTTTGTTCAGACAGAGTGGGAGAGAGAGAGAGAGAGAGAGAGAGAGAGAGAGAGAGAGAGAGAAAGAGAGAAACAGCGACGTAAAAGGGATACATCGAGTGGCTGCCTCTTGCACTACCCAACCAGGGCTGGGGACAAACTGCAACCGAGGTACGTGCCCTCAGCAGGAACAGGACTCGAGTCTCTCTAGACTGTAGGCCGATGCTGTAACCGCTGAGCCAAACCGGCCAGAGCGATTTCACTGTGTTTTAAAAGACTTTACATAGGACAAAGAGGGTCATTTTAATTGGCTTCAACATAAAGGTTACAATGAAGATGTGATCTTGAATATTTATAAACTAAAGCTTGTCACTGAAGTGGTTTCATAAAAAAATATTTGAAATCAAGGAGGGATTAATAGATGCATAGTAGACTAGAAACAGACGTGTGTATCAACTTTTGTAATTTCATGAATGCACACTGGTTTTAAATATCTATGGATGATTTATATGAAAATGGTTATGTAATGTGTCATGGGTCAGGCCTTGATGAATTCCAAAAAGAAGTTTGTTTACAGGCCACATTCGTTGTAGTAAAGCTCAAAATTAATATTAAAGTATTATAATAACCTTTACTTAGAAATTTAAAAATATGTATTCTCATAAGTAACTTTTATTTATTTATTTATTTTTTTAATCCTCACCCGAGGATATTTTTCTATTTTTTGTACAGATAGAGTGGGAGGGAGAGAGAGGAACAGAGAGAGAGAGAGAAACATCGACGTGAATGGACACATCGAGTGGCTGCCACCCGCACGACCAACCAGGGCCGGGGACAAACTGCAACCGAAGTACGTGCCCTTAGCGGGAACCGAACCCGGGTCTCTCCGGACCGCAGGCCGATGCTCTAACCGCTGAGCCAAACTGGCCAGGGCTCATAAGTAACTTTTAAATTGAAGAAATTTCAAACACAGGATTGAATGCTGCCGAAGCTGCAGATTTATTGTTGGTTTTTTTTTTAATCCTCACTAGAGGACACTATTTTCTTTGCATTTATCTTCAGATAGAGTGGGAGGGAGAGAAGGAGGAAGTGAGAGAGAGAAACATTGATGTGAGAAAGACACATCGAGTGGCTGCCACCCACACAATCCCAACCGGGGCCGGGGACAAACTGCAACCGAGGTACATGCCCTTAGCGGGAACCGAACCCAGTACTCTCCAATCCGTGGGCCAAAGCTCTAACTGCTGAGCCAATCCAGCCAGGCCAGAATCATTCTTTAACAAATGCTTGAGCACCTACTCTAGGTAGTTGAACTACGTTGGTGAACAAAACAGACAAAAACCCCAAGAATTTTGTTTTCAGCGATCATTTCTATAGTTTGTTACTAGAGAGGTTTCTCCGATTGTGTAGATCACCCAAAAGCATCATGAGGAGGCGGAAAAGACACAGCGTTCTCTCCTGAGCGTGAAGCCGGTTTTTGATGTTGCTTTGGTCACTGCCATTTGCCTTTGATGATTGTTCTTTTTCTCTCTTTTGGGAGACTAAGAGGGAGAGGACACCTCTGAGTGGAAAAAACAAAAAAGGGGGAAAAAGACCATATTCTTAAATCTTTTCTTTTTTTTCCCTATCCTCATTCGCGGACTTTTTTTTGCATTTATCTTCAGATAGAGCGGGAGGGGGGGAGAGAGAGAGAGAGAGAGAGAGAGAGAGAGAGAGAAACATCGATGTGAGAGAGACACATGGAGTAGTTGCCACCCACACAACCCCAGCCAGGGCCAGGGACAAACTGCAACCGAGGTACGTGTCCTTAGCGGGAACCAAACCTGGGACTCTCTGGACCGCAGGCCGACATTCTAACGGCTGATCCAAACTGGCCAGGGCCCATATTCTTAAATCTTAATCAAAAGTTAGAAAAATATTTATAGCAAATCTTAAATGAAAACATGTAAAATAAAAGTCCAAATATAAATAGAAAACAGGAAAGGCAAATACTATTAAAATAAGCCATTTTTGCAAGTCTGATCTTGAGAAAAGATAATAAAATGCTAGTTTACAGATTTAGGAATGAGAAAGTGCTTTGAAAATAGAATAAATTTTCTTAAATCAAAAGAGATTTGTTTACAGGTATTCTTGTGGCAATTCTTTGAGAAGGCTCACTGTCTACATGGAATAATTGAATCTATTTGACTAATTAGGCATAATTATATACTATGCTTATAAATTTCAAATCTCAATGACTCATGTCAAGGAAAGAAATTTGGAAAGTTTTTCTATATTATTACTCACAAAAATAATCCCAGAAGTCATGGTTTTATAGGTAGAATTCTTCAAAATGAGAAATACCTTTTGCAAATCCTTATAAAAAATAGTTATAGAGTATAGGAGAAAGAAAATACTTAATTTTTCCTGTTCATTTTTAAAAATTAATTAATTTGTAAATCCTCACCCAAGGATACTTTTCTGTTTATTTTCAGACAGGGAGGGGATGGGGGGAGAAAGAAACATCTATGTGAAAGAGATGCATCGATTAGTTGCCTCCCACACGACCCCAACCAGGCCGGAACTGAACCATAACTGAGGTACATGCCCTTGACCGGAATTGAACCTGTGACTCTTTGGTCTGCCGGTGGACACTACAACCACTTAGCCAAACTGGCCAGGGCTCCTGTTAATTTTACAAATTGAGCACAATTCTAATAAGAAACATAATATAGTTTGTTTTTTTTAAGGCAGTTTTTTTTTTTTTTTCAATGCCAAGTAACATCACAGAAAGTGTGATTTATTATTTCACTTAATGCTACAGGGAGAGTTGATAAAAATCAATATCCATTCTTGTTTACTAATTTTTTTTTTTATTCCTCACCCACGGATACTTTTCTATTTATCATTAGATAGAGTGGGAGGGAGAGAGGGTCAGACAGAGAGAAACATCCATGTGATAGAGCCACATGGACTGGTTACCTTCCGCATGACCTGACCAGGGCCAGGGACGAACCATAATCAAGGTACGTACCCTTGACCAGAATCGAACCCACAACTCATTGGTCCACAGGCTGACGCTCTAACCACTGAGAAAAACCAGCCAGGGCTCCATTCTTGTTTAAAAATAGATGTTATGCAAGTAACTAAAAGGAAAGATAAAATAATGTAAAGGAGAAAAAAATGTATAGCTGATAAATGATAATGTACTTAGAAAACTTAAAAAAAAAAAAGTCGGTTGCAAGATAGAGCCTGTTTCCTACTATCTTATGTAGCTGCAGTTTTATGTTTGACTTGCATGTATGAATGTATAGTTTTACGTAGGAGTGGGGCTGGTGTGTCAAAGGAAAAGCATGGTGGCCAGTGAGGCTGGTAGGGCCCAGTGAAGGTGAGTCGAGCTATAGCAGTTGTGGTCAGAGAGGTTCCGCAGGTGGGTGGATGTGTGCTGTGTGTCTGTGAGTGTATGCAGGTCAACTTATCCCTGTTCCTACCCTACACTAGCCTTTCTCAAAATTGAATCCACAGACTTCCAGAATGTAATTAAATTTTTAAATTTAAGTAATGTGTGTACTGGGGATTATTATCTGAATAACGTTCATATAATCAATGTGTACCAACTCTTTATCCATCTGTGTTTATGATGGCACTGTGTCAGTACCAGGTGATCACGTAAAGTTAACTTTTTCAGGCATTGTTCCTTCACCTGCAGTATGAGGACATACTGTTGGGGTTCAAAAGTTGATTCAACTTGAAGAGTGCATGAAAATAACCAAGGAAAGATTAGAAGAAAGAGTAATGATGAAAAACTTGCACTGCCAGTTGTTAAAGCATCTTATGCCTCTAGAATTAGGAGCATGATACCAAAGGAAACTAGACCAATAGAAACAATTAAGGAAGTATATTACATGTGAGAATTTTCTGTATGACAAAGGTGTCATTTTGAATCAGAAGGAAGGATTGGGTTTATGAGTAAATGATAGAGGGATAATCAGTTTTGAGGGAAAATAGCCAACATATACCATGACTAAGAATATATTTGGGAGCCCTGGCTGGTGTGGCTCAGATGGTTGAATGTTGTCCCATGCACCAAGAGGTCACCAGTTCTATTCTGGTCAGGGCACATGCCTGGGTTTTGGGCTCAATCCCCAATGGGGGGCATGCAGGAAGCAGCCGATTGATGTTTCTTTCTCTCGCTTCTCCCTTCCTCACTCTCTCAAAATCAATAAAAACATAATTCCCCACCCCTGCTCTATAGTAATTTAAATTCAGGTACTGTGGTCATACTCTTTCTGATTGCTGAAATATTTTACTTTAGTCGAATACCCAAGGTTTCATTGTTCACTGAAATGTACACTCTGTTGTGGTGGGAATATGAATTGATACAACATTTCTAAAATTCAATTTAGTACTATGTCCCTACTATGAACCTAGTAAGTTTGGGGGCAGTTTATTCTAAGGAAATAATTAGAAGCACATAAAAATTTAGAAGCGAGGATTTCATCATGGAGTTATTTAAAAAGGAATATATTCTAAATGTCAAAATAGGCTCAATTTTATACATATGCAGTAATCTTGAACAGGCATTAAAAGAAAGATACATATAAATAATGCATTCACAGAAGGAAAAAAGGAAGCGAATATATAACTTCAAAAATGTGATATGATTCACTAATTAATAAAGAACTAGGGTTTTATAAATGTAAAATTAGCTTCCACATAATTACTTTCAGCAGCTATTCCATAGGGAGCAAAATCCCACTTGCCTTTTCTTTCAGTTTTAGCAAATTAAATGAGAAATGAAAGTTTTTTGAAGACTGTAGAGTCATTCCAATTAAACTTCATTTATCAGTAGATTTTTATTGAACCATAACTATGGAAGCATTTCTTGAGCACTTTGCCTGAGTACAGTTATACCTTGGAGATATTGCAGGTTTGGTTCGAGGCCATTGCACTAAAGCAAGTCATAATCTTTTTGCTAGTGGAGGGTCTTGTCTTCAGTTTGTAAAAAGAAAAACCAAAATTATCTGAAGTGCATTAAACCAAGTACAATAAAATGATGTATGGTTTGCCCTGGCCAGTTTGGCTCCATGGTTAGAGAGGAGTAGGGATCCTTTTTTCTGCCAAGGGCCATTTGGATATTTATAACATCATTTGAGCACCATGGACTGAGAGGTCCCAGTTTGATTCTAGGTCAGGGCACATGCCAGGGTTGCAGGCTCAATCCCCAGTAGGGGGCATGCAGGAGGCAGCCAATCAGTGTTTCTCACATTGATGTTTATATCTCTCTCCCTAAAAAATCAATAAAAACATATTTTTAAAAAATTTCCCCTAAGGAAAAAAGCCTGCTATGTTTGGTCAGGCTAATTTGGTGAAGCGTATGATAGCTGTTATTGATTTTGGGCCTATACAGCTGGCTGGCTGGACGTTCTTCACCCCTGGCCGAGTATTGGCTTGTAGACTGAGGAGCCGAGTCACAGGTTCGATTCCAAGTCAAGGGCACATGCTTCTGTTGCAGGTTTAATCCCTGTCCCCGGTCAGGGTCATGCAGGAGGCAACCAATCAATGTGTCTCTCTCACATCAGTGTTTCTCTCTCCCTCCTTTTCTCCCTCCCACTCTCCCACTCTATCTAAAAACCAATGGAAAAATATCCTCAGGTGAGGATTTAAAAAAAATGGCCCTACTGGTGTGGCTCAGTGGTTGAGTGTCAACCCATGCACCAAGAGGTTGCCGGTTTGATTCCTGGTTAGGACACATGCCCAGGTTGTGGGCCTAATCCCCAGTGGGGAGCATGCAGGAGGAGGCCAATCTATGTTCTCTTCCCTCTCCCTTTCTCTCTCAAATCAATAAAGAAAAAATATTTTTTAAAAAAAGAAAAAATATTTTAAAAAGAAAATGAGGTATGACTTATTGAGGATATAGTGATCCTTCCCCTCATGCATCTCTCAAACTGTCTGGCACATAGCTGTACGAAAAGCTTATTAATAATTGACTCCAAATATTTCAGATTCTGTATATTTTCTTTAAAATTAATATGAATGCCCTAGGCGGTCTTGTTCAGTGGTTAGAGCATTGGCCTGCGGACCAGAGAGGCTAAGGGCACATACGTCAGTTGCAGTTTGTCTCCGACTCTGGTTAGGGTTGTGTGGATGGCAACCACTCGACGTTTCTCTCCCTCTCTTTTTCCCTCCCTCTCTCCCTCCCACTCTATCTCAAATGCAAAAATGTCCTCAGGTGAGGATAAAAAAATAAATAAAATGTGAATTAACTTTATATTAAATTACTATTTTTAATGTTATATTTCTAAGAAAAGTCAGCCTTATGAATGGCATATTTTACATATTCTTCTCTGTCTTTCCTACTGTCATTTTGCCTTTGGACATACATGAAAAATATTGTTTTTTTACTATATTATAGATAGCAGGAACAGGAGAGTGGTTGTCAGTGATGTGACTGAAAACAGGCTCACTGACGAGGTGGATCCTTAGGGTGCGGGTAGATGTCTGAATGCATGCTTGAGCTGTCAGCATCCCATAATTCTTTTTTGGACATTGAAAAGAATACATTTATCTGAAGTGTTGAACTGTTTCAACTCAAAGTGCTGCTAGACATATAAGTATTTGTAATGCTTTGCTGTTTGCCTAGGTACACCTCAACAAGTGGTGACTCAGATCATCAGGGGGCAGCCTGTTTCCACTGCTATCTCTGCCCCTAATGCAGTTTCCTCAACACCTGGGCAGAAAGGATTAACTTCAGGAACATCCACTGCAAGTCTGCAGTCTTCAGCCTCACAATCCCCTCGCCCCCAACAAGGACAGGTGAAGCTTACCATGGCTCAACTCACTCAGTTAACACAGGGCCATGTAAGTAGCTCAACTTCATTTTAACTTTAGAGATGGTCATATTTATTCTTGCTATAAGTTTAAAAGAATGTACTTATTTTCAGAAATATAAAAATATAATTTTAAGAAATGTTTGCCTTGGTTGGTTTGACTCAGCATTTAGAGTATCGGCTCGTGGACTGAAGGGTCTAGGGCAGCAGTTCTTAACCTGTGGGTTGCGACCCCTTTGGAGCTCGAACGACCCTTTCACAGGGGTCGCCTAAGACCATCGAAAAACATATTTCCGGTGGTCTTAGGGACTGAGACACCACTCCTCTATCCGTCTCCAGGTGGGTCCGCCCACATGCAGATATGCCCACATACAACATGAGGAACTGTATTAAAGGCTTGCAGCATTAGAAAGGTTGAGAACCACTGGTCTAGGGTTTTATTTCTCGTCAGGGGCACATACTTGGGTTGCAAGTTCGATCCCTAGTAAGAGGCATGCAGGAAGCAGCCGATTGATGTTTCTCTCTTATATTGATGTTTCTATTTCTCTCCCTTCTTCTCTGTCTAAAAAAATCAATAAAAACATATTTTTTAAAAAATGAATAGCTATAATACCTTTGAAAAATTGGAGGATTTGCCCTATATCATAACCTGATATCAAAACTTATTGTAATGCTTCACTAATTAATATAGTAAGGTGCAGACACAAAGATAAATAGACCAGCAGAACAAGCAAAAGCACAGTAAGTGACACATGCATATGTGGACACTTGTTATACGATAGAGTTGCATTGCAGACCATTGAGGAAAGGACGTTTTCAGTAAATGGTGCTGGGACAATTGAATATACATGGGAAACCATGAAATTAGACACTACCTCACTCAGTCTTCATAACCTAAGGGTAGAAAAGGCTTTATTAAAAATACAGAAAACACTAAACATAAAGGCAAATTTTGTAAATTCAGCTACATTATAAAAGAGAGTGAAAAGAATGAGAAAGTATAACTAAAACCAACCAAGGTCCAGAACTCAGAATACATGAAGAACTTCTATAAATCAAGAAGAAAAAATTTAGTAGCTCAGTAGAAAAAAGGAAAACACTTGATGAGAAAATGGGCTATCTAAATGTCTTAAAATTCCAAACAGCTGCTGAACTGTCTTAGTAATGAAAGAAATGCTTATTAAAAACCATATACGTAAGAGATTGGTATAAATTAAAACATCAGACAAAATGAAGAGTTAAAGACATTTGTTTATGCACAACTAGTAGTAGTATAAATTGGTTTAGTCATTTTGGAAAAGTAGACATTACCTAACAAAGTTGAAGATGTGCATGCCCCAGGTCCTAGTAGTTCTCCTTCCAAGTGTTTGCCTAGAGAAGTTCCTGTTTACCTGAGCACCAGGATAATAAATATTTATGGCAGCACTGGTTTTTTTTTTTTAATCCTCACCCGAGGACATTTTTCCATTTTTTGTTCAGATAGAGTGAGAGGGAGAAGAGGGGAAGAGAGAGAGAGAGAGAGAAACATCAACGTGAAAGGGACACATCGAGTGGCTGCCACCTGCACAACCCAACCGGGGCTGGGGACAAACTGCAGCTGAGGTATGTGCCCTCAGCAGGAACAGAACCCGGGTCTCTCCGGACTGCAGGCCAACGCTCTAACCGCTGAGCCAAACCGGCCAGGGCTATGGCAGCATTGTTAATGAGTCAAAAACTGGGAACAACCCAAATGTCTATGTATAATCATTAGATAAATTCTGGTATATTCCTACAACAATGAAATTAAACAGTCCACAGCTACAAAGAACTACATTCTTGAGCTAAAGAAACAAGTAACAAAAAAACTTACATTGTGATTCTATTTGCATAAAATTCAGAAACAGGCAAAACTGGTTATATTATGTATGGCATAGCCTACCAGGAGGGGGGCACTATTCTCACATTTTTTTTGTGGGTGGTGCTCCTAAAGTTGTGATTCTATGGCCCTTTAAAATCTATACCAGTGCAGCCGGTTTGGCTCAGTGGTTGGAGCATCGGCCTGCATACCAGAGACTCCCGGGTTCAGTTCCCACTAAGGCCCACGTACCTCAGCTGCAGTTCGTCCCCGGCCTCTGTTGGGGTCGTGTGGGTGGCAGCCAGTCGATGTGTCTCTCTCACATCAATGTTTTTCTCTCTCTGTCTTCCTCGCTCTCTCCCTCCTGCTCTATCTGAAGATAAATGCAAAAAATGTCCTCAGGTGAGGATAGAAAAAAAGATCTATACCTAACCCCCCTGCATAGCTCAGTGGTTGAGCGTCAACCTGTGGACCAAGAGGTCGCCGCTTCAATTCCCAGTCAGGGCACATGCCCAGGTTGTGGGCCAAATCCCCAGTGGGAGGCATGCAGGAGTCCCTTCCCCTCTCTCAAATCAATAAAGGAAAAAAAAGATCTATACCTAAGTAGTAACATTTTGAAGGAATCCAATGTTATTGTAACAGTAAGAATAGTGGTTACTAGGGAAAGGAAAGGAATTAAGATCAGAGCAGGTCACACAGGTCACATAGGGGGCTTCTTAGATACTAGCAATGATGACCTGAGGGCTTGTGTTACAGATGTTCACTTTATAATTATTCTTTAAACTATACTTGGGGTTTTGTGTATATTTGAATGTACACAAAAATATTTTAGAAAAACGAGTAAATAAGGGACTCATGAGTCAAGTATGTGTTTCTTAGATTTAATACATGAACGTTGTAGCACAAAGTTTGGCTGCTGGGAATTTAGAGTGGGTTGTTTTTACTAGTGCTTTCTAATTCTCTTCCACGTCCCTGGTAGTCATAGAGGCAGTGCATGCAGAGTTTTAGTTCCTGGTCCCCATTTTGATAACTACTTAGACATTACTGACCCTCCTGACTTGGTATTTATATTACATGTCTAAAAGCCTAAGCTAATTTAGTAAATATTAAAAAATTAGGAGACCTGGGTTCCTTGTTTTATCTCACCTTTAACGTGATCTCTGACTTTCGTCAAAGGACTTGAACTTTCCAACTTGAATTTCTTTTTTTTTTTCATCCTCATTCGAGGACATTTTTCAATTTTTTGTACAGACAGAGTGGGAGGGAGAGAGAGGAAGAGAGAGAGAGGGAAACATCGATGTGAAAGGGACACATCGAGTGGCTGCCACCCGCACGACCAACCAGGGCCGGGGACAAACTGCAACCGAGGTACGTGCCCTTAGCAGGAACCGAACCCGGGTCTCTCCGGACCGCAGGTGGACGCTCTAACCGCTGAGCCAAACCGGCCAGGGCCCAACTTGAATTTTTTAACTGCTAGTAAGATCATAGTAATATTTTTTTGCCCTGCTCCACAAAGTCACAAGTTCATTGTGAAAAAATCACATGAGGCAGTATGCATAAAGATGCTTTGAAATTGTAAAATATTATCAATATAAAATCAGAATGTTTGTGTTGATGTTAGTCATTCACTTCAGTGCCCTTACAATAGTCCGCCCTTATTCATGGGGGATACATTTCAAGACCCCCAGTGGATGCCTGAAACCGTGGATAGTACCAAATCCTATATAATACTTTGTTTTTTCCTATACACACATACATTTTCTCTCAAAAGAAGCACTTTCTGGCTTCTCTTTTGCATATCAAATTACCAGTATCACTACCCTTTTGCTTTGGGGCCATTATTAAGTAAAATAAGGGTCTTTGAACACAGCAAACACTGCAATAGTGAGACAGTTGATCTGATAACTGAGAGGGTTGCTAAGATAAGCTTGACAAAGGGGATGGTTCACATTCCCAGTGGCTCGAAGCAGTCAGTTTGAGATTTCATCACACTGTTCGTAATGCCACACAATTTAAAATTTATGAATCATTTATTTCTGAAATTTTCCATTTAATGTATCTGTACAGCAGTTGGTCATGGATAATTGATATTACTGAATGCAAACCATGGATAAGGGGGAGTGAGTATTTTATAATTTGGAAGATACAGGTCCGGAGAATTGATGTTACTTACAGATTCCTGGCTGTCCATTTGAAACTCAGATTGTTAGTTCATGATTTTTCCAGTAAACTGTATCAGCCTTTTTTTTAAATCCTCAGCCGAAGGCATGCTGAGAGGGAGGGAGGCTAGGAGGAATGAGGGGAGAGAAACTTCAATGCTAGAGAAATAATTGCTTTCCATATGTGCCCCGACTGGTGATCAAATCCACAACCCAGGCATGTGTCGTGACTGGGAATCAAATGGCCAACGTTTTGGTGCACAGGACAATGCTCAACCAATTGAGCCACTCCAGCCAGGCAGCATCAGTCTTTTTAAATAAATATTCTTATTTTAGCTTATCTGAATTCCTTCTGGTGCCATTCCAGACATTCAAAGATATGTTTTCATTATAGTATTGGATCTTTTAACATAAAAATGGTATACTTACGGATTGGTATTTTCAATACTATTTACATGTTGTGTTTTTCTTATAGGGTGGCAATCAAGGTTTGACAGTAGTAATTCAAGGACAAGGTCAAACTACTGGGCAGTTGCAGTTAATACCTCAAGGGGTGACTGTACTTCCAGGTCCAGGACAGCAGCTGATGCAAGCTGCAATGCCAAATGGTACTGTTCAGCGATTCCTCTTTACCCCATTGGCAACAACAGCCACAGCAGCCAGCACCACCACTACCACCACTGTTTCCACCACAGCAGCAGGTAGAATTTGGGGTAATCAGAAGTACTGCATGTTATTACCACAGGTTTTTGGTCTAATAGAGGAGCAAGAGATCAGTGCTTATCTTTGGGAGGATAAACCTCAGGCCACTGAGCTTAACAGTCGGCTGGTCAGCCTCACAATGTCTTAACAAAAGATCTCTCATTCTTAAGAGACTCCTGTCATCTTTACGTTTCATAAAATATGCAGAAAGGGAGGTGGGAGTGTGGATATCAATGTAACTATGCCCACATTCCTTGCTAAGCCTTATAGGCGCTGACTAAATCATGGAGTTGATCTTAGGGAGGGTGAATACATCCAGTTCATAACCTACAAGTGAGAGTGGCAGGTCTAGAGTTGGCCTTGTGCAGGTTGCTGTCACTAACTGCCACTTTGGAAAAAATGAGGGTTAGCATTTTACAGGTGCCAAAAGACCTGGCTGATTTCCAGAGGCTGTGCCTTACTTTGCAGATCAGCTTTCCGGAGAGTCAGCAAGGTGTGCAGAGGGTGGCCATGAAACGGGGACCACACTCCCCAATTTAAAAGTTCTAATTTAAGTATATCTAAATGGAGCCTTACTAAGGCATCAGTCTTCTATACTGAAATACAGAATTCTCACCTTTTGAAAATTCCGCTTCAAATTCTCCTTTTTCCTTGGTCTTATGTTCTAGATAATATAATTTTTTGGTTGTTCTTTTTCACAGGTACAGGTGAACAAAGACAGAGTAAATTATCACCCTCGACACAGGTGCAACAAGCCAAAACCCTGCCACCAGCTCAGTCATCAAGTGTGAGTCCTCCAGAATCCCAGCCACAGCCTGCTCAGCCTTCAGCTCAGCCCCAGCCCCAATCTAAGCCCCAATCCCCAGCTCAGCCTGAAGTTCAAACTCAGCCTGAAGTTCAGACCCAAACAACTGTTGCATCCCATGTCCCTTCTGAAGCACAACCCACCCAAGCACAGTCATCCAAACCCCAAGTTGCAGTACAGTGTCAGCCTCAAAGTAATGTCCAAGGACAGTCTCCTGCTCGCGTCCAAAGTCCACCACAGACTCGAATACGTCCATCAACTCCATCCCAGGTGTCTCCTGGACAGCAATCCCAGATTCAGACTACAACCTCACAACCGATTCCAATTCAGCCACATACATCTCTTCAGATACCTTCCCAGGGCCAGCCACAATCACAACCCCAGGTACAGTCTTCACCTCAAACTCTTTCATCGGGACAAACGTTAAGTCAAGTTACTGTTTCATCCCCATCCCGTCCTCAGCTACAAATACAGCAGTCACAGCCCCAAGTCATTGCTGTGCCTCAGCTGCAACAACAAGTCCAGGTTCTCTCTCAGATCCAGTCGCAGGTTGTGGCTCAGATACAGGCTCAGCAAGGTGGTGTGCCCCAGCAAATCAAACTCCAGTTACCTATTCAAATTCAGCAAAGCAGTCCTGTGCAGACTCACCAGATTCAGAATGTGGTTACAGTGCAGGCAGCCAGTGTGCAAGAGCAGTTGCAAAGGGTTCAGCAACTCAGGGATCAGCAGCAAAAGAAGAAACAGCAACAGATAGAAATTAAGCGGGAACACACCCTCCAAGCATCTAATCAAAGTGAAATCATTCAGAAACAGGTAAAGTTATTAAGTAAAAGCAGCATGTTCAGTAGTTTGAATTATTGTGCTGTGCATTAGACTTAGTGTTTGGTTTCATTAGGTTTCCTAAATGAGAGAAATGCACTGATGTTTCCATTTAGAAGCTGCACTGGTGTGACCAAAATATTGAATGACTACTATGGTTTGGGAGCCTTTTGTTGGCAATAGTCAGTGCTTATTAGAAAATCTACCTGCATTTTGGGAGAACTAACATGGGAAGAATGGAGTTAGGAGTTGAAGTATCATTAATACAAAACTGGGAGGTGTAACTGAAATTCTAAAGCCACTTTGGGCATCATAGCAATTGCAGTTATTTACAGTTCACCCCTTAGTTTGCATGTAGACCAAGCAAATTATAGACCCATTAAACTTATTTGCATTTCTAGGTACACCTTTGTAAGTAAGTTTTAACCATTATTGTTCCATAGCTTAAAGTGGCATTATTCAGTAGCATCTTAGTGAAGTAAGGCAATTTAGATGAGAATTATTCTACTTAAAGAAGTCACATCCTGTACCATTACTGGAAAAAATTTTCTTTGCATCTACGGCATGCACTGCCTGGCTCTAGTCAGGAGTTTGAGTGTGGATTCCCATGTTATGAGACCTGCATTCAGTTCCTGGGTCTCTCATTCACAACCCCTGAAACTCACTTATTTCCTCTGAGCTGTATCCTCACTAAAACTCCCTCTCTTTCCTGCTACCCATGATCATTGTAATGATTAAATGAGGTTTTGTATATAGAAGTACTTTTACTTTATTTCTTATTGAAATATATTTGACAAATAGCATTTTGTAAATTTAAGATGTACAACCTGTTGATCTGATATATTTACATATTGTAATATTACTGTTGTAACATTAACTAGCACCTCTATCGTGTCACATAATTATTTCTTTTTAGTGGTTGGAATAATTAGCATCTAGTCTCTTAGCAACTTTAATGATTATAATATGATATCATTGGAAGCACTATTTAAACAGCAAAAAAAGACTTTAAAGATCTATGGTAATAGAATTATAAAATTGACATCATACATCATATGTTTAAGTGCATTATTACCCAACTCTTAGTATTGTATAGTTTATAAATTGAAAATTATGTATCCTAGTATCTGTCTTTACCCTCATCTCTTAAGCCCATCTGTGGGATGGGGTGGGGGAAATCTTTATTTATTTATTTTTTATCCTCACCCGAGGACATTTTTCTATTTTTTATTCTGATAGAGTGGGAAGAAGAGAGAGAGAGAGAGAGAGAGAGACATAAATGTGAAAGGGACACATTGAGTGTCTGCTTCCCATATGACCCAACCAGGGCCAGGAGAAACTGCAACTGAGATACATGCCCCCAGCGGGAACCAAACCTGGGTCTCTCTGTACCGCAGGTCAACGCTCTAACCGCTGAGCCAAACTGGCCGGGGTGATGGGGGGGAATCTTTAAAATTAATGCTTAGGAAGAGCGTAATGTTAAAAAGGATGGCTAAGCTAGAATTAGAGCCATATTTCTTATTCTGTCTCAGAGTCCCTTTATAAAATTATTCCTACCTCTCGGTGTTATGAGGAATAAATGAGGCAATGTCAGGTGCTTACCCACTATATGGTAAGCACCCAGACCATATAGCTCTAATTTTATTTGTATTATGATAGAAAAGTCTTAGTTTCTTTGGGAAACATAGTCATGCTCAGATTTCTACAGTTACATGTGTACCAACTTGTGGTCATTATAAAATATGCTCTTTTGGATTTTTTTCTGTCCTGAAGGTGGTGATGAAGCATAATGCTGTGATAGAACATTTAAAACAGAAGAAGACCATGACTCCAGCTGAAAGAGAAGAGAATCAAAGGTAGGGAGAGACATTTATAACCCAGTAACAGGGTCTCATTTTGTATCAGTCTCTTCTCTTTAGAACATAGATGGTTCTAAGTGTATACTTTTTAATCTTGATTGAAGTTAATTCATTGAGAACCCCTGGCACTAATAGGTTCTCATAGTTGGTTTGAATCACTCTGAATATTTCTGGTCACTGAAAGTTTTTGTATTACCTGTATAGACATAAAAAAAATCTTGTCTTAAGCCTTTCAAAATGAAATGCCCAGCATTACATAGGTTGTGTATTTCTCTCTAGAATGATTGTCTGTAACCAGGTGATGAAGTATATTTTGGATAAGATAGACAAAGAAGAAAAACAAGCAGCGAAAAAACGGAAGCGCGAGGAGAGTGTGGAACAGAAACGTAGCAAGCAGAATGCTACCAAGCTCTCTGCACTGCTCTTCAAACACAAAGAGCAACTCAAAGCTGAAATACTGAAAAAGAGAGCTCTCCTGGACAAAGATCTACAAATTGAAGTGCAGGTAAGAAGGCCTTTCCTTCTCTGTCCAGTTTTTAGCGTTTAATTTTATTCTTTTTTCCTTGAAATTTTAGGTAAGCTTCAAATCTCATCTTGTTTTCTATAATTTCCACGTTTGTATATTTAGTAAAAAGTCGTGGGACACGTCTTAGAGGTTTTATATCTACATGTATATTGTAGGCTCTAAACTAGGCACTCTAAGAGGTTAATCTATTAACTGAGACATATGAGAAGTCTCTTGGGAATAGCTTTTATTCTTATAACATAGTCTTGCCAGAAGTTATCAGGAGCCAAATTCCATGAGAAAGGTAGACAGAGAAACCGTTCAATAATGTTGAAAGAATGAAAAATAAATTGTGCCCATTAAATAAGACCAAATTTTTTCCTTGATTTTTTTTTTCTCCTCTTTGGTTAATCCTTACCCAAGGATAGTTTTCTGTTAATTCTTAGATAGAATGGAAGGTGGGGAGGGAGGAGGAGAGAGAGAGAAAAAAACATGATGTGAGAAAGACACATCAATTGGTTGCCTCCTGCATGATCCTGACTGGGGCTGGGACCAAACCTGTAACCCACGTACATACCCATGACCAGGAATCGAACCCACAACCCTTTGGTCCTTAGGCTGACACTCTATCCCAGTGGTTCTCAACCTTCCTAATGCTGCGACCCTTTTATATAGTTCCTCATGTTGTGGTGACCCCCAACCATAAAATTGTTTTCATTACTACTTCATAATTGTAATTTTGCTGCTGTTATGTCAAAGGCGACCCCTGTGAAAGGGTCGTTCAAGCCCCAAAGGGGTCACGATCCACAGTTTGAGAACTGCTGTTCTAACCACTGAGCAAAACCAGCCAGGCCTCTTTCTTGATTTGTAACTGATCTGACAGGCATTGCAAGTCCTCCGCTTAACTGGGGAATTTATTGAAATGTAAATGAAAAACATCTGTATATACATACCTAAACAGCTTTTAAAAGAAGAAGGAGGTTATATGAAGTGTCCCTAAAAGTGCCTTTATATTTTAAGAAAGTGAGAAATATTAAAATATTGTTAATTAGCCCAAAAAACAACATAACTCTAAGACATTAGAGATCTTCCCACAGATGTCAGAAACCATATGACAATGCCAAAAATCAACATTATTAGTTAGCATCTCTGGAAATTCTAGCTAATATGTTAAACCAAGAAAAGAAAAAACATGATAAAGTTATTATTGTATATGACATGATTTTTAGATTAAAATCCCAAAGGAAAAATTATTAAAATTTATGAGAGAATCCAATAAGTACTCGGTAAATGTCAGGACCACAACTATTGTCAAGATATAATAAACAAAAGAGCTAATTCACAAAAGCAACAGAATATATAATATACTATGTCCCACTTTAAGATACGTTTTATAGATCAAAATTTTAGTGTAAAAAAGGAAACCACAAAAATAACAGAAGAGCCCTGGCCGGTTTGGCTCAGCGGTTGGAGCATTGGCCTGCGGACTGGAGAGTCCCGGGTTCGGTTCCCGCTAGGGGCACATACCAAAAAAATAAAAATAACAGAAGAAAATATGATTGTCATTTTTGTAATCTTGGGGTGGGAAAAAAATCACTCCTAAGCATTACAGATTTCAAATGCCACAAAGGCAAAAGATAGATTTGACAACAGAAAACATATATATAGGGAAAAACATTACCGTAAACAACATTGTAAAACAGATAACAAACAGGAAAAAAATTATAACATTTATGGCATAATTAGTATTCCTAATATTTAAAGAGTTCTTAAGTCAATAAGAAAAGATAACACTGACTAACTATATGAGGGGAATTTCTTCACAATGCACATGTAAATCAAATAACTGCAAGGTACATTTTAAGTATTTTACAATTTTGTCAGTTGTACGTCAAAAGCTGAAATTTAATAAACTCTAGTAGGCCCAGGCTGATTTGGCTCAGCAGTTAGAATGTCAGCCTGCGGACCAGAGAGTCCCCGGTTCAGTTCCCACTAAGGGCACATACCTTAGTTACAGTTTGTCCCCGGCCCCAGTTGGGGTTGTGTGGGTGGCAGCCACTCGATGTTTTTCTCTCACATCAATGTTCTCTCTCTCTCTTCCTCTCACTCTACCTGAAGATAAATGCAAAAATGTCCTCAGGTGAGGATAAAAAAAAAAAAAAACTCTAGTAGAAGACTTTTAAGACATAAATAAGCAGTTTTCAAGTCTAACAATGTGAAATATCAACAAACATATAAAATGTTATTCAACCGAATAATGAAAATACTGTTTTTCTAGAGAAAATACCATGTATTTCTAGAGAACATTTCATTGGTATGTATGAAAAGACTAAATGTGAATACTCTTTGATCCATAATTTTACTCTAGAACCATCTAAGAAACAACTAGGCAAGATATATGAACAAGGACATAATGAATATTAATCATAACAAAAATCTAGAATCAACCCAAAGTCCACAGAGAGATTGGTAATCAGTGTTTCTCAACAGGAGCTATTTGGGCCCTTTCAACAGGCCAGTTTTTACACTCTGTAGGAAGTTTAGCATTGGGTTCCTAATGCTAGCAGCTTTCCCTTCATTGTAACAAGAAAAAGAGTGACCTTCTCCCCTCCACACACATTCTCAAACACTCTCCAGAGGTACCATTACCACCCTCAGTTGTGAACCAGTGGATTAAATATGTTTTGGGGTGTCCACACACTGGACTGTCATTTTAACAAAATGGTGAATGTAGAATTGGTGCTTTTTTGTTTTCAGTTTTTTGGGGAAGTTTTCATGAATATTTGAATTAAAAATGCAGGTTGCAAGGTAGTATTTATAAAATGATATATCCATTGAATATGCTTATTTAACATTTGGGTGTTTCACATACTGTTGCTGCTCCATATTCTGCACAAAGTGGGGGAATATTTATAATCTATATCCTTTATAGGTACATAAATAAATTAGACACATACATTTAAATGTCTTTCCAAGCAATTACCTTTAGCCAACAAGTAAAACTTATCTGTAAGTCTATACTGCCCAAAGATGACCACTTTTAAAGTAAGTTTAGAATATACCTTGTTGATATATTATTGTGTATTCATGTAAACACATTTCATACAAATCAGTCACACTAGAAACAACATGTACTAAACGTTTTTCTGCATTCAGTATACTATGCAGCCATTTTTTTAGTGCTATTACTGCCCAGCCAGAGTGGCTCAGTGGTTGAGCATCAACCCATAAAACCAAAAAGATTTTTGTTCAATTCCTGGTCAGGGCACATGTCCCAGTTGCAGGCTTGATCCTCAGCAGAGGGTATGCAGAAGGCAGCTGATCGATGTTGATGTCTCTCTCATCCGTGTTTCTGTCTCTCCCTACTCTCTCTCTAAAATCAATAAAAAACACATTAAAAATGCTATTACTGTTATAAATATTCTATTGTACAGTAATGGTGTTCTTTTTGACTGTATTATATAATGAGGAAGAAGAATTATATTTTAAGAAAATAATCAGCATTATTTTTATTGCTAAGATAATTTGCTTTGAAGGACAGTATCATACAGAATACAGAAGCATGTCATACAGAATAGACTCACTGTCCTAAAAATGTCCTGTGTTTTACCTTTACATCTTTACTCCATCCCCCTCTACTTGTCTTTTCAATAAAATAATTTGCTTATTTTTTTTTTTATTCTCACCCCAAGAACATTTTTGCATTTGTCTTCATTTAGAATGGGAGGGTGAGAGAGAGGAAGAGAGAGAGAGAAACATCGATGTGAGAGACACATCGAATGGTTGCCACCCACATGACCCCCAACCGGGGCTGGGTACAAACTGCAACCAAGGTATGTGCCCTTAGTGGGAACCGAACCGTGGTCTCTCTGGTCCATGGGCTGATACACCACTAACTGCTGAACCAAACCGGCCAGGGCTAATTTGCTCAGTTTTGAATAGAACTTTATACCTTCATTTGCCTCTGTGTGTGTCTCACATATGTATTGTAAAGTTTTTGTCAAATTGTCCTATAAAATTAATTTCATATGGAGTAAATTCAGATTTAGTTACTGATTTTATTGGTAGTCCTTTTTTCCATTACATGTTTTTACTTGGTATTTTAAATGAGAGGGAATTTGTTTTGTTTCCTCTCTTAAAGCCTATTGTAGCCCAACCAACCTTGAACATCAAGCAGGGAGCCTGCTCAGTACCCACCTCACACAAAGCTTGAGTCCCCTTCTTCCTGTTGCTCTTGTTAAGCTACCACTTCCTACTTCTGAATCTGGAGCCCAGCAGGCTTGCAGTTCTAGCCCTGTTTGTAGTTTTGTGTTTCCGTTCCATAGAGACGTTTAAATTATATTCATGCATAGATAATGTTCTTTTAGTTTTCTCTTTTATATATTTTACTATCATTGGCATGTTCTTGAAGGGGGTGGTCAAAGTGTATACCCACCACACAGTCTTGATGGTCTTGATTTTCTTGCAGTCATCTCCGTATGTTATAAATCCTTATTACAAAAATGAAATTCAAGCCCTGGCCGGTTTGGCTCAGCGGTTAGAGCGTCGGCCTGCGGTCTGGAGAGACCGGGGTTCGGTTCCCGCTAGGGGCACGTACTTCGGTTGCAGTTTGTCCCCGGCCCTGTTTGGTCGTGCGGGTGGCAGCCACTCGATGTGTCCCTTTCACATCGATGTTTCTCTTTCTCTCTCTCTCTTCCTTTCTCTCCCTCCTACTCTATCTGTAGAAAAAATGGAAAAATGTCCTCGAGTGAGGATTAAAAAAAAAAATGAAATTCAAGATTTAGTTTCTTCCCTAGGAAAAAGTTCAGGCTTTCTTTTTAAATAGAGAAAGGCTGTTGAATAGTCACAGAGCTTATCTTCTCACTTATAAGACTGTCTAGACTACATGGAAAAATAGATTTATTAAATCAGGACCATTCAGGTTTATTTGTTAGAATATTTGTGATGCTTAAAAGCTTGGTCATAACTATGATTTATTTACGCCAAATTTGTTTATGGATGCCAGTCCCAGTGGTTTTTCTAAGAATAAGTTGTAGCACTAAGTGGCAGAGGTATGTCTGGAAAGTATTTCACATGAAAAAAAGTAAGGATTTTAATTTATGGCAAAATCTGTAATAAGAAAATGTTCTCCCTGCAGCCTTAAATTCTAGACATAGCTGCATAAGAAACAGGGAGGATTGGTCTCTCATACTGTTTTCGGCTTGCCGGTTTGAGTATCATGTTAATTCACGTTCAGTGGGTGAGGACATTTGGAATCACATCCTTAGCCATGATTGAAATAACCAGGGCATGACAGGAGCTAGCCGGGAGGAGATGTTCTTGTTAGATACTTGTGCATTGTCATGTCATCTTCCTCTTCCATTTCTAGTCTTTTTTTTTTTCTTTATTGATTTTAGAGACAGATGATGGGAGAGGGAGAAAGAGAGAAAAACATCGATGAGACAGAACATCGATTGGCTGCCTCCTTCATGCCCCCCAACTTGGGATTGGGCCCACAACCTTGGCATGTGCCCTGACCGGGAATCGAACCGGTGACCTCTTGGTGCTTGGGTCGATGCTCAACCACTGAGCCATACCTGCCGCATTTCTAGTTGTTTTAATTGGGTTTAAGGTATAGAAAATACACGGGTGTTTAGAATTACTAAAACTCCCTCACATTAGGCTGAAATATGGATCTACTTCAACAAGGGAGGTAATGTAACATCCTCTGGCCAGTTTGTGCATTTACATAAGTCAAATGATAGTCTTGTATTTTCTTTCATTGACAATAGGAAGAGCTCAAGAGAGACCTGAAAATTAAGAAAGAAAAAGAAATGGTGCAGGCCACAGCAGCAGCTGCCACTCCCCCTGCAGCACCTCCTGCACCTCCAGCCCCTCCTCCTTCGCCTCCACCTCCACCTCCCCCACAGCACTCAGGCCCCCAGGCCACAGCCACGGCCACTCTGCCTGCATCTTCCCAGAAGAGGAAGCGAGAAGAGGAAAGAGACTCAAGTTCCAAGTCCAAGAAGAAGAAAATGATTTCTACTACCTCAAAGGAAACTAAGAAGGACACAAAGCTTTACTGTATCTGTAAAACGCCTTACGATGAATCTAAGTGAGTAGATCCTTTTGTGCTCTAGTTTATTTTCTTAAAGTTTAGCTGTTAATCTTCCAGTTTTGAAGAAAATGAGTATATTGGTAGCAACGTAAATGGAAATAGTTAAAAGTAAGGGTAATAGTGTTTCATCTGTGGTCTTGCATCTGATATTCTTAACCTTTACATTAGCAAGTAAAAATGTATTTCCTGTGTTCATGATTCATGTTTGTCCTTTGTATTGTTTTCTGTCAAAAACAAGCTATCTGTTGCAGTTTGGCTTTCTCCTCTTTTGTCTGGATTAACTCCAGGTCAATCAGTAGTGCTGTCTGAAAGAGGAGGTGTGTTATTATTGCTGTCAGAGTTCAGGGCAACCTTTCTGGAATCTGTTCACCACCCTGATACATCAAATTCTAGAGACTGTGAATATGAATGGTGCAGGAGCTTTCAAGTTTGAGTGCCTTTGGTTTTTTAAAGCAATTCTGTTTTTTTGTATTAGAATGGTGTGACAATATTATTTTTGTCAAAGTTCCCACTTTCTTACTGGGAAAAAAGTCAGAAAAATACAAAAAGCGTTCATTTTTCCCATTCCTCAACTAAGACACTCAAAAATGTAATAAGCATGGCAGCTGAAAGCTGTTTTTGACAGTTATGATTTGTATTTTGTAATATATACAAGATTTTACAGATACTAATCTATAAATGTAGTTGTAGGTTTTTTTTTTAATCAGTATTATTATTTAATGAAGTATTTAGCTTCCATTTTGACATTTAAATGTAGGCCAGCTTTTTAAAGCCAAAATTAACCACAGTATTTCTTTACAGCAATACTGAAATGTTTGATTGTGTTAAAAAAGAATTGGGAATGCTTAATGTCTACTTAAAGTGGATGCCTAATCAATTTCTAAAGTGAAATTCTCTCTTTAATGTTGTTTAAGTTGCAACCTTGAAGCTGCTTTGGTGGTGTTATTTATATTATAATGTGCAAGTGTTAGATCAGAAGTTTCTGTTGGTAGACTTAACTGTGTGTTGAATTAGATAAGTTTAGGCATCTTCACTTTTCATTGTCTTACTTTATTGGAAATTATACATAATGTAAAAAATGGAACCCTATTAACTGATTTTTCCCTTAGTCTAATACAAGTGTGCCTCCCTTTAAGCAAAATATACTGAATGATTTTTAGAACAAAACAGAACATAATTTACTTTCTTTATAAAAAAAAATTGCTTATGGAATTTCTTTAAATAACAGTTGTTTTTTGGCCTATTTAAAATATAAAGGTCACAGAAATTTATTTCGTGTAATATCTGAGTTGCATAAAATGAGGCACACGTGTACATGTGCTCATTGTATTGAGATTGCCTCATTATTTTGTGGATAGTACATATTTTTCAGTTTGTCATTATTAACATTTCAGTATACCAGGTTCATTCACTCCCTGTTTGAGTTCGGATGAGTTATTTTTGTTTTGTTTTTTTAGGAATATTTTGTAATGTTTTGTACCAAACTAGGTTTGGGAATCTAGTGAGAGTGACTGAAACTTGAAATTCAAGTCCTGAGCTTATTTCCAGAACATACAGCCCACTATCAGGTGAAGGCAACAGAAAAACACCTAGAAGGCCCCTACCTGTGGCTGTGAAAAGCATGTGAGAGTCACATAATTCAGAAGAAAAAAGTGGTAATAGGATAAATCACACAACCGTGTATTATTCCTTAACTTTCATGAAGTTTGAAGCTTAAGGACTACTTCTATTTCTCTAGGGCTAGGTGACTCTACCAAAAAATACCTTGCTAGAACCAATCCTATCAGCAAGGCCAATCTGGTTCCCTGTGATCCATACTAATTCTTCCTACAACTGACATGATGTTTCCTGCACAGTGCCTGTCAACACTTTTAGATACACTATGTGTTTGTCATAGAGACGGTTCATTTTGCCATTTGGGATCTTATATTACAAAAGCCTTGAGTAACTCTGTATGTGATTAGCCTACAGTTCCACACTACACAATGTCATCTTGCCAAATACTGTAGAACCTCTCCTTGTTTTGGATAACTACCCTTACAACACTGCACCATGTATGCCCTGGTTTTGAATTGAAGCAATTCCTTATGATTAACCTGGCCAGCCTCCACATTGTCACACACATTGTATTAACTGAAAAACTGGCCCCTGTCATATTGTGTCACAATTAGATTAAATTCCAACGTTTATTTAGAAAAGTTGGTAGAAATTGAATTACTACATGTACCCCTTTCTTAGTTTTCTTCTTCATACCATATTTTGACCATTTATTTATCTTCTACACCTGGCTGATCTGCATGTTCCTTGTAGTGTAACTTCTACTTGGTGTTTGCGCTTTGCTTTGTCTTCAAATTTAAATTGTGAGATACATTTTCAAACCTATCTAAGAAATAGCCCTGATTTTGAAATGGCTTTTATGGTATAGGTTTGACAGATGTAAGTGTTTGATTCTTTGGCTTTGGTTTTTGTGCCTGTTACAGTTTTACACACATTCATTAAGAGGCAGACATTACCATCAGTGTGTTCTTTATTTTTTCAAATGCCAGTATGTTTTTAAAGACTCATATTTCACTAAACAGTGTATTTGTTGAAATTGATGTGAGTGACTTTATGTTTTCACACTTGATACAGTGTTAGATGCTGTAGTTTGCCAGGGGTAGAATGGTCGGATTCAGAATGTTTAGCTGACTCATTGCAGAGAGTTATCCTATAAGAAAGTGAATCAGGGCAGGGAAGACAGATTTAAGTACCATGCAGCTCAAAATGACAATTACATTGTCATTTTCATTGTGAATACTTTTAGGTTCTATATTGGCTGTGATCTTTGTACTAACTGGTATCATGGAGAATGTGTTGGCATCACAGAAAAGGAGGCTAAGAAAATGGATGTGTACATCTGTAATGATTGTAAACGGGCACAAGAGGGCAGCAGTGAGGAATTGTACTGTATCTGCAGAACACCTTATGATGAGTCACAGTGAGTTCTGATAAGAGCATCATATTTAATAATTTAGGAAGCCAAATTGCTCTGACTGGTTATTTATTTTAAAATAAAAAGCAAGATATTTTCTGCATATATTATACACTTACATTACAAATTTCTTTCCAGTTTTTTTCTCTTCTTCCCTCTTTACTTTCCCCTCAAAATTTATGTTGCATCATAGTGAATGTTTGAGATTCATTGGGAAAAAAATGGTTTAATGGTAGACTTGATTCTTCATTACGTAACATAGAAATTAATGAGCTTAAAATAGCCTGCCTTGTTTGGACTTCATCAGTGTTTGAAATGGCGCTTTCTTGTAGGTTAGAAAAATACTAATTTGAATACAAGCTCTGAGACTCTGTTTTTAGCTTATAGGATTTTGAACTCCCAGTTGGGTCGCCAATATCAGCTTCCCATTGATATGGTATTCTTTGAAAGATTTTTTTGCTATATTTTATTTTGAATTTTAAAGTCAATTTAAATGTTTTACATTTTTCTTCGTATGGTTCTCTAATGTTATAGTGTTCTTAATAAACGTTTAATGCTTGTTTTTAACATCAGAAATACTAAATTAACACATAGGAATGTCAGTCTTCAAAAGTATTAAAACAATTATAATAATCTATTTTATATCCCAGGATTAGAATATTTTCAGGTGCATGCTTTATTACTTTTTAAAGTAAATTATAAGTAATACGATCCCGTCTGTTTTGAACTCACATTTCCATTTCGGATCTTGCAGATTTTATATTGGCTGTGATCGGTGTCAGAATTGGTACCATGGGCGCTGCGTTGGCATCTTGCAGAGTGAGGCAGAGCTCATTGATGAGTATGTCTGTCCACAGTGCCAGTCAACAGAGGATGCCATGACAGTGCTCACACCACTAACAGAGAAAGATTATGAGGGTTTGAAGAGGGTGCTGCGTTCTTTACAGGTGAGAAACCCACTCTTTGTGCAACGTTTGAAGATGAAATCCACCAATGCAACTTTGGAAATACACCTGGGGTTTGAATTTTCCAATCTTAGAGCACCTGATTATTTACTGATACCCAGTCAGCCTAGTGAAGTACTCCAGACTCCAGTCCTTCACATGCCAATGTCTCGAGGTTTCCATATCCACACAATAGCTCAGCCATGTTTATCTAACACTTGTATTTAAAATGACTCACTTTTTAACCTACCTTTTATTTTTTATTTTATTTTTTCAATATATTTTTATTGATATGTACAGAAAGGAAGGGAGAGAGAGAGAAACAGCAATGTGAGAGGGAAACATCAGTTGGCTGCCTCCTGCACGCCCTGTACTGGGGATTGAGCCCAAAACCTGGGCATGTGCCCTGACCGGGAGTTGAACCGGACTTCTCAGTGCATGGGACAACACTCAATCCACTGAGCCACACTGGCCGAGCCTAAATTCTATTTTTAAAAGAAAACTTTATCCCACCACCATAAATTGAAAAACAGTCTGATTAAATTCTATTGAGAGATAAATATTTATCGAAGGCTTTGAGCCAAAGCCTTCCCTCCTTTATTAAAAATCAAAAGGAGCCCAGTTGGTGAGTATTAGTGGATTGAGCATCATCCCATGGACTAAGAAGCCCCAGTTTGATTCCTAATTAGGACATGTGCCCAGATTGTGGGCTCGATCCCCAATAGGGGGTGTGTGTGAGGCAACCTATTGATGTTTATCTCCCTCTCTTTCTAAATTTTTTTTTTTAATCCTCACCTAAGACACTTTTGCATTTATCTTCAGACAGCAGGAGGGAGAGAGGGAGGAAGAGAGAGAGAGAAACATTGATGTGAGAGAGACACATCAACTGGTTGCCACCCACATGACCCTAACCAGGGATGGGAACCAAACCCGGGACTCTCTGGTCCGCAGGCTGATGCTCTAACCACTGAGCAAAACTGGCCAGGGCCCTTCCTCTCTAAAAAAAAATAAAAATCAATAAAAACATTTAAGAAAAATTAAAAGGAGATGGGGGTGGTTTACAAAATTAACAAGTGCTAGAGATGTATTCAAGACAACAGTGCTACGTTGACACTTTCTCCTAGAATAACAGGCAGGAGAATGGAAAGAACTAAAAGGAGAGCATTATTCTCAGTACATGGTTGAATGTTTTTTAACATCACATCTCTGTTACCTCATTAGCCAACAGTGGTGACCATTCCACACTTCACCTTTTTTCTTTTTTAACTTACTGGTTTTAGAGAGAGAAAAGGAGGGAGGAAGTATTTGTTTCACTTATTTATGCATTCATTGGTTGCTTCTTGTATGTACCCTGACCAGGGATTACACTCTCAACCTTGGTGTATCGGGTCAACGCTCCAACCAGTTGAGTTACCTGGCCAGGGCTCCTATTCCATACTTTGAACCAACCACATCCCCTATTTTATAGGTATGATTTCAGTGTCAGTATTGTACAGTTGGCAGGTCAACATGCCAACTTTCTTGACTCATAAGCTAGTGCTTCAACCCCCACCCACTTGTGCCAAGGTCCTCAGACACTTTTTGAAAACCATTATTATAGAGAATGCCCATCTGAGATAATTTGTGACTAGAACAATATTATAAACAATATTATCTAGTCAGTTTAAGACTTTTGGATTTTAAGAATTGATTGATGCAGTAACTCCAGAGGGACATTTAAGTAGATTAGTATTTCTATCTGACAATAAGAATGGCCTTTTTATTTTTCACTATAGGCCCATAAGATGGCCTGGCCCTTCCTGGAACCAGTGGACCCTAATGATGCACCCGATTATTATGGTGTTATTAAGGAACCTATGGGTAAGTACTTGAATTGAACATGAGTTTTTTTCAGAAATCTCAGCAGATATTTCATTTATTATCCATAAAATTAATATATCATGAGGATATGTTGAGCAAGTTTGATGGGAGTATAAATTGGTGTGGTAACTTGTAGGATAAATTATAAGTATGTGTTATGTTTAAGTGTACATATCATTGGAACCAGCAATTTCATTTCTTAGGATTTACATGTATATAGGTACAGCATTCATCACAGCAGTGCTTGTAATTGCAAAAATACTGGAAATGAAATAAATAGCCATCAGTAGAGGAGAAGCTAAATCAAATGACATATAAGCAGAGTATTGTGCAGCTATACAAAAGAAGGAATGGATCAGGGTCTCTCTCAGCCTCTCATGCTGTCTCTTCCTCCTCTTTTGCTGAAGGAAAGCAATTTGATGAACCCACAGTAAAGATCCAAGAGAAAATAGCCTCATTTCCTGGGGGGAAAAGGGTAATAAGTTACAGCTACAAGTGATTGTTTTAAAATGGAAAGCTCCAGTGACTATTAAAAATAGTTTATCTGCAAAAAAATTAAAACATACATAAAAGCTTACAAAACTGCCAAAGGATTAGATCCATCCTGATGATGAAAAATGTTTTTTTTTTTTATCCTCACCCGAGGACATTTTTCCATTTTTTGTTCAGATAGAGCGGGAGGGAGAGAGAGGAAGAGAGAGAGAGAAACATCGACGTGAAGGGACACATCGAGTGGCTGCCACCCGCACGACCAACCAGGGCCGGGGACAAACTGCAACCGAGGTACATGCCCTTAGCGGGAACCAAACCCGGGTCTCTCTACCGCAGGCCGACGCTCCAACTGCTGAGCCAAACCAGCCAGGGCTGAAAAATGTATTTTAAAGCCAGCTAAGCATAAATGAGAAGGGTTTTATTGTATTTCAAAGTTGCTTAGAGAGTATATTTTTTTAAATATGTTTTTATTGAATTTTTATTTTTATATTTTTTATCCTCACCCAAGGATATTTTTGCACTTATCTTCAGATAGAGTGGGAGGGAGAGAGGGAGGGAGGGAGAGAGAGAGAGAGAAACATTGATGTGAGAGAAACACATTGACTGGTTGCCACCCACACAGCCCCAACCGTGTCCAGGGACAAACTGCAACCAAGATACACGCCCTTAGCGGGAACCGAACCCGGGAGTCCCTGGTACAAGGCCCAACACTCTAACTGCTGAGTCAAACTGGCCAGGGTTTTATTGAATTTTTAGAGAGGAAGGGAGAGAGATAGAAACAATGATGTGAGAGAGAAACATCCATCGGCTGTCTCCTGCACAGTCCCCCACCGGGAATCAAACCTGCAACCCAGGCATATGCCCTGAACAGAAATCAAACCTGGACCTCCCAATCCATGGGATGGTGTTCAATCCACTGAGCCACACCAATTGGGCTAAGAGACTATATCTTAAAAGTTTTTATTACAGCCCTAGCCGATTTTGCTGAATGGTTAGAACATTTGCCTGTGGACCAAGGAATCTTGAGTTTGATTTCCAGTCAAGGGCACATTCCTCGGTTGCAGTTTAGCACCCAGCCCTGGTCGTGGTTCTACGGGAGGCAGTTGATCGATGTTTTTCTCTTACGTCAATGTTTCTGTCTCTCTTCCTCGTACTCTGTCTGAAGTTAAATGGAAAAATATCCTTGGGTGATGATTTAAAAAAAAAAAAGTTTTTGCCCTGGTAGGTTTGACTCATTGGTTAGAGCATCGGCCTGCAGTCCAGAGAGACCCGGGTTCGGTTCCTGCTAAGGGCATGTACCTCAGTTACAGTTTGTCTCCGGCCCTGGTTGGGTCATGCGGGAGGCAGCCACTCGATGTGTCCCTTTCACGTCAATGTTTCTCTTTCCCTCCCTCCCTCCCTCTCTATCTGAACAAAATATTGAAAAATGTCCTCAGGTGAGGTTAAAAAAAAAGTTCTCATCACACACAAAAAATTGTAGCTGTATGAGAGATGGATGTTAACTAAACTGATTGTGGAGATCACTTTGCAGAATGTATGTATATCAAATCATTATGTTGTACACCTAAAACTAATACCAGTGTCATATTTCAACTATATCTCAGTTTAAAAAATATTGTAATGGGCCTGGCCGGTGTGGCTCAGTAGGTGAGCATTCACCCATGCACTAGGAGTTTGCTGTTTTGATTCCTGGTTCAGGCACATGCCCAGGTTGTGGGTCCAATCCCCAGTGGAGGGCATGCAGGAGGCGACCAATCGATGTTTCTATCTCTCTCTCCCTCTCCCTTCATCTCTAAAAATCCATTTAAATATTTATTTTAATGGACCCTGGCTGGCTTGGCTCAACGGTTAGAGCATTGGCCTGCAGACAGTTGGGTCTTGGGTTCAATTTCCAATCAAGGGCATGCACCTGGGTTGCAGGTTCAATCCTCTGCGGAAGGCAACCAATCAATGTTTCTCACATTGATGTTTCTCTCTCTCTTTCTCCCTACTTCCCTTCCACTCAATCTAAAAAAAATCAATGGAAAAATATCCTGAGGTAAGGATTAACCAAAACAGTAAATATAGTCTGGCTGGTGTGGCTCTGGTTGAGCATCAACCCATGCACCAAGAGGTTTCAGGTTTGATTTTGTTCAGGGCAAATGCCCAAGTTGTGGGCCCGATCCCCAGTAGGGGGCATATAGGAGGCGGCCAATTGATGTTCTCTCTCATTGATGTTTCTATCTCTCTCTCTCTCTTTCTTCCTCTCTCTCTAATATCAATAAAGGAAGAAAGAATATACATATATATATATATATATATATATATATATTTTTTTTTTTTTTTAAATGGGAAGGATTTGTGTTTTGTGACAACTTTTTAAAGACAGGGAAACACAAAGAAGAGATAAATGAGGGCTAATTAAAAGTATTGTTGAGCCCTGGCCAGTTTGACTCAGCGAAGAGTGTCAGCCCTCAGACCAAAGAGTCTCAGATTCGATTCTGGTCCAGGGCATGTACCTCAATTGCAGTTTGGTCCCTGGCCCTGGTCAGGGTTGTGCAGGAGGCAACCAGTCAATGTGTCTCACATCGATGTTCCTCCCCACACACACTCTATCTGAAGATAAATTTAAAAATATCCTCGGTGAGGATTAAAAAATATATATCTGAAAAACACAACATAAATAAATAAGTAGTTGTTACCTCTCTTCTCCAGAAGTTGAAGATAGAAGTTAATCCTTGTATGCGTTTCAGATTTGTATAATCTGCTTTAGCTAGGTAGGTAGGTAAATAATTCTACTTCTAAAAGTAACTCAGGTTAATTTTACAAAATTTAGGAAATAAAAAAAAAATAAGGAAAGATGAAATGCATCTTTCATCTTTTCCTCACTGAATTTTATTACATTTTGGGAGGTGTGTGTGTGTGTGAAAATTTAGATAATATCATGACCTCTCTGGCAGATATCTTCCTGTGTCATTAATCTTCAACAGCATGATTTTAGTGGCTTTTTTTTTTTTTAATCCTCACCCGAGGATATTTTTCCATTTTTTGTACAGATAGAGTGGGAGGGAGAGAGAGGAAGGGAGAGGGAGAGAGAGAGAGAAACATCGACGTGAAGGGACACATCGAGTGGCTGCCACCCGCACGACCAACCAGGGCCGGGGACAAACTGCAACCGAAGTACGTGCCCTTAGCGGGAACCGAACCCGGGTCTCTCCGGACCGTAGGCCGATGCTCTAACCACTGAGCCAAACTGGCCAGGGCGATGTTAGTGGCTTTTATGTGTTCTGTAAATGGAATATACCTTAAGTTACTGAACCAAAATTATTTTCTTGAAGAACTAGGCTGTTTTGCTATCTTTTTTTCTTCCTTTTTTTTTTTTTTATCCTCACCCGAGGACATCTTTTTCATTTTTTGTTCAGATAGAGCAGGAGGAAGGGAGGGAGGGAGGGAGGGAGGGAGGGAGAGAGAGAGAGAGAGAGAGAGAAAGAGAAACATGGACATGAAAGGGACACATCGAGTGGCTGCCTCCCACACGATCCCTACCAGGGTTGGGATCAAATCGCAACCAAGGTACGTGCCCTTGACTGGAATCGAACCCGCGACTTATTGGTCCGCAGGCCAACGCTTTAACCGCTGAGCCAAACTGGCCAGGGCTTGCTAAATATTTTTAAATTGACTTCAGCAAATTGAACCAGGGTCCTTTAATAGTGTATATCTGTACCCTTCTTTCTGCACTCTTGAAACCATTAAGTATTATTACTTTAAGGGGGAATTTTTTTCTTTGAAAATATTTGTTTCAAATAATATATTTGGTGTACAAATTCAGATGTTAAAGAGGTGTAGAAAATTAAATGTAAAATTTACTGTTGCTCTCATTCTCTCCCTTATAGAGGCAACCTCTGTTAATAGGTTGATATTATAATTTTTAATTTCGACTAATCTGGGCAAAAAAAAGTGGTTCTTTGACTTTACATGATTTTATTTTATTTTATTTTATTTTTTTTTTGTTCAGGTAGAACGGGAGGGAGAGAGAGGAACAGAGAGAGAGAGAGAAACATCGATGTGAAAGGGACACATCGAGTGGCTGCCACCCGCACGACCGACCAGGGCCGGGGACAAACTGCAACCGAGGTACGCGCCCTTAGCGGGAACCGAACCAGGGTCTCTCAGGACCGCAGGCTGACGCTCCAACCGCTGAGCCAAACCGGCCAGGGCAACTTTACATGATTTTAATAAATAGTGGTATACATACTGTTTGAACATTTTCTTTGTGAGTTTCCTATTTGTGTATTTTGCACATTTATCTCTTAAGATATTCGTCTTGTTAATGTTATTTAATCATAGGACAGTTAAATGTTTTATAGTGATTTTGAGCGGGTATATGATAGTTTTTAACATTCTTGGATTTAAATTTATTAATCATTAGAAATTCTGCCTTTGGAGTCATGCTCTTAGTCTTTTTCTCTACCCAAGTTTGTCATTAGTCACCGATATGTACTCCTAATACTTTTTTTCTTTTAAGGGATACCTAATCAAGTAAAAATCATGACATACCCAAGCACTGCTCATATACTTCATTAAAACTAGTCAGGTGTAGCCCTCACTGGGTGGTTCATCTGGTTAGAGCACCGTCTTGATGCACCAAGGTTGTGGGTTTGATCGTTGGTCAGGGCACATACAAGAAACAACCAATGAGCCCTGGCCGATTTGGCTCAGCGGATAGAGCATTGGCCTGCGGTCCGGAGAGACCCGGGTTCGGTTCTCGCTAAGGGCACGTAACTCGGTTACAGTTTGTCCCCGGCCTCGGTAGGGGTTGTGTGAGTGGCAGCCACTCAATGTGTCTCTCTCTCATCGACGTTTCTCTCTCTCCCTCCCTCCCTTCCTCCTGCTCTATTTAAAATGCAAAAATGTCCTCTGGTGAGGATAAAAAAAAGAGAAACAATCAATTAATGCATACATAAGTGGAACAAGAAATCGATGTTCTCTTTCTCTCTCAAAATCAATCAATTAAAAAAAAAAACAGGCTGCAAATACCTAGAAATTACGTATAAAAATGATAATATCCTGATATGATGTGTTAAGTATTTACTTTTTTATAACCTGCACAGAATAGATGTGCCCAGATCATGCTTGGAATTTCATCAGGCTGTTAGATGTGCTTTTGCAGTTGTCTTTGAACGGTTTTTCCTGCTGGTATTTTTCATGTGTGTGTTAAACGTGTAAAATAGCCTAGCCGGTATGGCTCACTGCTTGAGCGTCAACCCATGCACTAAGAGGTTGCCGGTCCAATTCCTGGTCAGGGCACATGCCCACGATGTGGGCCTGATCCCCAGTGGGGAACATGTAGGAGGTGGCCAATCAATGTTTCTTTCTTTCATCCATGTTTCTATCTCTCTCTCCCCCTCTGTCTCTAATATCAGTAAAGAAAAAAAAAAAAAACACATGTAAAGTAGCCCTGGCTGGTTTGGCCCAGTGGTTGGAGCGTCAGCCCGCAAACCAATGAGTTGTGGGTTTGATTCTGGCCAAGGGCACATACCTCAGTTGCAGTTCATCCCTGGCCCTAGTTGGGGTAATGCGGGAGGAAACTTGTCGATGTGTTCCTCTCACATTGATGTTTTTCTCTCTCTTCCCCTCCCTCTCCCTCCTCCCACTCTATCTGAAGATAAATAGAAAAAAATCCTCGGATTAGGATTAAAAACAAAAACAAAACATGTAACATAAAGTTTGCCTTCTTAGCCCAGCCAGCGTGGCTCAGTGGATTCAGCATTGTCCCATGCACCAAAATTTTAATCCACCTAGAATTATTTAAGGTTATAATGTCTGGTAGAATTTTTTCCTTCGTATATGTAGTCACTTGCCCCAGCCCAGTTTTTTTATCCTCACCTGAGGACATTTTTTTATTTTTTGTCAGATAGAGTGGGAGGGAGAAAGAGAGAGAGAAACGTCGCGTGAAAGGGACGCATCAAGTAGCTGCCTCCTGCACGACCCAACCAGGGCCGGGGACAAACTGCAACCGAAGTACATGCCCTCAGCAGAAACCGAATTCAGGACTCTCCGAACCGCAGGCCAACGTTCTAACCGCTGAGCCAAACCAGCCAGGGCCAGCCCAGTTTTTTAATGAATTCTTCCTTTTTTGACTTATTTGAATGACATCCTCAACATGTATGAAATTCTTACGCTTAATGCAGTGAGGTCTGTTCCTGTTTTGAATTTGGTTTCATTAATGTTTGTGTCATCCTGCACAGCGCCACACTTTTCATTACCACAGCTTTTATAACATTTTTTAATTTCTGATTATTTTTCAAATATTCCTTGGTCTTGAACTTTTTTTTCAGATTTGAAAATAATCCAAATGAATTGAGACTTAGTTTAGAATTGTGTTTCTTTTCGTCAATCCTAGATTGATTTGAGATCACTGACCTTTAACTTCCCCAAATTTTTATTTAAAATTGTATGTGTAGCTTGGCTGGTGTGGTTCACTGGTTGAGCATCGACCCATGCACCAAGAGGTTGCTGGTTCGATTCCCGGTCAGGGCACATGCAGGCCCGATCCCCAGTGGGGGGCATGCAGGAGGCGGCCAATTGATGTTCCCTCTCATTGATGTTTCCATCTCTCTCTCCCTGTCCCTTCCTCTCTCTCTAAAATCAATAAAGAAAAAAAATTTTTAATTGCATATGTAATTTCCCTTCAAACACAACTTTCTCCGAGGACCTATTGTTATTTCAGGTGTATTTAGCTCAGTATTCCAAAGCAGTCACCTATGTATCACCATAACGATTTTTGTCTTTTCTGCTTGCTTGTACTATTACATACTAATATTTTTATTTATATCAGCTAATATTTCCCCTTAAATTGATTTAAGTAGATAATTTATGTCATTACTGCCATAAGTGGTGAGTCAATATCACTTGTCACCAAAATAACAATGAAAATGAATGAACAAAGTGATGTTATTAAAAGTCTCATACAAGGATTACAGAACCACAGAGATTTTGGTTTTAATTCTGGATTTCCCCCTTCTCTTTGTACATATGATAGATATACTTAATTTTTTTGCCTGTGAAAATGTATTATACTTAAATGTGTGTTGATCATGCTGGTATAGTTTCCTTGGTTTAAAAGTAATTTAACAAAGAACTATTCTCTGTACTTAACAGAAAGTAAAAAAACATTCTTAACAGTAGCCAAGATTTATACCTTAAGCCCCCCAACAAAAACAAAATTGGAAAAGTGCTCCTGTTTTCTTCATAAATGGCTAAAAGTCTTTGATGGTGAATCAGCTTGGTTCTAGAACTGTTTGGGCAGGAAATACATATTCTTGTTAGTCAGGACTATGAGCAGTATTCCCATTGGAACAACCTTAAAGCTTTGAAAATGTTTTACATTTTGTGTTTTTAAGACCTTGCCACCATGGAAGAAAGAATACAAAGACGATATTATGAAAAGCTGACGGAATTTGTGGCAGATATGACCAAAATTTTTGATAACTGTCGTTACTACAATCCAAGTGACTCCCCTTTTTACCAGTGTGCAGAAGTTCTTGAATCGTTCTTTGTACAGAAATTGAAAGGATTCAAGGCTAGCAGGTGAGCAGATGTGTTCGGTGTTCTGAATTAATTCAGCTCCTCAGACTCTCTATACTGTTCTAAGGAATCGGCCAATGAAGTTTATGGTAAATTTGAACCTTAAAATCAAGAATCCTTAAAACAAGACTAGCATTATGATATACTGCCATGGACAGGAGCACAGACTCACTGATGAGAAACTGATGAGTTTATGATCTTTTTAGAATTAAAGTAATTTTTTAAAATTAAAAAAGCATTTATCAAATGCTTACAGAAAGTAAGATGCTCTCTTAACAATAAAAATAAAGTTTAAAAAAAGATGTTCTCTTGCCCTGGCTGGTTTGGTTCAGTAATTAGAGTGCCCACCCGTTCACCCAAGGGTTATGGGTTCTATTCCGGGTCAAGGTCATGTACCTGGGTTGCAGGTTTGATCTCTGTCCCTGGTTGGGGTTGTGCAAGAGGCAGCCAATTGATGTGTGTCTCTTTCACAGTGATGTTTCTTTTTATCTCTCTTTCTCCCTCCCTTCCACTCTATCAAAAATCATTGGAAAAATATCCTTGGGTGAGGATTAATAAAAAATAAATGAATAAATATGCTCTCTTAAATGCATATACAAAGATAGTAGTAAGAACTCTTGCTCTTGTTTTGCAGAAGTATTAAAGTGATTGTCTATAGGGTACAGGAAGGGCAAGACAATGAAAGGGGAATGTTTCTCCTTAATTTATGTTTGGTATATCTTTGAAATCATAAAATAATTTTTCTGGGTATTTTTTCTGTGGGCAAAACTAGACTTTAAGTCCACAGACCTTTTCTTTGAGTCTTTAGTAACATAAAACCATCGAGCAACTTTGCATGATGTTCTGGTACTATGACTTTCGTTACTTCGGTTTCTGACCCTCAGAAGCCCGGCTTCCATTCCTATGGTAGCTGCCACTACTTTGTAGCCCCTGAGATTCCATTATTCACTGTCTCCCATTCACCAGCCCACAAGCTTGATTGTCCCTCGATATTCAGTTGAGTAGATCATGGCTGGGTTGGGGCCTGAACATCTGTATTAGCTAATGAACTCCCAAGGGACTCAGCAAACCAGAGTGGAAGAACCAGTTCTCCACTTAGTAGTTTTCCTCAGAGGAAAATCTGTAGGGTGTTTTGGTCTCTCTTCTTTTTCTGTAGCAAGTTATTTCAGGAACTGCATTTTACAGTCAGTTTACATAAAATAAATGAAGCACAGCCCAGCTGAAGTATCCAGTTATCTTGACAGTCAAGGAATCAAAGATTATAGGCACAGAAGGCAGGAGAGCAGGTTTGTGAGCACTCAGGCTCCGGACGAGGAGCCAGGAACTGCCCAGAATCTCAGACTCCCTTTGTGTTAGCCCAGCCACAGTAAAACTTAAAATGGAAGAGGATTTATTCAGTATGACAGAATCCCCAGGAAAATAACAATATAGGAACAAAAAAGGGATAAACTCAGAATAATGAAAAGAATATGGTAGAAGTTAGCTAATGGGATTTTAACAGATTCTAGAAGACAGAAAGTGGATGGAAGAGGACCGATTGATGAAGCCAGGCTAGCCACAGCCGAGACTCCTCCTAGAGGGCTTTTCAGCAGAGTGACAGCTTACTGTGGGGTGGAAACACAGAGCCTCTGAAATCAAATGAAAGGCAAGAGAGATGGAAAAGAGGGAATAACTGGCGACCATACAGATGCTCCATGACTTACAATGAGGTTTCATCCCAGTGAACCCATTATAAATCGAAAATGTCGTTAAGTCGAAATACAGTTATTAATACACCTAACCTACTGAATATCATAGCTTAGCCTTGCTTGTTTCTACTGAATGCACAACCCTTTTGCACCTTTGCAAAGTCGAAAAATTATTAAGTCGAAAGTCATTGTGAGTCGGGGACCATCTGACTAGGACCTAGTCACTTTCCCTAACCCCTGTATGCAGACCTGTCTAGGAAGTCCACGAAACTGGAAGAACACAGGTTTCTTCTTTAAAGAAATGGAATAAACACTTCAGACAACTAGAGTAGACAGAAGAGAATTGGACCCAGAGAAAAGTCCCCTGCCCTCTGAAGGGTCAGGTCCTCAGCCCCCTCATTCTAAAGTTGGGGCTCTCGCCCTGGCTGGTTTGGCTCAGCGGTTAGAGCATCAGTCCGCAGACCAGAGAGTCCTGGATTCGGTTCCCGCTAGGGGCACGTACCTTGGTTGCAGTTTGTCCCCAGCCCCGGTTGGGGTCTTGTGGGTGGCAACCCGATGTGTCTCTCTCACATCGATGTTTCTCTCTCTCTCTTCCTCCCTCTTTACCTCCTGCTCTATCTGAAAATAAATGCAAAAATGTCCTCGGGTGAGGATAAAAAAAAAGAACAGGCCCTGGCTGGTTTGGCTCAGAGGTTAGAACGTCAGCCTGCGGTCCGGAGAGACCCGGGTTCAGTTCCCGCTAAGGGCATGTACTTCGGTTGCAGTTTGTCCCCGGCCCTGGTTGGTCGTGCGGGTGGCAGCCACTCGATGTGTCCCTTCATGTCGATGTTTCTGTCTCTCTCTCCCTTCCTCCCTCTCCCTCCCACTCTATCTGTACAAAAAAAAAAAGTGGAAAAATATCCTCGGGTGAGGATAAAAAAAAAAAAAAAAGAACAGAAAGAAAAGGGGATGAAAAATGTGAAAGAGAACAATGTTATAGCGTATTCAATATTCCAGAGAGAAACTACAGAGAAGACAAAGGAGAGGAAATTATCAAAAGGTTAATATGATAAAAATTTCCTGAGCTAATGAAAGGCACAAGACTTCAAATTCAAGCAAAGTAAATTCATACATTCAAAATATGGTTGAGACTCTGCTGTGTGTCAGATACTATAGCAGTGAATGAAATAAACCTCCTGCTCCCTATGGAATTTACTTTTTTTTTTTTAATATGTCTATTGATTTTTTTAGAGAGAGAAGTAGGGAGAGATAGATAGAAACATCAATGTGAGAGAGAAGCATCGATCAGCTGCCTCCTGCATGTTCCCTACAGGGGATCAAGCCCGCAACCCCAGGCATGTGCCCTGACTGGGAATCAAACTGGGACCTCTCAGTCCATGCTATGACGTTCAGTCCACTGAGCCACACTGGTCAGGTGGAGCTTACTTTTTTGTAGAGTAGTAAAACAGGGCAGTGGGGGGGATATGTGGAATGAGGACAGCTGATAAACATAATAAGCCAGCTGGACAGATGGGAAAAGCTCCACCCCACATATACATCACTGTAAAATTCCAGATGCCAAGGATAAAAGGTCTTTGAGAGCTTCAAAGCAGCAAGAATTAGACTGGTATCAGACTTTTCTCTAGCAACATGGATTGCAAGAGTATTAGAGAAATAAATCCAGAAGTTTGAGAAAAGTGGTTTTCAGCCTAGAAGTCTTTGTCCAGTCAAAAAAAAAATCAAATATGGAGGCAGAATACATAAGTTAGTTATGTAAGGACTCAGAAAGACACTTCTTCCTGTGCATCCCTTCTTAGCAGGTTATTTCAAGTTGTTCTTGCCCAGCTGGTGTGGCTCAGTGGATTGAGCATTATCCCAAGGACTGGGAGGTCCCTATTCAATACCTGGTCAGGGCACATGGCTGGATTATGGGCTTGATCCCCAGTAGGGGGCATGCAGGAGGCAGTTTCTCACATGGATGTTTCTATCTCACCCTCTGTCTCTCTAAAAAAATATCAGTAAAATAATTTTTTAAAAAAATGTTCAGTAGCAAAATAAGCAAATCAAGAAAACAAGACCTTGCCCTGGCCAGTGTTTCTCAGTGGTTAGAGCGTTGGCCTGTAGATCAGAGAGGCCTGGGTTTAGTTCCTGCTAAGGGCATGTACCTCAGTTGCAGTTTTTCCCCGGCCCCAGTTGGGGTCTTGTGGGTGGCAACCACTCGATGTGTCTTTCTCACATCGATGTTTCTCTCTCTCTTCTCCCTCTCTCCCTCCCGCTCTTTCTGAAGATAAATGCAAAATGTCCTCGGGTGAGGATAAAACAAAAAAAAACAATACACTGGATCTAGGATAACAAGAGGTTCAGGAAATCATTGGGAATTACTCTGACCCAGGGTGACATTTGCATAGGAGGCTTATGTCGCAGGAGAAAGGAACACTGTCATGAGGGAGTGTTCTCATGGGGGTGGGTGGTAAATGTTATTTAAGAATCTAAGTGGAGCCCTGGCCGGTTTGGCCCAGTAGTTAGAGTGTCGGCCTGCAGTCTAGAGAGGCCTGGGTTCAGTTCCCGCTAAGGGCATAACACCTCAGTTGCAGTTTGTCTCTGGCCCTGGTTGGGGTCGTGTGGATGGCAACCACTCAATGTGTTTCTCTCACATCACTGTTTCTCTCTCTCTCCTCCCCCACTCCTTCCCACTCTGTCTGAAGATAAAATGTAAAAATGTCCTCGGGTGAGGATAAAAAATAATCTAAGCAGAGAAAATGAAAGGCAGTCAGAAATTCCAATGAAAAAAAGTTGCCCTGGCTGGTTTAGCTCAGTGGTTAGAGTGTCAGCCTGCGGTCCAGAGAGACCTGCATTTGGTTCCCGCTAAGGGCACGTACCTCGGTTGCACTTTGTCCCCGGCCCTGGTTGGTCGTGCGGGTGGCAACCACTCGATATGTCCCTTTCGCATCGATGTTTCTCTCTCTCTTCCTCTCTATCCCTCCCACTCTATCTGAACAAAAAATGGAAAAATGTCCTCGGGTGAGGATAAAAAAAAAAAAGAAACACAGTTAAGTTGCATAGGAATACTGACAATGCCCTCTTATCAAAGGAGTAGATGCTACAGAGAAAAATATTTACATAGTCATAATAACGTAAATACTACATTGGTTTTCAACTTTTAGAATCAGCCTCTAGAAAGATTTAATATATAGGGAAATAAAACTTGGACTCAAGAAGGGAGTGGAGCCCTGGCCAGTTTGGCTCAGCGGTTAGAGTGTCGGCCTGTGGTCCGGAGAGACCCGGGTTCGGTTCCCGCTAAGGGCGCGTACTTTGGTTGCAGTTTGTCCCCGGCCCTGGTTGGTCGTGTGGGTGGCAGCCACTCGATGTGTCCCTTCACGTCGATGTTTCTCTCTCTCTCTCCCTCCCACTCTATCTGTACAAAAAATGGAAAAATGTCCTCGGGTGAGGATAAAAAAAAAAAGAAGGGAGTGGAAAATGATTCCATGAGTTCAGTTCTGTTTGCCATAGCAGGATTTTGAACAATATAAAGTTGATAAAACAGGAAAGAGCAGTCTAACAAATCTAACTACCTAAGAACTGAAGATCTAAGTGATTGATCCTAGGGAGCCTGGACTCTGGTTAAGTAAAGATAAGACATAGGACGACAACTTATTCACAGGCCTCTTCATGCTTTTTGATTGATACAACCAACAATTACTTCTCGGAATAAATTTCTTAAAAAGTGTTTAATTGGAGAGGCTATATGGCCTTTGGTGGTAACTGTGAGGTAGAAGCTGGGCGATTTGATTCGCAACTGCTGCTGCTGGAGAGGAAAGCCCCTTTGGGCCTGTGGATGCAGAAGAATTGGGGAAGGAGGGAAGGGGTTTAGGAGCTAGATCTGCATAGTAAAGGGGCCACTCAGGAGGGCTTTTTAGTATATTCAAGTTTACATAATTTTAATAAGAACATGGGAGCCAATTGAGAAGTTTGCTCAGTTCTGCTTAAATAAAAAATTTATAATTGAAGAGATGTTAGGGAATTTTTTGATTTGCTAATTTGAGGAGAAAGAAACACATGTGGCCAGTCATTGAAATTTGATTTATTTATGGATTTCCAGTATTTCCTTTGCCATATTTCCCCCCACTTTTAATTTATGATCACCAACATTGCAAATTATTTTCATTACTGCACTTTGTTACAATTCATCATTTATACCATCCATGTTCTTTCTTTTCTTACAGATTGTGATATCTTTAGTCTGAATTTTTAACTGGAATCAGAACTGGATGTTGGGGTCACGCTTTTATTATACCACGTGATTACCTAATTCAAAATTGCCACCCCAAAGTTCAGATTAGTTAATATAATTTTTAAATGTTAAAAACAGATGTATAGTAATAAACCATCTATTCTAGCAGCCATGTTGAACAATGTATTTAAGATTGTAAACTCCTGAAACGCTGTATTTATATACACTATTGCAATAGAACATACTTTGACTTAGTCCTGGTAACTGTACAGTAATTTGTTTTACTAACAAAAGTTGTGAATAAAACTGTGAATCTAGAAAGGAGACTTTCTGGAGTTTAATAGAAAAATGTGATTTTAATATTGTTATTTCTCTTTTAACATAATTTCTTTCCTTCACATTCCCCAAATCAATGTAAATAAGCACATGCACGCGTGCACACACACACACACACACACACACACACACCGTTTACAATGGTAATGCTTATGTAAATGTCTCTATTTGTCCCTTTGGCTAAAAATGTAATTTTTATTAGGGAAATATATATATTTTTTAAATACTGGCTTTTCTTGGTGAATTTTCATGTTTCGTGTACAGTGAAATTTTTTAATTTTAAGGTTAAAAGTTTCTTACTTGTTCTCATACATTTGCTCACCAAGGGTAGATGAAAGAACATGGCTGCTTCCCCCAGACAGATTGACCTTGGCATCCACATAAAGCATCATTGTTGTAAAAAATGAAGGGTGCTTAATTGTTCCCTTTTTTCTGTATTCTGTAGGTCTCATAACAACAAACTGCAGTCATCAGCTTCTTAAAGTTCAGCGTGTTAACCTAAACATAAAACACAGGAAGAATCTGGTTGTCTGAACTATTTTAAATTAAGGAGCCAGATGTTTTTAGTCAGGTTATCCTGACAAGACTTGACCTAAACTTTGTTTTTATTGGTCATAACAGTCCAATTTTATTCTTGACCAATTTTGTCCAACGGACAAGGGAAAAGCGAAGTCAACCGACACCATTATCTTGTCAAGATCAAATGGTTTTACTATTGTGGCAGAAGCGGGAAAACTTTGTTTATTGAAAAAAAAAAAAAAAAAGAAAAAAGAAAGCAAGAAAAAAAGATAATATGGAGTCAAGTGTAACTCCATGGAAATGCCACGTCTGCTCTTCAGTGAAGAAGCTGGTTTAGAGTCTCTCAGAAAACTTTTGACTGTATTTATTTATTGTTGCAAAAAAGACGCTTTTTTATTGCTGCCCTCATTTGTCAGCTAATTATTTTTTCTTATAAAATCCAGCCCTGGTTACATGTAATCCATTCTGTATCTTATCATGATTCCTATAGGTAAAAGTACAAGACGACCTCTAGATGTCTTTTCTTTCTATGAAAGGAGCTGCTATGTACACATGTGCACACACACACAAAACTGGGAATCAACAATGAGTTTATTGTTCATGGTAGATAAAAATTAAGCTTGCATAAAGGTTGGGCTAAATGGTCCTGGACTACAGACTCTGTTGCCTTGAATATAACAGTAAAATTTGTCATTTACTCTGCACCAGGCTAAAATGAGTAAAAATCTATTTGAAGGTATCTTGTTTGTAAACATTTGTCAGATTCTAATTTTTTTCTTTTTGTATTAAAATTCAACTATGGATGTATATGAAACAAAATAAATGGAGATCATTTTTCTCCCACAGATGGTGTCTTTGAATGTGCTCTAATGATTATCTATAGTAAGCTTTTGAGGGGAAAGGGAGGGCTGCGAGGTAAATAAAAGGCAGAATCCTCTCATCGTACCTGGGTTTGTCCAGGATATCGTAGTCGCCCTTCATTTTATAATTCCCAGCCCATTGTCATCGCTTCAAAGAAGAATCTTCAGGGGTGCTAGTCCTGTTGCGTCAATTGATCGTACTAAAAGGTCACATGAGGAAGCACATTGCCTTCATCTGTTCGTTATATGATACCAGGCAAATGACCCGTCACAGCTAGAGTTTATGAAGGGTATATTTTTAGGTGGCATCTCTTTTTTGTAATTTTTGTTTTTTGGTTGAATTGTTTGTTTTCACATAAGAAAAAGTAGTGTAAGCAGTGGAGGGGGTGGAAACAGTGGAGGAGGGTATACTTGCATGTTTTCCTTTCAGTGTTGTAACTTGACACTTGTATCAAGGCATTGTAACAGTAGCTTCTAGAAGATCTGCCATGGTTGGTTTATGTAGCTTTGCAAAAATTTTACTAGATTTTGCACTAAATCATATTAGCTTTGTCCCACTTTTTTAATGTTTTTAAAAAGTTTCCTTCTGTTTAATATCACCCTGCTATGCAAAACCTTTCCCAGACCTTAGTTTCTTAAAGATGTTGCTACAGTTTCCAATTCTTTCTTATTACAGGCTCAGGTGTACAGGTTATTCTGGGTTAATTTTATCTAATGAAGCCCATTGCTTTTTTGTACATGAAAATGTCACGTAAACCTGTGCTTACAAACTAAAGAGACTAATGCTTAACATGAAAGCTGTTTTTGCTTAAAATAGTAACATAGAAGTAATCAAATATAGGTTATTTTATCCTTTTACTTTTGAAAAATGTTACATATTGTATGCACTGTGCTGATGCAAGAATCCTACATTTTAATGAACCATAAAACTATTCTGCATCTCATCACAGTATTTCTGTACTATTTATTGATAGATAGATAGATAGATAGATAGATAGATAGATAGATAGATATGGGCTTAAATCATTTAAAACTTGTTGCGGCAAGAACTTTCCTACCTGTAGGCAATAGATTGCTATGTTTTTAACAGATTGTGGCAAATTCTAAACAGCAATTCTTTTTGTACGTAATAGGACATTTCATCCTAGAAAAATAAAGTAATGTTTTTGACATTGGATTTGGTGCAGTTTCTAATGAAACAGTGGTTGGTTGGTTGATATATTTTCTGTAACTGTTGGCATTGCCAAATTGTACAAAAAAGGCAAATTTTATGAGAATCCTCTGACCGAGAAGATGTTAATTTCATATATGTATTTAATATTGTAAAGCTTTTTGCAATTTCTATCACCATATAAATAACAGACATTTTATAGTTTTATCAACTACAGAGCTTTAGTCTTCCAAAGGTAATTTTTGAAAAACATACATTCTTATAACACATACAGAGTTTCAAAAGCTGCTTTGATGAGTATTCTTTAAAAAGCTTCTTCTATTTGGTAAGATGTACATATATATTACAGCTATTTTATTTTCAATAGCCCAAGTAGAATGCATATTTGTTATACTGTTGGGATTTTTCTACCCAATCTTTGGGCTTGTAAATATATTTATTTTACATCAATAGATTTCCTTGGCTAAAGGTATTTTCAATACGCGTTGTTTCACCTGCCAAATTCACAGTCCTTGAAACTACTACATGAAAAGTATTTTCATAATAATGGTAAAGCTTTTTTTCTCCTATCCAAATCCTGCAGGATTTAATTTTAGTTAATGTCCTGCAATAGGTAAGCTTTTAAAAGTTGTGGACTTTTAGAGAGAGATTTTCTAAAGTAAAACAATTATCTTTTTATATTTCAAGTGGCCTGGAGTATTTTTTAGAGACATTGACATTTGCTGCTGTTTGTAATCTACCTTCCTAGAATTTTCAAATAAAAGTTCTTTCCTTGTTCCTGTTCATTTCTGTTAGGCAGCCTCCCTGCATCTTTGTGTGTTTCTGATATTAAAAGAGCCAACCTGGCCCTGGCCGGTTTGGCTCAGCGGTTAGAGCATCGGCCTGCGGTCCAGAGAGACCCGGGTTCGGTTCCCACTAAGGGCAGTTTGTCCCCGGCCCTGGTTGGTCATGTGGGTGGCAGCCACTTGATGTGTCCCTTTCAGATTGATGTCTCTCTCTCTCTCCCTCCCTCCCTCCCTCCCTCCCTGTCTGAACAACAACAACAACAAAAAAAAAAGAGCCAACCTGGTGACCTTTTAAATCTGCACACTTACAGATTGAGCTACACAGAGCTCCGTGATTATTGCAGAATGCACCCTTTTCATGGTTGAGGCTGTTGCCCGAGTCTCAAATTTGTAGTCCTCAAAATGAGAATGGCGGTATCTCATGGGCAAAGTACTTGGACAGAGCTAGTCAAGAAATGTTTTTAATTTTTTTTTTTAATCCTCACCTAAGGATGTTTTTATTGATTTTAGAGAAAGAAACATTGATTGCTTGTCTCCCGTACACTCCCTGACAGGGGATTGAACCCAAAACCTGGGTACGTGCCCTGACTGGGAATCAAACCTGCAAACTTTTTGATGTACGGGATGACGCGCCAACCAACAGCCACCCAGCCAGGGCGTATTTGTAATATGAAATATTCTGAGACCCTTCTAGATACTTAGAATAAAATAGCAAAAAGAAAAGGAAAGAAAAGGCATTTCTTATGTTATACCCTACTTTATCCAATTGGGACCAAATTCAACTGAAGAAATAATTTTTTAAATGATAAAGTCCTGTTCCTGAAATTGAAGTTGTGCATTATTGGTGTTGGGTCAGTTTTTAGGTGTTTATGTGTACATGTTTGATAAACCTTAAAAATGATTTTAAGAGAAATATGTACAAACAGCACAAAGTGATATCTTTAAAAGACAGTAAAAAGCTAGTACCAAAAAAAAAAAAAAAAGTGTATGTTTTATAGATCTTGCCCTACCAAAAGAAAACCAAATACTCTTTTTCCCTTGAATTCTTGCAGCTTAATTTGAAGGTGGGATACTAATGTGTTCCTCTTGAAGGCACTAGAGTATTTTATTGATGAGGGACTATTACATGTGTACCAAGTCCTTTAGTCTTTGGAGCACAAGCTCATGTGCTAAGAAAAATCACCAATTGAACAAAAGGATTAGAAACTACAATTAATTTGCTAATTCATATTTTTCCATAAAATTAAAGATTGTATCCACCTAGCCGGTTTGGCTCAGCGGTTAGAGCACCAGCCTGTGGTCCAGAGAGACCCAGGTTCGGTTCCCGCTAAGGGCATGTAACTTGGTTGCAGTTTGTCCCCGGCCCTGCTTGGGTCATGTGGGTGGCAACCACTGGATGTGTCCCTTTCACGTCAATGTTTCTTTCTCTCTCTCCCTTTACTCTATCTGTACAAAAAATGGAAGTGTCCTCGGGTGAAGATAAAAAACATAAAATAAAATAATAATAAAAAAAATAAAGATTATATCCAAAGTACTGAATGAATATTGAAAATATTTTTCACCTTTTTTGCTTACCTGGAGTTCCCAGTCTTTTCCCTGTCTCCTGTGCCCATTCCCACACCCACCACTTGACTTTCATTGCAAACCTGGTCTTGAATGACAGCCTTAGTCTTAAGAGGAGGTTTCTAAAGCGCAGGTGGCCTGCTTGTGTTTGCCAGGGTGTACAGAGTAACTGCATTGCCTTCTAACATCACACAGGTCCCACAGTTCTGGGACATTTTGTGTTTCTAAAACTTCTCAGAAACTAGTACTGTGAAATCAGTCTAATCAAATCCTAACATTCAGGCTATGTAAAAGTGATTTTCTTCCTCTTTTAAACCAGCGCATAATTATATAACTTTTTGCTCTAACATCTGACCACGCGGCCAATAATTGATCTGTATGGCCATTTTGTTATTTTCCCACCATGTTACTCAAGGTCACTACTTAGCCTTGTGACATTTAAAAATTGGGCTTTGATTTTTGTGACTACTGCTGCTGACGTCGTGAGTTCATTTTTATCCTAAAATGAACCCAGAAGCCCTTCGTTTGCTACATACACTGCCCATGGTTCATGTAGTAATGCTTTTGATTCCCAAGAAGCAATTCTAGTATGATTTTTAATACATTTGGGCAAGACTCATTTTTGGAAAATTCTCTGAAATTGTTTTCAGTAATGCTTTATCCACAGAAAAATAGGACCTCTCAACTTTCATTTTACCTCTTTGCCCATGTTTGGGACAAATAAGGTAACCGTATCTCCCGTCACTCTCAGATGTTATGTCTTAGGCGGTTGCTACTTGCTTCCCTCAGAAGTGTGTCTAGTGCCCCGTCCTGATGTCCTGCAGGGCTGTCTGGTCACTAATGGCTGTCTGTGTGTGCCACTACAGACTCAAGCCATTTCTTGAGCTCACTGAGTGCGTCTCCTTGAAGACCAAACAGGCTCTTTGCTCTCTGGTGCAGTTCCTTTTTATCTTTCTTTAGGCAGTAATCTTCAACCATGGGGTATCAATGTCTATTCAGTGTTTCAAACGAACTGAAGTAGAGCTTGGTCTTCTGGAAGAAAATTATTAATACCTCTGTGGACTCAAGTATAAAATCTATGTTAAATTCAGTTTGTGATTAAACCTTTTTTAACCCACTGGAAGATGTTTGAAATTCACATGCTTGTAAGCTGTCATTGAATATTGGTTCCAGGGTTTGTGGAGTAAGTTGGAGAGAGGCTTCAGGGAGGCTAAAAAAAACAAACAGGTGCATCCAAGAGCTGATTTCAAGGCAAGATTTACTGCTTTACGAACACAAACATGACACGGTCTTAACAGAAAAATGACATCATACACCCAGGATATGTTTAGCATTGGGATAGCAGCCAGTTCAGCACAAAACACATTTTTTAGGAGCAGGGAGGTGTGAAAATAAACTATCTTACACTTTGGTACATCAGAAACGCTTGTTTGAATATTTTGCTTGAATTAGGCCCTTTAGTATTCTTTAACTGTAAAACTTTATAACTTGTCTTGGGCTCTGACCCATCTGTTTGCTCTATATGACATCATACGTCTTTGACTAGTGCACTTACTGTTATGTACAGAACTTAAAATGTGATGGTTTAGGTATAAAATTTGGTTTGATACGTGATATAAACTATTCAAAGTTGTATATAAAATCAAGGAAATGTTTTTTTGTGAACTATTTCTACTGAGAATGTATTTCAATTAAAATAATTAAAAGTAAACAGCATGAAGCAGTGATCTGTTAATGGGACAGGTCAGTAGCTGTGTGCATTACTGGCACTAGAGTAACTGCCACCAAGTTCAGAAGCATACCATTTAAGAAGCATTTTGTAAGTAAGGTGACAACTTCACGATTAGCATTAGAACTATGCAGCAGTTCATATAAAAGAGCCACGTGCCCTATTCTAAGGGAAAGTCCCATTACGTAAAGATAGACCTTTCCTATCTTGTTGATCAATACCAAGTCTTATGATCCAGAAATGCTGGGATAGTACATTCAAATGCATTGGGTGTGAATTGCACCTTGAACTTGCACATCCCTTTTTCTGTTAAACCTTTTCACATAGCTGTTGCTGCTTGGGAGCAGTCCATCTCCTGGTCGGAGGCGCCCTCTTACGACCTGGAGCAGAGCTGTAGGGAGCTGCCGTCTCTTATGGTAGATGTGGCCCATCACAATATACCTGCTTCCTGGGGGAGGAAAAAAGTATAAATTCATAGTGTCTTTTAAATGCCATGAAACAATAAGAAAATGTAGGATCTTTAAGAAACGACTACGCTTTAATCTATTATCTTGAATCTCAGATATATAACCCTCAGAAAACAGGTGGAAACAGTCTAGTAGTGACCTTTAGAAGAAAACCAGATAACCAGCCTGTAAACAGTCAACATTACAGAACAAGGGTCCCAATCACAAGGAATCAGCAGGATTTCTCTGGAGTACAACTAGAAAGACGTGGGAGAGGCATTTCAACTCCCCCAAAGACTTTTCTAAACTCCGTTCAACAGAGCCCCTTATGCATCCCTTCTGTCAACGATGGTCCATCATGCACTCAACTTGTCAACGAATATTTACTGAGTGCTTTGTACCAATCCATGCTGTTCCCACCTTTAACAGAGACGCGGAGGGTGGGGGATTGATGGAGCTTAAATCACAGTGGCTGAAATAATACCTGTCGTCTAAATTCTATTCATTTTGGAATACCCACTCCCCTCAAAGGTGCTAGGATGACCAACAGAGAGCGAGCTGTGGCACCCAAGTTACAAATGGTGACATAAATAAAGTACATTAAAAAGAAAAAGTGGTCAGTTAGATCAGATTCAATACCAGGTTTAAATTCTGGACATGTCTTATTGCAACTGGAGGAGTCTAGGGCTAAGATGTGGACTCGGAAGAAAAACCCGTCCGGAGTGATGTATAGGCGGTTCATCTTGTACAGCCCGTCCCGGTCCACCAGCAGAGTCACCAGCTGGATCCCTGGGCCGAGCACGTCCACATCATGCACGATTCCGTTCACTGCTGCTTCCAAAACACAAAGAGTTTGGACAAATGCATAACGCTCACTTCCTCTTTACCTAGTGCGTTTTTAATAAATCACGACAGGTCCACACGGGCCTGGGGCCGGCAAGACCGAGGCGGTGGGTTTCGCTAGGGACTGGCTTAGGGTGTCGGCGTGCACTGCCGAGCGCTCGGGCTCGCCGGCGGCCTGGGCTCTGCAGCCCGGGCGGGAAGAGCTGTGGGGCGGAGCTCACCGAATTCGCTCGCGCAATAGGACTCTCGCTCGTCCAGGTCCGCCCTGCAGGCGTGCGCGCAGGACTCGGCGCCGGGCTCCGTGTTCCCCTGCGGCGGGGCGAGGCGCGGCGGCGGCGGCTCCGGTCCCAGTGGCGCCGGGGCGGCGCGCGGCCGGTTGGGGTGAGCGAGGCCGACGGGGGCGTCGGCGGCGCGCGCAGGCGGGCGCGCGGCTGGGAAGCACAGGGCCCGGGTGCGCGCGCGCCGCGGGGCGTACTCCAGCGCGGGCGCGCGGCGCGGCGACGCGCGGTTCTCGGCCTGCGGGAGGCGCGGGCTCGGCGGGCCGGCGGGCGCGCGCGCGGCCTCCCGGAAGCCAGTCCGGTTCTCGGCTGGCGGCGGGGGTTTCCGGCGGCGCGGGTCTGACCAGGCGGGAGGAGCCGCCTCGGGGCTCGGCTGCGCCGGTGGCCCTGGCGTCTCCTCCGTGCCCGGAGCGCCGCCGCCGGGGTTGGGGTTCCTGTCGTGGGGCGGCGAGGCTGTGGGGAGAAAAGAGGAGAGGCCTGGAGGCTGAGAGGGAGGCGAGCGGGCAGAGGGGATGAGTCCGCGGAGGAGAGGAGAGTCCGATGCGGAGAAAGAAGACAGGACCCTGGGAGGGGAGAGGAGATGGGGGACAATGCAAACTTCTCAGGCACCTGCGAAAGGAGACCTGGGGAGGCCAGGAGACTGGAAGTGAAGGAAAGAACTAAGGGAGAGAAGGTGCCCCGTGGTCAGGGGAGGGAAGCCTGGGCTCTGGTCGGTTTCCTAGGCCCCAGAGGAAGGCAGCGATTAGGTTAGGTCTTGCCCTCCAAGAATGAGGCCAACTAAGCAAAACTTTCTCACCACGTGGGAACATTTCTTTTTTTTAAAGGAACCTTAACAAATCGATAGCTTTTTAAATTACATCCCCCTATTTGTTCTAGGACTAAACTTAATTGACAACTCTGGTTGAAGAACAAACTTTGCCCTTTCATTCATATATATATATATATATATACATATATATATATATAAACATCCGCCTTTTTGCTGTGTACAGTTTGTTGAGAGAGTACTGAGAGCAAACCACAGGGGGAGAGGTCTCATATTACAGGTTCTCCTAATTGTTTAAGCGCCCCTGACAACAGAACTATTTGGTTTTCCCATCCGTGTTTACACTGTCATCTTGGTCTCTGCAGAACTGAGCATTTGTGAGTGGATTTTTAGCTGGCTTCTTGGACACCACTTACTGGTAAACCACAGCTAAGAAAGATTGTTAAAGCCTGGCTGGGAGGCAGAGAGGCCCCTGGTTAGGTATAAAAGCACACACATCGCTTACAATTTCCCATCCTTTGATGATGGAGAAAAAACTCCTAAATGGTATGGCATGCAAACAAATTTTTAAATTATTAATGATTTTCCCCAGGCTCCAGACAGATTGGTGAGCAAACTTAAGCCAACTTGGAAGCTGGGCAACTTTCCATGCCCAGTTACACAATATCAGTTCCCGGTTTGCCTGGGTCCCAGTGCCCTCCAAACAGGCACAAGAACCTGTCTTTATTTTTCTCTTTATGTTGTTTTAACGGCTGGTTTTCGGCATCTCTCTCCTCTTGTATTGAAGAGCTTGGTCTCATTTGCAGCTCTTGCGACACTTCATTTAAAGTGATTTATCTTGCCAAGTTGATAATCTCCTTTAAAATCAGCTTTCACCCAGCAATAATAGCTGGTTATAGTTCATGTTTTTGCAAAGAGGTTGATTCTGACTCATCATGGTCAACGTTGTCCCACACACAGCTGAATAAAGTTCTGGTGGATATCTGATTCCTGACTGTCAACTGTTGACCTCCCAACTGCTTCCCCATTGATATCACCATCTGTTGTCATGGGAAAGATTGTCCGATATTTGGGTTAAAAGCCACTGAAGTCATTCAGTTTCCATGTGGAAAAATAACCCAAAGTAAATTGCCCTGTGAGGTGCGGAAGCTATTTTCCCAGAGATAGTGAATCGAACAAAACATCCCCCCAAAAGCAAAACAAAAAACACCTCGCCACAGAAAATCCCTTATTTCTGCATTCCCTCAGTAACTTATTTTCATCTCATGCATGAAATTGTGTGTTTTAAAGACTCAGGTGTCTCAGGGCCATTCGTCGAGGCTGCAGGGAGAGGGAGGAAGGTCGGATTTCTGCTCACTTCACCCTCGGCCCGGCAGACGGACGCACCCAGCGCTGCGCTCCATCGCCCGCGGGACCGGGCGCAGGGCGGACCCCGCGCTCTTCGCTCTACGGCGCCACCGCAGCGTCCTGCGAGCCCTCCCGGCGAGCCCTCCCGGCGAAGCTCCCGAAAGGCGCACCGTGACCCCTTCTGACACTCTCTGCTCTGTGATGGAGCAGCTACTTAACATGCAAAGTTTTCTCCAGCCTGCCCGGCTCGCTCGAGATCATTTCAGTAGCTGAACTGGCTTCTTTCCGAAAAGGCTGCCAAGACACACAAAATCTTGGGGACACATTTTGCTCCCTGTGAACATGAACACGGACTGGAGTCTCCTCTCTTGCAAACTCTGACCCCTGTCTCCTCTCGCCCTTCCTCGCGCCCTCTTCCCCCTCCCGCCGCCCTCCTCCCCATCCCGGGGCTCAGCATTTAATCCATCTTACCTTTTCTCTCCGCCACTGGGGCTGCGAGAGATGATCCAATGATCAAACAGAGCAGCCAGAAAGCTCTAGCTGTCATTTTTGTAGACACGGTTCCCAGGCTCTAAAACTAAGCCAGGGCTTTTTGCTGTGTCTCTCCCCCCACCCCTTCTCCACACCCCCACCCCCCTTCATGCTAATGAGAGGCAGCCTTTGGGGAAACGGGAATCACTCACTGGACAGACCATTGGAACAGCACGGAGCCGCAGGGATCTCTCCCACTTCCTAAGGGGGACAGCACAAGGCCTTCCAAAATTGTCCCTGCGAATGTGTGTCCTGCGGTCTCTGGGCAGCGATAACATCAAATCCTAAACTTTAAACCCCTGTGGGTTTGCAGGCTGGGCTGAGGGGAGGAGAGGGCTGGGTGGCAAGTGGAGAGAAGAGGGGTGTGAAGGAGCGGGACAGGGTGGAGGAGAATGGTAGGAAGTTTTTCCTAGATGGAGCCTACAACAAATAAGCAAATAGTGCTTAAGACAGCTTGGGCTTGTGGGAAGGAGAGCTCAGATGACAGAAAGTTCATCCCAGAATGTGTCAGGGATTCCAAGAGCAACAAGTCACCACATCCTAGGTTTGGATATACAGTTTTTATATTCTAGAAGCAGAAGAAAAAAGCCATCAGCAAAATAGCTTTCCTTCTTCCTTTCTAACCTCCTCCCCCCCAAATTGACATTGGTATCTAGTTGGCAGGATTCTTCAAGCCTTTTACCTGCCAGGTGCTAGGGGACAAAGATGAATAAAACACCTTCCCAGACCTCTAGTGATGGCTCATCTCCTGGAGAAAGGTGGGTTTCTTTCCTTCTAAATAAAACTCATTCACTGCTTAGGTCTGAATTCTTGAAACAACTTGGTATATTGGTCCTGAGCTAATGAACTTCTTCAGATTGAACCGAAACAGTATTCACTGAGGGCAAAAATAAGCTCAACATAGTAAACCCACAGCCTTCCCGACGTGTATCTCATTTCAACAGCTTCAAATCCAAAAGGAAGGGGAAATGCATTGAGATGAAGGTGTTTTCTCTGAAGCATCTGAACCAACAGTGAGATGCAGCTGCTAAAAGAATAACAGACTTTTGCTTCTTATGTCTCAAAAATAATAGTGCTAGTGGACTGACCAGATTCTAGGGGGATCATGTTTTCCAGAAAGACACTGGAAAGCTACAAGGAGAACAATGAGGTGGAGAAAGGGCTGGACTCCATCATGTTCAAGTTCTTTTGGAGGAACTGAGGATTGGCAGCCTAGACACACAAAAAGATTTGTTGTGTTTTATGAAAGAACCCATAGGTTATCCAGCCGCTGTGGCTCAGTGATTGAGCGTCGACCCATGCACCAAGAGGTCGCCGGTTCAATTCCCAGTCAGGGCACATGCCCAGGTTGTGGGCCAAATCCCCAGTGGGGGGCGTGCAGGAGGCGGCCAATCAGTGTTTTTTCTCACCGATGTTTCTATCTCTATAAGAAATGCTCAGCGGTTAGAGCGTTGACCTGCGGTCCTGAGAGACCCTGGTTCGGTTCCCGCTAAGGGCGCGTATCTCAGTTGCAGTTTGTCCCCGGCCCTGGTCGGTCGTGCGGGTGGCAGCCACTCAATGTGTTCCTTTCACATCGATGTTTCTCTCTCTCTCTGTTCCTCTCTCTCCCTCCCACTCTACCTGAACAAAAAAATGGAAAAATGTCCTCGGGTGAAGATAAAAAAAAAAAACTTAAAAAAAAATAAAAATAAAAAATAAATAAAAAATTGCCCTGGCTGGTTTGGCTCAGCGGTTGGAGCGTCGGCCTGCGGTACAGAGAGACCCGGGTTCGGTTCCTGCTAAGGGCACGTACCTCGGTTGCAGTTAGTCCCCGGCCCTGGTTGGTCGTGCGGGTGGCAGCCACTTGATGTGTCCCTTCACGTCGATGTTTCTCTCTCTCTCTCTTCCTCTCTCTCCCTCCCGCTCTATCTGAACAAAAAAAGGAAAAATATCCTCGGGTGAGGATAAAAAAAAAAAAAAGAAAGAAAAAATTTAAAAAAAGAAAAGATTATAACAACCAACGTCTCCAAGAAAGCAGACTGCTTTGAAGGGTTGTGACAGTGAGCACCTGGCCATTGGGGACATCCAAAGAGAAAGAACATCACTCAGGAATACTGTAGAAAGTTTCCTGAATTAGGTGTATTGTGGTTTGAGGGATACAGTGAGGTAAGTATGTTTCTCTAGAGAGGAGCTGTTTGTCTAATCACAGGCTGACAGTATGTTACAGGTGGTCACTATGTTCTATAGTTTGGTTCTTAACTTTCCTCAGTTTGAAACTCAGAGTATGTCAATGGATCAGATTCATGGGATTGACTCATGTTAACCAAACTTATAAAAAGCAGATGTATAAACCAGAATGATATTTATTAATATGCAATGGACAGGCTATATAATAAAGGTGATTCAGAGGTCTAGTTATTAATCAGAAGGTTGTGTTTTAAGCACTAAATTGAATTACAGCTGAATGTAGGCTAATCTTTCTCATTCAGGTTTTAGGAGAAGACTAATCTCTCCAGTCACTGCAAGGCTTGAGTACACCAGTCATTGTCTCCAACCTCTGGCCAGGACGAGGTAAACATCATGACATTCGTACTTTTGAAGTCCAGTTTATCAATGTCCTTCGATCCTTTTCTTTCACGTGCTCTTTCTTTAAGTCAAGTGGAATAAAATTAATTAGGCTTAAGATTTCTCAGTTACATTCACATCTCAGACATACCTGCTGGAGATTATATTCAAGCCACCCAGATCCAATTTGGGGTGTTCCCAGAACTCTTCTGTTGCAGGAATGTTGTGAATGCCCCAAAGACCACACCCTGAAATGTAGAGGCAGAGACCAGTTTTTGGTTCCCACAGACTCCTAGAGTCTCCCTGGGTAGCACCAGCCTGGAAGAAGTTGCAGGGTCCAGGGCTGGGCAGCATCTGGCTTGCTGGTTCCAAACCACATGAATGGTGGGAGGTGCAAAGAGCTCAGAGACTGATCTATGTAAGCCAGACTGCCACTTTATTACTTTACAAGAAATCAACTCAGGCAAATGTGCATGCTCATGTCAGCCTGGCTAGCATTCTCGTCATATAAACAAGTCACATGGGAAGCCAAATTATCATCATGATGCTTGGTAATATAAACCAGAGCATGAGGAGTTTGTCATATGATTGGAATGTTTAATGGTATTGGTTTCTCAGAGCCTAATGTGTCCATCTCCATAATAGGTGTGTGGGGTGTGTGTGTGTGTGTGTGTGTGTGTGTGTGTAGTGGCAGAATCCAAGAACCTTCCTCTTTCTTGCCAATTTCTGGTATTTTGAGTGTATCTTTCTGCTTAGCAAATATTTCTTGAGCATCTACTATATATTATAGAAGAAAGAATTTGTGCCAAGTTCCAGGCTTGGAGCTCCTAAAACCCTTGGAATTTCCCCAGTGATAGAAATGCTTTTGTTATTCATGAGCATCCTGGATCACACCTGAGTTTATCCTAATGAGGTGACTCTTGGAGAGACCCTTTTGATAGCTTCAGGATGGGATCTGGGATCAGAAAGAACAGCCATGCAATTAGGTGAGGAGAGGGAGAGAGGCTGGAGATCCAGTTCACTTAGATGGCCAGTGATTTAACCCATCATGCCTACTTACTGACACCCCAGTGAAAACTCAGTGGTGCTTCCAGGTTGGTGAACACATTACTGTGTTGGGACCGTGATTGCCTGGATCCATGGAGAGAGAACAACGAAGCTATGCAATCGGGCCCTCCCAGATATCACCCTATGTATCTCTTCATTTGGCTGGTCCTGATCTGTATCCTTTATAATAAAACTGTGATTGTAAGTATAGCACCTTCCTGAGTTCTGTGAGTCATTGTAGAGAACCATCAAACATGAGGGAGATCATGAGAACCCCCAGATTTGTGGCCAGTTGGTCTGAAAGGAGGGCAGGCTTATGGAGCAGCCCTCTAGCTAGTGGGGTCTGCACTAACTCCAGGTGGATAGAGCCAGAACTGGGTTGCAGGCCACCACTTGGTATCAACATTTTATGTGCCAGGCACCGTTTTAGGCGCCACAAATACCAGTTATTATCATTCTTCAAAAAAAGCACAACACAGTTGCTTTGGCTCCCATTGGGTAAATTAGGGTCACATTCCAGTTCAGTTTCAGAATCATCTTGATTGGGGCCAGGGTCTCCCCAAGTTCTTCAGACTTTCACAGACAGTCCCTAGGTTTACTCCCACAGGTACTGGGCCAGGTCCTGGAATATTAGGACCTAAATCCTCCTCTCAAGTGGCTCACAGACAGTCAAGTATAGAGCTAAGTGCAATACGAAAAAGCTGTACCCATTAGGGACAAAGACGCGGTCAGCAGGAGGTGGAAACCAGGTGAAGGTCACGTAAACTCTGGTTTGAAGCATGGGGTTTATCAGATAGACTAGGACAGACCAAGGGGGCAAGCGAGACGACAGCGTGCACAAAGGCACAGACCTGGGAGAGAGCTTGTGTGTCCACCCAGGCCCAGGAAAGCATGGCAGCCATGCTGGGGAACAACGCCCAGTGCTGGCAAGCCCGGTGCCCTGGAGACCGACTCACCCACAGACAGGGTTGAGTCCCTGAGTGGTTGTAGAGCAGCTTTTTAATTCTTTATTTCATTTCTATTACATTATTGTAATAGAAAACTTGGAAAGTTAGAAAAGCGTAGACACGAAAACTACACGATGTAAGTGTTGTCTCACCCCCACCCTCACCAATCACCGCGTGTTGCCTTCTCGGCTCTTTCTTAGCGTCATTGTTGCACAGGTGCGGTCAGAGTGTCTGTATTATTTTGGATCCTGTGTTGTTCACTTGACATGATGACAGAAGTGCTTCTCTATTTTTTTTAAGCTTATTTATTTATTTATAGAGGAAGGAAGAGAGAGAGAGACATCCATCGTCTGCCTCCTGCCCGCCCCCTACTGGGGATAACCTGGTCATGTGCCCTGACCGGAAATTGAACTGGGCTCAGTCCATGAGATGACATTGAATCCACTGAGCCACACCAGCCGAACATGCTCATCCCTATTTTATGTTTTATGTATACAACCTTGTATCCAGCTTTTATTTAATTAAAACTGTTATAATATTATTACAGACTCTTTGTAAATATGAAATCTCATAGCTGCAGAACACTTTCTCATTTAGACAAACCATAGTTTGGGAACGTTTGAGACTGTTTTCAGTTTTTGCCATCATAAAACTGTCCATGTCACCATCAACAGAGGAATGAATGGCTGGTCATGGTGTGACATAGCGGAACACTACAGAGTAGGCACTACAGACATTTTGGGCAGATAATTCATTGTTGTGTGCTGTAGGACATTGACCAGTATTCGTGGCCAGATATAATGGCACCCTGCCTCCAGCTGTGACAACCTAAGCTGTCTCCAGATGTTACCAGATGTCTCCTGGAAGCAGAATCATGAACCATATTCATTGCTAATACAGCAATGAAAATAAATGAGCTATAATTACAAAAGCAAAATATAGGTGAATCTCATAAAGATGATATCAAGTAAAAGAAGTCCAACACAAAAGAGGATATGCTATATAATTTCCCTTGTATAACATTCACAAGTAGGCAAAACTAATTTGTGGAGTTAAAAGTCAGGATAATGGTTACTCTTGGGAGTAGTTAGTGACTGGAAAGAGTACTGGGGGAGGGGAGTCTCTGATACTAAAGTTTTCTAGAGTTTGACCTATTAATTTTTTATATATTTTATAAAAATACTTTTTATTGATTTTTTTAGAGAGAGGAAGGGAGAGGGAGAGAGAGATAGAAACATCAATGAGAGCGAAACATCCATTAGCTGCCTCCTGCACATCCCCCACTGGGGAGCCAGCCGAAACCAGGTATGTGCCCTGATCAGGAATCAAACTGGTGACCTCTTTTTTTATTTTTTATCCTCACCGGAGGACAGCATTCATCTTCAGATAGAGCGGGAGGAAGAGAGAGAAAGAAACATTGATGTGAGAGAGACACATTGACTGGCTGCCACTCACACGATCCCAACTGGGGCCGAGGACGAACTGCAACCGAGGTACATGCCCTTAGCGGGAACCGAACCTGGAACTCTCTGGTCCGCGGGTGAATGCTCCAACCGCTGAGCCAAACCAGCCAGGGCGGGTGACCTCTTGATGCATGGGGTGATGCTCCTTCCTTCACTGAGCCACACCAGCTGGACTCTACAATCTTTTTTTTTTTTTATCCTCACCCGAGGACATTTTTCCACTTTTTGTTCAGGTAGAGTGGGAGGGAGAGAGAGGAACAGAGAGAGAGAGACAAACATCGATGTGAAAGGAACACATCGAGTGGCTGCCACCCGCACAACTGACCAGGGCCGGGGACAAACTGCAACCAAGGTACGTGCCCTTAGCGGGAACCGAACCCGGGTCTCTCAGGACCACAGGCCGACGCTCTAACCGCTGAGCCAAACCGGCCAGGGCTCTACGATCATTTTTATTGATTCAATTCTAAAACATTGAATTGCTGACTCAAAGGATATGATAATTCAATATTTTTGCTGCAAATTCCTAAACTGTCCCCCAGATATGCTTTCTCAGTTTACACTGAACAGCAATCAGCTTACACTGAGCAGCAATAAATCAGGGCGGGCACGCGCTAATGCCTATTTCTCCATAGCAGGAGAGGACCCCATCAGTGTTTGATATCCTTGCTATTCTGAAGAGGTTGTGTTTTTTTTTTTTAATTTCCATGTAAAATTCTTTAAAAAAATATATTTTCAAGTACAGTTGACACTTAATATTATTTTATATTAGTTTCAGGTGTACAACATAGCAGTTAGACATTTATATAATTTACGAAGTAATCCCCCGGATAAGCCTAGTACCCACCTGGCACCACCCGTAGTTATTACAGTATCATTGACTGTATTTCCTATGCTGTACTTTCCATCCCCGGGACTGTTTGTAACTACCAAGCTGTACTTCTTACTCCCTTCACCTTTTTCACCCTGCAGAGTTTTTTTGAAAGATTTTTCTTTAATTCACTTTTTTTTTATTGCTGGTGATATTGTACACTTTTTTATAGATTTATTGGCCCTTTGGATTTCTTTTGTTAATTTCCTGTTCATATTCTTTGTCTATTTATTGGGATGTTCATATTTCCCTTTATGAGTTTAAGAGCTATTTATAGACTAAGAATTTTAACTCTTTGTCCATTATACAGTGAGGGCAAAAGCAGTTTTACAGTTGTTCATATGGAAAATAATACAATAATTAATAGATAATAATACAAGAATAAACTATGTTTTTTAAGTACTCACAACTGTAACCTACTTTTGCCCCACCCTGTATATATTGCAAATATTTCCTCACAGAATGTCATTTGATTTTTAACTTCTTAGCAGTCTTTTGGCCATAGAACTTTTAAATTTTGTATAGTAAAATCCATCAATCTCTTGTTTAACAATGTCCCTGGTGTCTTTTGTCATGCTTAGAAAGTCTTTCTTCAACTCAAAATTATATACATATTAACCTATATTTTTCTAGTGCTCGTAGTAAAATCACGATTCCATCTGGAATTTATTTTGGTATGTAGTATGAGGTAAGAATCTAATTTTATTTTTTTCTCAAATAACTAGGAAGTTGTCTAATCCAATTGGCAAATAAATTCATCCTTTCCCAATGTTGAGATGTCACCTTTAACACAGAGCAGTGATTTTTAACTGATGTGCCACAAGAATTTTTAAAACATGCAATACTTGACTATTTAGTCAGGGGCACTGACCTCTTTTTCCTTAGATTGTCAAATAAAAAAAATGACCACAGCCAACACAACAATAGCTATCTGCTGTGAATGAATCAAACTTATACCTATTTTTGTTTTATCAGATTGGTAAAAAATATATTTTTTGGTGTGCCACAGAATTTTAGTAATTAATGTATGTGTGCTATGAAATGAAACAGGTTGAAAATCGCTGATCTCGACAGTGTTAACTTATAGTAAATTTAAGTCTATTTCTAGACTTTCTACTCTGCTCTGTGAGTACATCTGTTTATTCTCATGCCTATGTGTCCACAGTGGAGCATGGTTATAGTTATCATGGTGTGAGAACATATCTTTCTTTAAAAATATTTTTGGGGTATGATAGTTGTGTTTTTTTTCTCCAAGTGAACTTTAAAATTATTCTGCTAAGTTTAAAAATCCTGTTGGGCCCTGGCTGGTTTGGCTCAGTGGATACAGCATCAGCCCACGGACTGGAGAGTCCCGGGTTCGGTTCCCGCTAAGGGCACGTACCTCAGTTGCAGTGTGTTCCCGGCCCTGGTTGGGGTTGTGTGGGTGGCAACCACTCGATGTGTCTCTCTCATATCGATGTTTCTCTCTCTCTTCCTCCCTCTCCCTCCCACTCTATCTGAGGATGAATGCAAAAATGTCCTCTGGTGAGGATTAAAAAAATAATAATAATAAAATAAAAATCCTGTTGGTTTTATTGAATTTGCATTAAATGTATAGATTAATGTGTAAAGGATTTGACAGCTTTTCTGTGTTGTCTTTCTTTCCAGGACAATGAAATAGCTACATTTCTTTGAGTCTTCTTTTTCCCTCTGTCAGAATATTATCATTTTCTTCATCTAAGCTCTACACTTTTCTTGTTAAAGTTATTTCCTGGGTATTTTATGTTTTTAAGGTAATTTGGAGCAATGTTTATCCTTTACATTTTCTAACTTGTTTTTCTAGGTATATGGAAAAGCTACAGATTTATGTGTATATCCATACTTATTGTTTATATCCCAATTTGTGTGTATTCAAAAATAGTCCAAACTAGTTTCAATTGATTCCCTTGGGTTTTCTCAGTAAAAAACCATATACTCTATAAATAATGATATTTTGCCTCTTCCTCTCAAATGTTTATTTAACTTTTGATTGCATTGATGAGAACTTTTTAAACTCTTTTGAATAATGTCCTAGCCATCATCTTTGTTTTATTGGTATTTCTCGTTAGTAGAAAATACCTCAAATGTTCCATCTTCAAGTGACTGAAGACTCGATTTGCTTCAAGTACATTGAGCTATGTTTTTTTTTATCTTTTAATATTTTATTGATTTTTTAGAGAGAGAGAAAAGGAGAGGGAGAGAAAGAGAGAAACACCAATGTGATTGGCTGCCTCCTGTACACCCACTACCAGGGATGGAGCCTCAAACCCAGGTATGTGCCCTCCACCAGAATCGAATCTGCGACCCTTCGGTCCCCAGGCTGATGCTCTAATCGCTGAGCCAAACTTTCCAGGGCTCCTCTGACCATTTTTTTTTTTTTCTCTCTTTATTGATTTTAGAGAGAGGAAGGGAAAGGGAGAGAGAGATAGAAACATCGATGAGAGAGAACATCGACTGGCCGCCTCCTGCATGCCCCCCACTGGGGATTGGGCCCACAACCTGGGCATGTTCCTGACCGGGATTCGACCCGGCGACCTTTTGGTGCATGGGTCGACGCTCAACCACTGAGCCACACCGGCCGGGCCTCTGACCGTTTTTAAGGGGAAGGTATTTTATTTTTAATATATATTTTTATTTTTCAGTTACAGTGACATTCAATATTATATTAGTTTCAGGTGTACAACAGTGTTAGACATTTATATAACTTATGAAGTGATCTCCCCAATAAGTCTAGTACCCACCTGGCTCCATACAAAATTACCACAGTATTATTGACTATATTCCCTATACTGTAATTTACATCCCATAACCATTTTATAACCCCCAATTTGTACTTTTAATCCCTTCACCTTTTTCACCAAGCCTCCCAACCCCCCTCCCATCTGGCAACCAGGGAAGATATTTTTATTACAAAATATTTCAAACATTCATAAAATTATTGAGAACAATATAATGAATACTTGCTTAAGTATGACCTAGTTTTATCAAATTTTAATATTTTTTACCATATATACTTCATATTTTTTTAGTGTTAAAAAAAATTACAAACTCATTTGGTGGTAACCAGTATCCAGATGGCTGGCCCCCAGTGATCCTCACTTCCTGATATTCACACACTGTACATGTCCTTTCACATTGTAGCAGGTCTGGTCTGGATGGCCAATGGTCTATGGGAGAAGTGATCATATACATTTCCAAGATTAGGTTACAAATAAACTAAACTCTCATCTTGGCTATGCATTCTCTCTTTCTTTGAGATCATATGCTCTGGGGAAAGCCAGCTGCCGTGTTCTGCAGACACTGAAGCAGTCTATGCGAGGCCCACGCAGCAAGGAACAGCCTAGAGCAGCAAGATACTGAGACCGGCCAACAACCAGTAAGTGAGCTTGAAAGCATATCCTCTCCGGTTGAGCTTTCAGACAGGACTGCAGCCCTAGCCTACAGCTTGACTGACACCTCCTCAGAGACTTGAGCAAAACCGCCCAGCTAAACCACTCTCAGGTTCCTGGGCCACAGTAAGTGTGATTAATACATATTTATTGTTTTAAGCTGCTAAATTTTGGTGTAATTTGGTTTTTGCAGCAATAGGTAACCAATACGCAGTTGAAGGCCCCTTCTGCCCCTCCCTAATCCATTTTCCTGTTCTTCCCATAGGTAATCGTTATACTGAACCTGGGGTTTCTACCATTCTCTTGGATGTATTTTCCTATTATGACTAAAACAATTACTATCATCACAAAATTTTATACATTGATTTCAAAGGTTTTTAAGAAAATTCTAATTCCAAAATTTTATTTTATTTTTCTAGGCATTTTCTTTTTAAATTTATCTTTACTGTTGAATGTATTACAGATGTTCCTCCTTTTTTCCCCACCTTGACACCCTCCTCCCCACTCCCACCCTCTCCTGCCTTCCCCACACTATTGTCTGTGTCTATTGGTTGTGCATATATGCATAGAAGTTCTTTGGTTTCTCTCTTTCTGCCCCACCTCCTCCCTTCCCTTTGAGGTTCATCAGTCTAATTCCAAAATTTTAAACATTCGATATTAATATGTACTTGTAGTTCAATAAATGATTTTTTAAATTAATGCATAATAAAATTGGGAATTTTTTTTCTTTCTTTCTTTTCTTCTTTTTTTGTTAATCCTCACTCAAGGATATTTTTCCATTGATTTTTAGATAGAGTGGAAGGGAAGAAGGGAGAGAGAAAGAAACATCAATGTGAGAGAGACCCTTCAATTGGTTGCCTCCTGCACGACCCTGACCAGGGCCAGGGATCAAACCTGCAACCCAGGTACGTGCCCTTGACTGGGAATCGAACCCAAGACCCTTTAGTCTGTGGGCCGATTCTCTAACCGCTGAGCCAAACCAGCCAGAGAAAATTCCTCCTTTCTTTTTTTATTTTATTTTATTATTTTTATCCTCACCCGAGGACATTTTTCGATATTTTGTTCAGATAGAGTGCGAGGGAGAGAGAGAGAGAGAGAGAGAGAGAAACATCGACGTGAAAGCGACACATCGAGTGGTCGCCACCCACAAGACCCAACCAGGGCCGGGGACAAACTGCAACCAAGGTACGCGCCCTTAGTGGGAACCAAACCCGGGTCTCTCTGGACCGCAGGCCGACGCTCTAACCACTGAGCCAAACCGGCCAGGGCAGATGAAGGTTTTTTTTTGTTTGTTTGTTTTTTTATCCTCACCTGAGGACATTTTTTCATTTTTTGTTCAGATAGAGCGAGAGGGAGAGAGAGGAAGGGAGAGAGAGATAAACATCGATGTGAAGGGACACATAGAGTGGCTGCCACCCGCACGACCAACCAGGGCCGGGGACCAACTGCAACCGGGGTACATGCCCTTAGCGGGAACCGAACCCGGGTCTCTCTGTACCGCAGGCCAACGCTCCAACCGCTGAGCCAAACCGGCCAGGGCTCCTTTCTTAATTTGGGTACTTCCTTGTCTAATGTTACAGTGAAATGAAAAAGAATATCTATTGTTAATAACAATAATAATTATAATAATAGCTGGCACCTATTGAACACTGTTCTAAGTATTAAATCGTTACATCAAAATATGAGTTTAGCCCTGCCTGGTTTGCCTCAGTGGTTAGATTGTTGGCTTGTGGTCCGGAGAGACCCGGGTTCGGTTCCCGCTAAGGGCGTTTACCTCGGTTGCAGTTTGTACCCAGCTCTGGTTGGGTTGTGTGGGTGGCAGCCACTCGATGTGTCTCTTTCACGTCGTTGTTTCTCTCTCTCTCTATTCCTCCCACTCTATCTGAACAAAAAATGGAAAAAATGTCCTTGGGTGAAGATAAAAAAAAAAAAATAGTATATGAGTTTATACTTTCATTATCCCAGTTTTACAGATGAGTAACTGAGGCACAGAAAGGTTAAATAACTTGCTCAAGGTTATGCAGCTATAGTCTAGTGCTCTATGCCTAGTAGGGAAACCCAAAACTTTATTCCTGTAGGACCTGCGGTCCTGATGGTTCGTCTTTATTGGATTGCTGTACTGCATTCCCATTAACTAGGTCTTTGGGACAAGGACACACTAAGATGTGCCCCCAGTGAATGCTTGAGTTCCAGACTTTGCCTCCTTCCTCCATTGAGTAGTAGAGCCATTTCCCACCTTGGTAAATATGTGGATCATGCCAGATGGGCTGGAGCTGGGGCTGCTGTAACAACGTACCTTAGACTGGGTGGCTTAAACAACAGACATTTATTTGCTGGGTCTGGAAGTCTGAGATCAGGGTGCCAGTATGGTTAGGTTCGAGCCAGTATGTGAGAATTCTCTTCCTGGCTCGAAGATGGCTGCTTTCTTGTTGTGTCCTCACATGGCAGAAGGGAGGGGGATGGAGAGAGAGAAAAGGAAGGGGGAGAGAAGGGAGGAGGGAGGAAGAGAGAGAGAGAATGAACCTCTGGACTCTTCTCCTCAATATTAGAACACTAACCCCATCGTGGGGGCTCTATCCTCATAACCCTATCTAAACCTAATGAGTCCAAAGGTTCACTTCTTAACACCATAACATTTGGGTTAGTGCTTCAACATACAGATTTTTGAGTGATAGAAACATTCAGCCAATAACAGTGACCCTTCTCTGCCTATGGGTTCAGCAGCATGAGGAGTCCCATGGCCAATGGGCAGCCTCAGCTTCCAATGAATGGAACCAGGATAGTATTTCCTAGTTTAAACATTTCTCCGTTGGGCTCTAGGACCTCTGGACCCACTGAGTCCCAGATCACTGGTAAGCAAAGCAAAAATTCCTTCCAATGAATCATTAGGAGGAACCACTCCCACCTTCTCTCCTTGGTTCCTGGAGATGTGCAATCTGGCAGTGTCTAAATCCAGGAGTGGGGATGCTCGCAGAAACCCTGCAAGCAAGGAAAGCAAATCCATACCCAGAACACAGGTCTGTCCGTGTGAGGAGGAGGCGCTGTCCACACACCCAGTCTTTCCCTTGCAAACATGGGGTTATTGTTATGCCTTTGAGTGAGGCCTTCCCCTTGGAGACGCGCCCTCTGCTGGCCATTCCTAAGATCCGTGGCCAGAGCATCCTCTTCCACCGTTGTTTCCTCTCTGCTTTTAGGAGCTTTCCCCTTTTGTTTGAAGTTTCAGATGTCTCCTAGTTTCACTGACGGTGTTCTTTGTGGTTCTTTTCATCCTCCTTGTTGCTTCTGTGGCATTTCCAAGAGTAGAGTAAAATGGCAACTTTACTGTATGTTTAATACTGCGACCTGGTAAATTGTCAAGTATGATCATTCTGAATGTTAATATTATTGGGTTGTATTTTAATATTAATTCTGCTGTATTCTATGAAATCCTTACATGAGTTTTGTTTGTTTGTTTGTTTGTTTGTTTGTTTTTTTATCCTCACCCGAGGACACTTTTCCATTTTTTGTACAGATAGAATGGGAGGGAGAGAGAGGAAGGGAGAGAATGAGAAACATCGATGTGAAGGGACACATCGAGTGGCTGCCACCCGCACGACCAACCAGGGCCGGGGACAAACTGCAACCGAAGTACGTGCCCTTAGCGGGAACCGAACCCGGTCTCTCCGGACCGCAGGCCAACGCTCTAACCACTGAGCCAAACTGGCCAGGGCCTTACATGAGTTTTGAAAACTTGAACTAGTACAATATTAGTAAATATTTGTAGATATCCAAAATTTAAAAATAAATTTCTAAAGTGATCCAGTATAAAAACAGGCAAAATTAAATAATAATGGTAATAATAAATAAAAACAGGCAAAATTAAACAATGCTATTATAAATAAGGCTACTTACTGATCACCCTGGAGGAGGAAGTGATTGGAGGGAACTCAAGGGGGCTTCCCCAGTGATTAATGTCTCATTTCTTGATCTGGGTGATAATTATACAAGTGTGTTCAGTTTGTGAACATAATTAAACTGCACACATGATATGAGACTTTTTTGCATGTATATTACACATTAGTAATCTTTTTTTTTTTTTTTGGTGGTACATGCCCCTAGCAGGAACCAAACCCGGGTCTCTCTGGTCCGCAGGCCGACGCTCAACCGCTGAGCCAAACTGGCCAGGGCACACATTAGTAATCTTTAAAAAAAAATTTTTTTCTTTATTGATATTTTTTAGAGAGAGGAGGGAGAGGGAGAGAGAGAGAAACATTGATGAGAGAACATAAATTGGCCACCTCCTGCTTGCCCCCCACTGGGGATTTGGCCCATATCCTGGGCATGTGCCCGGATCCTGAATTGAACCAATGGCATCTTGGTGCATGGGTTGATGCTCAACCACTGAGCCACACTGTCCGGGTAATAATCATTTTTTAACTAAAACGTAAAATATCCTATAATTAAAGATAAAGTTTGATCCTAGTAAACACGTGATATTTATCTAGGTCAATCAAAAGGAAAAGGAGAAATTTATGCAAAAACTTTAAGTATCTGAATTTTATCATATTCTTCCATTTTATTAAGGATTCTATCTTTGGTTATAAGTATAATATATCTTTCCTGTGAGGAAAATGGGTTTCTCCATAAATTGGGTCCATAGTCATATAATGCTAGTAGAGACACACTAACCTATATACCTTACAGTGAATTCCAACATTTGGGGGTTCTGCCATGGTTTGCCCCCTCACATGCCAGCCTGCCTCTCTTGGCAATGTTAGGTTTCCAGGACCAGGCCCTAGACTCAGCAAGGGCCTCATCAGGCAGTTTTATACCCAGCCTACCTTGAGCATCCTCCAAATTCTGTTTGAAAGCATCCTTTGATCTACTCCTCCCTTTGTCCCTGAGCTTTCTTGGGGTGATTTGATATAGGGCAACATTTTATATTTTATTTTTTAAATGTTTTTTATTGATTTTTTTAGAGAGAGAGGAGGGGAGAGGGAGAGAGGGATAGAAATATTGATGAGAAAGAATAGCATCAACATCAATCAGTTGTCTCCAGCATGCCCCCTACCAGGGATCAAGCCTGAAACCCTGGCATGTGTCCTGACTGGGAATTGAACCAGTCACCTCTTGGTGCATAGGTTGAGACCCAACCACTGAACCACACCAGCTGGGCTAAGGCAGTGTTTTATTTTATTTATTTATTTATTTTTTATCCTTACCCAAGGACATTTTTGCGTTTATCTTCAGATAGAGCGGGAGGGAGAAAGGGAGGGAGGGAGAGAGAGAAACATCGATGTGAGAGAGACACATCGACTGGTTGCCACCCACACGACCCCAACCGGGACCAGGGACAAACCACAACTGAGGTATGTGTAGGGCAGTGTTTTAAAAATCCAAGCTGAGCCCTGGCTGTGTGGCTCTGTTAGTTGGGGCATCATCCCATACACTGTAAGGTCATGGGTTTAATTCCCGGTCAGGGGCATGTAAGATAGTTCTCTCCCCCTTCCTCTCTCTCTGAAAAATCAATATAAATCCTTGGGTGAGGATTTAAAAAAAATTTCAAGTTGATTTTAAACCAAAGTTTAAAAATATGATATAATATATATTAGTGATTCCAAAATGGCGGCGGAGTGAGCGGAAGCTGCACAGACCGTCTCCCAGGACCAAACTGGAATTACAACTATAACACAGACAAAGCGACGGGAAAAAGCAACAGAAAAGCAGCTTGCGAGGACCATATAACCAGGGACACTGACTCGATCCTGGTAGGACTGCGAAGGCGCGAGACGGGGCTGGGAGCCCACGGTCGGCAGCTCGGCAGCGGCCTCAGCTGTAAGCGGCGCCCTCGGGTCACACTCCCAGGCGGCCCCACAGCGCAGCCGGGACAGAGGCTGAAACAGCCACAGCCACTCACCTGGGGCTCCGGCAGAGGGGGGCAGACTGGACTGGAACTGTGTGGGGACACTCGGGATTTGGAGGGCACTCAGAGCTTTTGCTGAGTGGCAGCCACGCAGGAAGGTGGCCATATTGCTCCTTCTCAGGGTTCTGGGGAGAGGCAGCAGCCCCTCCCTCGGAGATCCAGCCCCATCCTGTGGCCATTGAAGTGCTAATTGAGGCTCATTAACAACCAGCATCTGCCCCACCCTCGGGATATCCCCTTATGCTGAGCACCTGAGGGAGTTTTTCAATCAACTAACAACCCAAAACTCTTCAAGTAACCTGGACTGCTAGCCTCCAGGCAAAAAGCTAGAGGATAACAGTACCTTTCCTGGGCTGGCAACTTTAACCAAGAAAGTAAGACTTGACAATGGGCCCTGGCCGGTTTGGCTCAGCATGCGGTCCTGAGAGACCCGGGTTCGGTTCCTGCTAAGGGCGCGTACCTTGGTTGCAGTTTGTCCCCGGCCCTGGTTGGTTGTGCGGGTGGCAGCCACTCGATGTGTCCCTTTCACATCGATGTTTCTCTCTCTCTCTCTCTCCCTCCTACTCTATCTGAACAAAAAATGGAAAAATGTTCTCAGGTGAGGATAAAATAAAAAAAATAAATAATAAGAATGTCAAGTACAGACTATAAACTGCAATGTAATGAGAGTCTTTGAATCCTTAAAAATTCAGTCTGGGTTTTTTGTTTTTTTTTTCTTAACAGGTTTGCTGCCAGAACAGAGGTGAAAATCACCACTGAATCTAAGCCAAAAATGGAAAAGGAAATGGCTCATATTAACATCGTCTTTATTTGACATATAGATTCAGACAAATCTACCACCTCTGGCCATCTGACCTACAAATGTGGTGGGATCAACGAAAGAACCATTGAAAAATTTGAGAAGGGGGTTGCTGAGATGAGAATGTTCTCCTTCAAGTATGCCTGGGTCTTGTGGTGATTCCACTTCTGGGTATATATCTGAAGAAACCCAAAACACAAATTTGAAAAAATATATGCACCCCTGTGTTCAGTGCAGCATTATTTACAATTGCCAAGATGTGGACACAACTCAAGTGCCCATCAATAGACAAGTGGTAGCCCTGGTTGGTTTGGCTCAGCAGTTAGAGAGTCGGCCCACGGACCAGAGAGTCCTGAGTTCCGTTCCCACTAAGGGCTTGTACCTTGGTTGCAGTTTGTCCCCGGCCCCTGGGGTTGTGTAAGTGGCAACCACTTGATGTGTCTCTCTCACATTGATGTTTCTCTCCCTCTCTTCCCCTCTCTCACTCCCACTCTATATGAAGATAAATGCAAAAAGTGTCCTTGGGCGTCGGCCTGCGGTCCGGAGAGACCCGGGTTCGGTTCCCGCTAAGGGCGCGTACCTCGGTTGCAGTTTGTCCCCGGCCCTGGTCGGTCGTGCGGGTGGCAGCCACTCGATGTGTTCCTCTCGCGTCGATGTTTCTCTCTCTCTCTCTGTTCCTCTCTCTCCCTCCCACTCTACCTGAACAAAAAAAAAAAAAAAAAAAGTGTCCTTGGGTGAGGATAAAAAAATATATAGACAAGTGGATAAAAAAAATTAGGAAAGCAGTGGTACGTCTATACAATGGAATATTACTTGGTCATAAAAACAAACAAAATCTTACCATTTCCGACAGCATGGATGGATCTGGAGGGTATTATGCTAAATGAAATAAGGCAGTCAGAGAAAGACAATCACTTACATGTAGAATCTAAAGAACAATATAAATGAACAAACAAAACAGAAACAGACTCATAGAAACAGAGAACAGATTGATGGTTGCCAGAGGGGAGGGGAGTCTGGGGGACTGGGTGAAAAATGTGAAGGGTTTGAAAGGTATAGATTAGTAGTTACAAAATAGTCATGGGATGTAAAGTACAGCATAGGAAATACAGTCAATAATACTGTAAAATTGCCCTGGCCAGTTTGGCTCAGAGGTTAGAGTGTCGGCCTATGGCCTGGAGAGACCCGGGTTCGGTTCCTGCTAAGGGCACGTACCTCGGTTGCAGTTTGTCTCCAGCCCTGGTTGGGTTGTGTGGGTGGCATGTGTCTCTTTCACGTCAATGTTTCTCTCTCTCTCTCTCCCCTCCCACTCCCTCCCACTCTATCTGAACAAAGTGTCGAAAAAATGTCCTCAGGTGAGAATTAAAAAAAATAATAATACTGTAATAACTGTATGTGCCAGGTGGGTACTGGAAATATCAGGGGGAACACTTTGTAAAGTATGTGATTGTGTAACCACTGTGCTATACACCTGAAAGCAATACAAAAGAATATTGAATGTAAACTGCACTTGAAAAAAAGTCTGGTTGGCGTGGCTCAGTGGTTGAGCATCACCCACAAACCAAGGTTCAATTCCCGGTCAGGACATATGCCCAGGTTGTGGGCCAAATCCCAGTGGGGGGCACACAGGAGGCGGCCAATCAATGTTCTCTCTCATTGATGTTTCCATCTCTCTCTCCCTCTCTCTTCCTATCTCTCTAAAAAAATCAATAAAGAAAAAGAAAATAAAAAGTATGCCTGGGTCATAGATAGACTGGAAGCTGAATGTGAGTGTGGTATCACACTGATATAGCTCCTTGTGGAAGGAAATTCAAGACCAGCAAGTATATGTGACTATCATCGATGCCCCAAGATACAGACACTGTATCAAAAACACGATTACAGGCACATCTGAGGCTGATGTGCTGTTTTGATGGTTGCTGCTGGTATCGGTGAATTTAAAGTAAATATCTCCAAGAATGGGCAGACCCGTGCGCATGCCCTTTGGCTGACACACTGGGTGTGAAATAACTAATGGTGGGTTTTAACAAAATGGATTCCACTGAGCTGCCCTGCGGCCAGAAGAGACATAAGGAACATGTTAAGAATGTCAGCACCACCCAGGCCGGTTTGGCTCAGCGGGTAGAGCATCAACCTTGCGGTCCAGAGAGATCTGGGTTCGGTTCCCGCTAAGGGCATGTACCTTTGCAGTTTGTCCCCGACCTTGGTTGGGTTGTGTGGGTGGCAGCCAATCGTTCGGTCCCTTTCACGTCGATGTTTCTCTCTCTCTGTCTCTTCCTCTCCCTCCCGCTCTATCTGAACAAAATATCGAAAAATGTCCTTGGTGAGGATTAAAAAAAAAAAGTCAGTGCCAGTGGAACTATGATGCTTGAACCTCTGACTGCATCCTGCCACCAGCTCATCCGATGGATAGCCCTGTGTCTGCCCCTCCTGGACGTCTACAAAATTGTTGGCATTGCTCCTGTTTATGTGGGCCAAGTGGAGACTGGTGCTCTCAAACCTCGCGTGTCAAACCTCGCGTGGTGTTCACCTTTGCTCCAGTCAGTGTTACAACTGAAATAAAACAGTCAACTGTTGAAATGTGTCATGAAGGGTTTGTTGTGTGGAGCACTTCCTGGGGACAATATGGGCTTCACTGTCAAGATCGTGTTTGTCAGTGTGGCCGGTGACAGCAAAAATAATTCACTAATGGAAGCAGCTGGCTTCATGGCTCAGGTGACTAGCCTAAACAATCTGGGCCACATTGGTGCCGACTACGCACCTGTGCTGGACTGTCACATGGCTCACATTGCTTGCAAGCTTGCAGAGCTGAAAAAGAAGATTGATTGTCATTCTGGGAGAAAGCTGGAAGATGGCCCTAAATTCCTGAAATCTGGTGATGCTGCCATCATGGATATGGTTCCTGGCAAGCCCATGTGTTGAGAGCTTTTCTGATTATCCAACGCTGAGCCATTCTGCTATGCGTGACATGAGACAGATGGTGGTTGCTGTGGGTGTCATCAGCAATGGAGAAGAAGGCAGCTGGGGCTGGCAAAGTCACCAAGCCTGCCCAGAAAGCTCAGAGGCTGAATGATCATCCCCGCTACCTGCCACCCCAGACTCAATCGGTGGTGGAAGAATGGTCTCAGAACCGTTTGTCTCAATTGGCCACTGAAGTTTCACAGTAAAAGACTGGTGAGTGATAATGATGCATCATAAAACCTTCAGAAGGAAACAACAATGTTTTGTGGACTATTTGTGTGTGTGTGTGTGTGTGTGTGTGTAGCAGTTTTGTGTGTGGCAGTTACATTGTAAAATCAGTACTTTTTAATGGAAACAACTTGACCAAAAATCTGTCACAGATTTTTGAGATCCATTAAAACAAAATTTAATGAGAAAGGAAAATCTCAGTCTACATTACCTAAAATCAACAGTGGTGATAGAACAATGAATATGGAATATAAAAATAAAATGTACAGGTGATGAACACACAATACAGTGTACAGATGATGTGTTGTGGAATTGTGCACCTGAAACCTGTATAATTTTGTTAACCAGTGTCACCCCAATAAATTCAATAAAAAGGAAAAAATAAATAAAATGTATGAAATTTGTGCCAAGGAAAGGGGCCAGTGTTTTGCCTGACTACACAGCATCCATGCCCCTTTTTCCTTTTAAGGAATTGCTTCTTCCCCTTTCGAGGAAGAATTGGTGGGATGCTACTTCCTCTGTGTCCCATGAATCACCAGGAGAAAGGTGCATTACCCAAGCTGGGCCAATTGTAAGCTTTTCCCTGGAATCTTGATTCTCGAGCAAGTGGTGGCATCCTGACCAGGCATTTCTGGCTCTGAGAGTCATTCTGCTTCCAGCTTCTTGCTTTCTGGGGGCCGTTGGTATGTCCTTGATTCTTGCTGGTTCCCAACCCTGGTCTTCCAGCTTTGTCCCCCTTTTAGTATGCCTTTCTTCCTCTGCGTCTTTCTAGTGAATTATCATTTGCTTTGCTTAGGTTGGGCTGGTTTGTTTCCATTGTTGGCAACAAGAGGCAACCAGCAGAGGAGATTGAGACAAAGTTGTTTGGAGAATCAAGAAAATAAGATTTTTTGGAAGCTTGGGAAAAGAGTGTGTTTCAAGAAGGAAGGACTTGTTGAGAATTTCAAATTTTAGGGCGAGGTCAAGCAAGATGAGAAGTGAAAGGTGTTTCTTTTTTAATAAAATTTATTTGAGGGAGAGAGGAAGGGGAGAAAGAGACATGTTTGTTGTCCCACTTCCTTATACATTCATTGGCTGATTCCTGTAATGCCTGACCAGGGATCAAAACCCACAACCTTGGTGTATTCAGGATGACTCTAATCTACTGAGCTACCCGGCCAGGGCTAAGAGGTGTTTCTTAAATTTTCCAATTGCGAGGTCACTGTTGAGAAGTGTGCCCGGTGGCAGGAGAGTGATGAAAGCAGGGCAGGTGCAGAAAAGCAGAGAGTGGACACGTGGAGACCGCCCTTGAAGCAGCTTGGCTGTGTGGAGAGAGCTCAGCCAGGACTCCTATGACGTGCCCAGGACCGGGGTGAGCTCGTAGGGAATGGAGAACTGTAGCGTGTTGCTGGGCTCTGAGGAAAGAAGCGGAGGGGAAAGCTAAAGACAAAGGCAGGAGGGGAAACTAAGGACCTATAGCTTTTGAGCATTTACTAAGTGCCAGACAACCTGGGACTGGAGGAGGGAAAACTCTTTGACACAGGTAAGAAATGAGGGAGATGATGGAGGTGAGGGAAGAGGAAACTGGAATTTGCATCAAGTGACCTGAATCTGGGGTAGTCAGTAGGCACTCAATAAATGTTTGCTGACTTCAGCTGAATGAGCCATGGTGAATGAGCAACAAGGTATCTTCTAGAGAGACCTGGGCTGAAGGAGGTTGAAGGAGAGGAACAAGGTGGGTGAGCATGCAGAGGTCTGGGCAGGCCAGTCAGAAGCCCTAAGGGTGGAGAACCCCGAGAAATTTGAGAAATTTGTCCGGCCCAGTTTGGGGGCTGAGCATTCTGTTAAGAGAACAATATTGCTTTTGGGAACCAGGGAGACATAGTCATTGTCCATTGTCCCCAGATGCTGCAGGAGATAATTCAGTTCAGATTTTTTGAGCATGAACCTAATGTGGCCACCAACTCTGAGATACCAGAAATGGAGCTGGAAATTATCCCCTGGTCTTCATTTGTT